ATTAGAGTGCATCCCCATGGGACAGCGTGGGCGCCTGGCCGTGATATATGTGGCCACTGTGTGGGGCTCCTGATTAATGGGCCCACTTGGAGGCCAGAAAGCGAAAACGATAAGGATGGCTACTGGCGGAATGAATTTACGAGGAGGCCAGGGCAAATACACAAACACCATGTAAATCAATTATTCACGGCCCAGCAGGCAAATGGCATAAAAACGTCATACAATTTGTGGCAATTACAAGTAGCAGGCGATAAATATGCAGCGTCAACGGGGCCAAGAACTCTGGCGTTAACCCGATCCTGATCCTTTTTGCCCAAGAATTATGATCGGGAACTCCCCAACCTGCCATATTTCAAACTCCAGACTCTATAAATAGTTGCGTGAGTGATTGTGCCGGGTTATCGCCAATGCTTCTGCCAATCGACTTTGGTAATTCCATTAAGTTTGACTTATTTATAGACAGGTGATTTATAAAAGTATAGCCAAGAAATGTAAGAACTTCCCAATGTGGAATGGTAATATTTGAAATATTAAGATATTTTATTGGTCATTTTTTTGTTAAATTTTTAATTACACAATGTACTTTATTATGTTGTAAGACAAATCTATTTCTTACAAATAAATTAATTCTGTTTTCTGATGTAATATTTAAAATAAATTTACTTAATTTTGCTTCTATGACAGCAAATATTTCTCTTTAATTGCTTTATCACTCAAAAAACATTGCTCTCTCTTTAAAGCAGATAAAACTACAATTTATTTTATTGCCTGAGAAATTCAATTTAATTTAATTTACATGTGTCTCTCCCTCTTAATTAAATGCAGCATTCTACATTCGCCTTAATTGCATATTTAAAGCTGACATTTATTATAATTAAACTTACATCGACTAGTTGTCTGAGTCTTTTTCAGCTTTCGGTTTCAGTTGCTTGTGCTAATTTCGCCTAGCAACTTGATTAATAAGCTGCCATAACGCGGCTATCAGAGAACAGCAGCCGCCAACCCAAAGACACCATCCATCTTCCGGACAAAGAAGCCCGTCTTCGGGGGATCGGGAAGGGGAATGGGAATGGGAATGGGAAGCCATCCTTCCAGCGAGGTGCTGAAAACGAAATTCATTTGCTACAACATGGCCTTGAGCCATGAATAATGTGCGCAATTACTCTTCAGAGTTGTCGTGTGCGGAGTTCTGTGTGTGCCCCCAAGAACTGGAGTGTTCTTGGGATCCTCATTCTAATGGCCTGGCCAACAAAAGTGCAAGTTGCCAGTTGCCAGTTGCCAATTGCGATTAGGGGAATTGTGCCACTTGCTGGCTCCTTTTCTAATGGCGCCCCTCGACTGCAGTTCGCTGTGGCAGTTAATTACACCTTGTTGGCCGTGTTGCAAGTCAGCGTGTTGCCGATTCTGTGGCAGATACAGCCAGCTTGGTACCTGCACCTCGGCACGTTGCAGCGTGTGAAATGAATGGCGCATGTTTTTGATATCATCGAACAAGCCAGCTCGCAGACTCCGCATCTCTCCCCCGATTCGAGGCCCTGCGATAGCCATCGTATTTCAGCATTTTGTTTTGTTGACATGTGAAAAGTCTTCTTCTGAGTCACCGGCGTGAAAAACTCGGCTTGCCCCGGGCAAGGCCACCAAAAAACTTGAGTCTGAGATACTAGACGAGCATTCGCCATTTACGGCTATGTCTTTTTGTAATATCTATATTCTTATTTAAATTAAAATATTAAATATGGGAATTTACATTTCAGAACTATAACATAAGGCACCATAAGTATACAAAATAATATGCTTGAAATTATTTAATTTTAAGATCTTCTTATTTAGTAAATAAATAATCTTAAAAGAGAATATTAATAATTTTTTTTTTTTGGGACTTTTACTCAAACTAATTTATTTATTTTTTTTAATAAATAATAATAATAATTGCAAATTAATTGATAGAATTTAACAAGTATATTAAAACCTAAAATATTTTGTTTACTGAGTATTTTACTCATTAAACAATTAATAAGATCAAGTATGTTTTTTATCATAATAAAAGATTCTAGTTTTAGAAGTTTGACTGCCTGTGAAACCCATTACCGCTATGGGAATTAGCATAAAATTGGCCACACTCAGAACGGCTATTGTCAGATACTTTCAGATTTGGACCGCGTCATCGCCAGCAAGTTCTTAACATAATTGTTAACGCCTCAAACGGATTAAGTGGCAAATTATGGCCGAAAATTGCCTTACATCAAGTGGCCAAATGGGTTTGTTCGGCAATTTCCCAGGTTTCAAGGCTGGGTATGCGGAAATTGCCAGCAGTTCAATTAACACACCCAGAGCGAAACCTTTTCCCATCGCCACCGATTTGATTTTGATTTTAATTTCGTGTGTTTTGGATTTTGGTTTTTCTGTCTTTTCGGGGTATTGAATTCGATCGGTTTCTGCATGCCCGAGTGTTCGTCGGGCGTTAAAAAGCTCTTAAATTGCACAGCGTCTCCTGCATGCCAAAAAGAGTCACAATCTTGTGAAATTACAGTCTGAAGGTTGCAGCAGTGACCTTAACTTTTGGTTTTTTTCGAGTCATTGACACTTGTAGTTTTGTATCAAGTCAATGAATTAGCTTTAATTCGAGTTACGTCACAGCGTTCGTTTCTCTGCTGAATCATAGTTCCGTTCTGTGAAGGACTTTCCTTGATCGATTGGCTTTCGATCACAGAAAAGGGCAACCAACATGACGTATGCTTAATCCGGCCAAAGGGTAGAACCATTCGCTTATCAATCATACGCCACGTTGGCCGCCGTCAACCCACACTATTCACTAAGTCACTTGAGACAGGCGAGAGATCAAGAATTTGCCATTATTTTTAGTCAACTCTTTTTTTCTTTGTGTGTCAGCACGAATTAAAGCTGGCGATTTAAATCGCACCAAGAAGCCAAAACAAACAACACGATGCGGAAATTGTTTGTACAACATGGCTAAAACAAAGGCGCCCAAACAATTCATTATTATTGTTGTTAATATTATTGTTATTTTAACGCGATGAGCAGCCAAATAATTGTGCATAAAACACTGTTTAAAATCAGAATTTAAATGCTAAGCCAACCTTGATTTCAATTAGCAAATATGGAGTGGCTGCAAATTTCTCAATTTGTTGCCAAAAAAAAATAAAAACCCATTTGTCTAGCCATTTTCTCCCAACCATCACTACTTTTTTTTTTTTTTTATTTTCCGTTTTTAATGTAGCAAGGTCGTTCGTTGGTCCGCGACGCCAAAAGCAATTTGTAATGATTATTAAAACAACGACCTGCTTGGCATGCTCCAAACAGCCGTACAGCCAAATAGCCAAAGCCTTCCCCTTCACCCGGCCCATAACAGCCATTGTTTACTGTACCTGTTGCCGTAGCTGTTGCCATTTGCCGTTTGGCGTTGGCTTTTAATTGAAATAGCAAAAGTAGCAAAAAAACAAAAAAAAACGACAACAAAAAAACAGTAACAGTAACAAGGCAGTGGCTAACAAAATTATATTTGGATTACAACATGGTCAGCCGAGCTGCGAATATATATTGTTTATATGAAATTCTTGGGCAATAATTGCCGCACAACGCAGCCTTTCGATACGTATTCACCGCGGTGATTGAATAGCCATGAACATTGTGATTATGACAGCCGGACACTCGAGGAGTTCTATTTAAAGCACCCCAGACAACAGATCTCTGGGCATTCCATCTGTGTTAGCTCAGCGTCAATTTGGCAGCAGCAGCAACCCGCGATAATTGACTTGTGAAAGGGAAATCCATCACAGCTCAGTTCGAGGGATGGAACCAAAGCCATTCTATGCTAAGTGACCGCCACACCCTCCCCCATGATTCACTTCTTGCCAGATTCAACTCTGAATCCTGAGCACATAAATTGCATTTAATGCTGGCTAACCAAATAAGCCAACTGCCATAAACGAACGAATCTCGGTCTGAATTATGTCGCTGGTTGGGTAAATCAAAAACCAAAAAAAACCAGAGCCAAATAGAGAAGCTTGCCGAACGAGGGAATTACCCAGGGGAACAGGGGCATAAAGATACATCCGCGACGGGAGCGGCGGCCCAAAACAAATCAAAAGTAATTCACACGCTCAACATGCGAAAAGAAATAAAGGAATATAAAAATGTTAATTTCTAGGCACTAGAACGAAGCATTCGATACTTGAACGAGTTCTTAAATCATTATTATATAAGAACAGCGAACAAAACACTGTAAAACAGATTTTAAAGTATTTAAATTTAACGTAACTCTTAAAATGGATATTTTTTTAAATGTTTTTTAAAATTTAATATTATCAAATAGATCAACAAAATTGATGTGTGATTAAGGTTTTTTTATTATTAGTGAAAGAGATTTTGAGTACAACATTTTTGAACAGAACATTTAGCTGTTAATAACACATTTTAATTTAATTTTGTGAAAAGTTTAAAGGTGCAAATTAAAAACCACTAATATGTGGATATTCGCGAATTGTTCTAGTTCTATTCGCAAAAATGATTATTATTTATTTGTATTAATTATATTCTACAGTCACAAGATCAAAAGCAAATATTTAACTTTCACCTTGATATTAGCAATATGGTATTTAAATATGGTTTTTATTCTTGATTTCGATTTCAACTTTTTAAAACAATGAGACTCTTTTAAAAACAAGTTATTTAGAATAAAAAAATCATTAAAATATGTAGATCTTGTTCTGTGAAGAAGCTTTTAAATACTCATTGATATGGGAAGAAGTTGCTCCAAGAATCTTTATAGAATCTCAGTCAACCTTCTCGTTTGGCAGTCGGCAGGCGTCTGCGAGAATTGAGAAGAGCACTCTTCGCAATCGTGTTTCGAGTCGCGTTTACAGAAAGATTGAGCTTCGTTTCGGGTAGTTCGGCTGGGGAACTTCGGGCCAGTTTTGGCCAACAAGTTGGGCTGTCTTGCTGTGGGCCTCACCGTTAGCCGAGCAGTCGAAACACGCAGCTTGAGGCGAGCGGTTCTTGCGCGCGCTTCCCCATCGCCTAACTCTTTAACAGCGATCAGCTACTAACCCACAGCAGAGACTCAGTAGAAGTCGTAATCGCAATCGTAATCGTCGCGAGCGCAGAGTTCTGAGAGTGTTGTGCCAATAGAGATTAAAGACAGACAATTGTAAATAATCGAAAAAAAAAGAAATAATATTTAAAAACTAAAAACAGTAAGCATTAACCAGCTGATTGATTGTGGGCGTTGCACGTTCAATTCTGATTCACACTCGGGAATAAATCCAGCATCGATCAGGGGACTTACGGATACTCAAACGCCGCATTGCACTTCCAAGCAGAGTAAGTCATCCCAACCCAATCGCGACCTTGACATTTGAGGGAATTGATTTTGTCGTTTGCTGCTAATTGAAATGAATGCACGCTCGAGCGGAGAAGATCGTTTGATTGGCACTTAAATTGTGTGTTGTACAATCATCTGGCTGCAAAATTGTCCAAGTCAAGATTTCAGACCGACGACCAGTGTCGCACAGCCAGAGATTTTAATTAGCATTCTGTGGTGTCTTATAAATAAACATGGATCGGTTTTATGGTGGATGTGCTAAACGCCAAAGGCCACTGAAACGGGCTGTCCATGAGTGTGAAATAAAAGCTAAGTCGGGCTAAAGCTATATGCTACATAACATATGTAGTATTTCTATACTGGGCCGAATGTGTGTTAGCATGTAAATTACAAAATCAAGTTCGTTGCCTTAGTCTTTTGTTTGGCCTGCACAAAAGGTTCTTTGGCTTGGACATGGAATGGAAACCAAGTTAAAACCAAGTTGAAACCAAGTTACCAGTGCAGCGGAAAACTGTTCAGCAACCTTCACTGGCCCTGGGAAAAACCCGTTCGCGTTCGAAATGCGTGTGCTTAATTTACACGAAGATTAGCATTAACGTTGATATAATTTCATATTTTTATTAACCAAAAACTGTCAGGCCATTGCGGTTTTGGCCGCTTGCCTTGGCCAGAATTTATGAGCGATGTAATCTCCACTTTAGCCGAAACATTCAATGCATACGAAATTCCCGAAAACAAGGAAGATCTCGTCATGTGATTCAGCCAACTATATAGTATAGTATAGTATCGGCTCCATCTTCCGCGGGTCTTTGGCCTATTCCCCGTTTTTTGCTTTCTGTATTCTGTCGGCTTTTGTTATGGATTCGCCATTCCCTCCAACTGGAGATCTATGTAAACAGAAAGACTTATTTGCATGCCAAAACGAAAGCCTAATTAGGACAGCCAAATCGAGGCTTTTGGCCTGGCCCACATTCGAGGCCATATTTTGAAGTCGCTCGCCCCTGAATTATGTCCACTTTGGCTAGAATTTTACACCCAATTATCCACGCAATTGTTAATTACGCGTTTGATTGTGCCACGGCGACGGCTCAATTTCAATTCGAAGCCGAAATTAATGAACTCTAATTAAGCGGGGTGAAAAAATATGTATGGGAAATACGAAATCATAAGAAATACGAGCGGCCTTTGTTGAAGTGCTTACGAGTGGAGTCTTTTCCTGCTCTTTAATTGTATTTCGGCTGCATTGTAGTTGCCGACGACGACGACCATATTGATTGGCAGAAATCGGTTTGAAGCGTTTTCATTTCCATGATGTAATTCGGGGCTGAATGTTTGTCATGAATCACTGGCAAACGGCCAATTATCAATTGCAGTGGCTGCCAAATGTATTAGCATAAACAAATCGAAACGATGACTAATCGAGAAGCGAGAACACAACAAGTCAGATTTTAATTAGCCGAAAAAGACAAGCCAAGTCATCTTCGATCTCGCACTATTATTTTTGGGCCCAAGAATTTTTTTTGTGCGCCACTTGTTGAGGCCTAAGAATAGAAGACCGAAGAGCCAAGGCCCAAAACGTGCTTGGCCAAATAAAAGCCGAATTTTTGCAAGTAATTTGAACATTAAAAACAATGTCGGGTAATAATAATCACTCAATGGCAACAGCAACAAAAAGCGGAAGTCAAAGCCACACGAAAGTGCTGTGCAACATTTTTTTTTTATTTTTACGCTCCTTTTTTTTATTTTGTCTTTTCTTTTATTGTTTTTTTTTTTTTGTATTTTGACGCCTTCCTGGCACGAAATACTTTGGTGAGAATTGCAAATTCTCAGCACTGCAATGGGAGAGAAATAAGTGAAAATATTATGAAAGGCGGCGAGGCAAGTGAAAATCGGAATTTATAATTTTCGTGTGCCGATTTTCCAACCGCAAAAACGGTGCCTCGAGCAGCTGCCACTATTTTTGCAGCTACAGCAGCAGCATTTGCTGCCACGGTGATGCAATCACATCGGCTTGACATGCACATCGAGTGACAGAGCAGACATTGCGCATACGCCGCATTGTGCAGAGCGCCACAAAGATGAAAGCCGAATGGGGAGTCGCTGGCCCCGCACAAGCAGAGCATCTCCGAATTTGAATCCCAATCTGAATCCGAATCCGAACCAGAATTGGAGCAAGTGAGCAGGCCAACACAATGGCGCAGCCCCAATGCCCTAACTTTCCATCCATAAATCCAGCGAACGGGTTCAGATGCGAAGATAGGTGGCACGGCATTCAGATATTCAGATATTAGCATTTAACTTATTAAAGCTCCGCGATCTGGATGAGTTTCGAAAGAAACCTCGGACAGATGGCCTGAGATACAATGATTACAAAGAAAAATGGCACACTTACGTTCAGCTTATAATTGGTCTATCTGATGAAAGCAGAAAACTTAAATTTATCAATCCGTGATAGTATAAAATCAAATCAATTCTATAATCTACCTAATATATTTGGTAATTTCAAGTTAATTTTTCAAACGTTCTAAATATTGCAATAAATTCAATAGGAACAATTCTTTTTAATTTTATCTATGTTAAAGTTCAAAATTTTTATTATGATTATTTTTACAGTTAAAAGTACAAACTAATAAATGTCAAAGTAGTGCAAAAAGAATTTATGGCACTTTTAATTAAGAGCAAAGTATTTAAAGCAGATTATGAGTTATTAAAGGCCATTAAACAAACTGTGTCATTAAAAATCTTATTAAAAAATATATTAATCAATATGCAAGTATTGAAATCCGATTTATAGCTAATTAATCTCATAAAATCATAGAAGTGCATAGAAACTGTTAGGAAAAAAATGTTTAATATAAGGATCAGGACAGTAAATCAAAGAAACAATTTAGAAGGGTTTCAGAAAACTTATTTATAAAAACAAAAATTAATTGTTGATATATAAAAGCGATAAATAAACACATGTTTATGATTTTATGAGGGAATAAGTCTGTAGTTTAAAATCTATGGTCTAGGTATTATGTATTTGTTTATGCCCAAAACTTACCCTGCTTTTGATACTTACTATAGGTACTATATATATATATCTGAAGACCCCCCAATGCTTATGACACTCACACGTGCCCAGCGTGTCGGGCGTCCAAGACAGCCTCTTCATCCATGAGTTCCTCTCATGGATTTTCTTGCATGTTGCGTGCCCCTCCATACATATATATATATATATGTGCCTTTTTTCATCATCATCTTCTTCACTAACAATATGCGATTTAATTTTCATTTTCTTGTTTTTGTCGCCTTGCTCACATGGAGACGAAATAAAGTGCCAACTCATAATAATGTAAGCCACAGATGCCCGCACTGTTTTTGTTGTTAATGGTGTTGTTTGTTGACTGACTTTTGTTGCGTTGCCACGAAAAGTAACAAGTGCACAGCCGCCCGCGACATTGTGCAAACAGTTCATACACTTTTTGTTTTTTTGTTTTCTTGGCCCTTACTGTTTGTTTTGCATTTAAATCATTATGCCATTAAAACACAATCTCGGGCGGTGGCAAAATCTAAAAATAAAATGTATCATTTTTGATTGGTCTTTGAGTGCTCATAATTCGCGTTGATTGATATCCCAAAAAAATAAACACATTTTATTGCAGCTATCCAGTTCCGAAAGTAAGAGCAGAAATATTGCAAAACTTGTTCCAGCCGGACATGTAAAATATGCGAACTCCAGTTTTTCGGTTCAACTCGGTTCGGTCGGTTCACTTTCAAGGTTGGCTGGGGCGTCAAGAACTTGCAGAAACCGTAACAACCAGCTGAAAGGTGACTTACATTTGGGTGTGGGTCTCTAGATGACAAGACACTACACGCGCTGCCATTTGAAAGTGCATGGCACAAGCCATAGAATTGCGCAATTGCAACTGACTCATAGTGGCGGTTGCCAATTAACCAGCGAGCTAAGCGGCTTAGCCAGCGGACAAAGGAGCCCGGACTTCGAAACCGAAAAGACTTCCTTCTGCGCCACGACCTTGGGGAACTGGTACGGCTGTCTGTGGTTCTACAAACTGCGTACTCACGCACAGAACAGTTGCCTCGCTGCTAAAAATACACTCACGGGCGACCTTGAGGGGCTTACATAATTAATTGCAAGCGGGTTTCGGTATGCGGAAAATGTGCTGAATCGAAAGACTCAAGGCACGAACTTGACGGGCATCGCAAGACTCCGGACACGAACCCGATTTTAGCACTTGCTGCAGTTTTCTCCTTTGACAACACCGCTTTGTTTATCATCTCGAGTAGTTCTCCAAAAACCAAACAAGCGTAACGAAATTGCGGATTAATAAATCAGCAAACAAGATAAATCATCTGCTGGCCATGTAAGAAGCTTTAATTATTAAATGCAGTTTAAACTTTTCATAACCAAAGGCCAGCTAGATAATTAAATTTCATACCCCTGTCTTTATACTTATAACAGAGATACACAGATACAGATGTTTTCGGGTGAGTGTGGTTCTTGTTGTTGTCGAATGCGATCATCGCCAAAAAATCAACATCACGTTCGGCATACAAAAAGATTTTATATACTTATTGGACAGGCAGCAGCACAAAAAACCTCGCCGGTGATGGAGAAAAGAATGAAATGTTATGCGTATATATTATACAATATAAAACAGTCTGTCAAGAGATGGCAAAACAGAGAAAAAACCAGAATGCCATTGACGTAGGAACCCCAAAAACTTAATCATATCGCTCTAAAATAGAAGATGAAACAGACAGAACTGAATGTTGCTCTTGGGGTTTTGACTTCCAGTCGAGAAGAGGTCAAGTCGTGGCTGGGTAATGATATCTTTGTGATATTTGACCATCATTAACAGCAGGGCTCCTGAGTCATGAATGAAAGTGGAGTGGGTTCTAATTAAACAAAATGTTGGCCAATTCTTGGGAATTCTAGAGGTCTCAAAAGGTGACTGAGTGTGTAAAAATATTAGATTGAATCTCTGATATATACAGACTTACAAGATCTCAACACTTCTTTGAAAAGTAACTTAATACTTGCGATTCTCTAGAAAATCCTCTGCATTTCTCATAGATTTCTCAGAGCCACAAAAGTGTCGAAAACTTTGGCTTGTGGGCGTGTCTTCATGTTCTTACAGAATATAATTCGCCATAAATCTTAACTTTTGCCAAAAAGAAAACCAGTTATAATTTCAAATTTCTTCTTGGCCAAAACGGATCTTTGAATATATATAGAAGTGCGTGACATTTATCAGGTTTTATGGCCATTCTGTTTGTTAATTAAAGAACCAACGCCAACGCCAAAAAGCAAATAGAAAGCCAAGTCGGCGGCTTCAATGGATTGGGATCCATGTTTGTGAATGCTCGACGGGAAACTCGCTCGCTGGTTGGTCATTAAACAACAGCCTGCAGTTCTGGGTAATTTGGAAAACATTTAAATAGGGCCATGAAATGGGAAATTTATAAAGTAATGCAGGGCATGTCGTGCCCTTAATTTGATCACGCCAAGAAATGTCACATTTTTTCGTTGGGGGCTAGAAAACGGGAATGGGAAGCTCCCCAGCCAGACTCACTTTCATTGCCACTCGTCGGAATATGTGACACACATTTATTGGTAAATCGCATTTGGTCCGCAATTAATGCCAATCACGTGGCCGACCGCCAATCCACCTGACTACTGACTTCGGCTACCACTACTGGATTTTGTCACAAAACGCTGACGGCAGTCAGTCGGTGCATAAGCAAATCGGGGCTGACTTTGAAGAAAAACCCCAAATGGCCAATTGAAATGCCAGGCCAGTTGGCCTGACCCGAACAAAAAAATGCTAAACCGCATGTTCGACAGAGTGTTTAGCACCAAACAATTGTCAAGGCATCTCAATTAGAGGCGGTGACATTGGTGATTCGATCGATTCCAGCTCCTTGGATTGCTGGAGCTGAAATATCCAAAGCCCAAAAAAAAAAGGTACACCATTCGTGTGCAGAGTTCATTGGCTCGCAGATCGATTGAACTGATTGCTTAATAATCTTTTCAGTGCGTGTCCCATTCGCCGGCGATTTAATTCCGTCCGCCAGCCAGATCCAATCAAAGTCATTCGCACCCGCTGGTAGCGCTAGTTAATTGTCTCATAATTATTTATAATAATTGGAATTTCGGAAAATGTTCTCCCGTTGCAGAGGAAACGAATCAAGCGAGCAGACAGACGGACAAGATGATTTCTCGCCGCAAGATCATATCGCGTTCCCTGGACAATTTGGATGCCATCGGGCAAGAGGAGCAGGAGGAAGACGTCTGGAACGATCGCGAGAAGCTCTTCAGGGTGGGTTTCATCTATAGCGATTACTATCGATTCAATCCTTAACCCCGTCTATCCACTTTCTGCAGGATCACATCAACGAGGTTCTGTCCAAGTGGGAGCAGATCGATGACGAGATCTGGGCCAAGATAATCGTCTTCGAAAAGAATCGACGCGTGGCCAAGGCCTACGCCCGCTCCTCTGTGATAACCATAAATGGATCCAAGAACGGATTCGATGGAGTGCGGTGAGTTGAAAACTATAAATTTAAATTTAAACATGTTTCTAAGCCACAAGAAAAACTCCTTTATAAAAGTGTTATACTCATTTTAAATCAAAGAATATTTTTGCTTACTTAAAAATGTTAAAAGAAATAATCAAAGTTATTAATGTCTCAGATTAACTTACATCAAAATATATTTAGCAACAAGATTTTAATGCTTATTTTTAACAAGTTTAATAATTGAGGGTTTTTTTTAAAACTTATCAAATTCATGAAGTAAACCAACTTATTGAATGTATCCTTTACCCACAGAATTGGTCTAATCAAAGATATTTATGTCTCGGATTATAATACATCAAAATATATTAAGCAAAGTGATATTAATCCCTTTTATTAATAAGTTTAATAAATGATGGTTTTTAAAAACTTACCAAATTCATGAAGTAAACCAAGTTATTGAATATATATTTTAAACCCACAGAATTGGCCTGAATGGCTTCGACAATCCCATGCGTGATGCCGAGACGAAGGTGATCAAAAAGTCGATTGGTGATGGTTTTAAGATCAAAATGGACGACATTGGCAATATATTCATTAAGAGGTACGGCAAGAGCAGCGTCTACGTGAACAGCACATCGCAGGGAAACGAGGAGACGGTGATCGGCGGCGACATAATCCAGATGCCCCAGATGTCCCTCACCTCCGGAACTTCGGGCAGACTGTTCGACATGAAGAAGTTCCAGACGAACATAAACCGTGAATTTGCGCGATCCTATCCGGAACGTGGAAGATTGGAGCGCCAGTGCCTGTCGGCCGTTTCGCTGGTCAAGTCAAACAACAATCTAATCAACTCCCCCGTCTGGATACTCGTGGTCAATGTGGTGGCCATGGACATGTTGAGGAGTCGCCTCCAAAGCATTCCCAAGTCGCTGGATGCGATGGGCATGCGAGTGCCGCTGACCAACAGCAGCGAGGATCCCTACTCCACCATCGAGAGCCAGGTGGGATTGATCTATCCCACGCCCGCCGCCTCCGATGATTCGCAGAACTCACAGAACTCCCAGAATTCGAGCAACTCCAGCAAGGGACGTCGCAGCATCTTCAGTGCCGCCTTCCTCAACGAGGGTCCCTATGTGCCCAAGGTATGTTTTAGTTTGGTTACAATATTGGAAAGTCTAAAAAACAACAAGAAAGAATGCAAACTTCGGCAAGCCAAAGTTTATATACCCTTTCAGTTATTACAAATCGACTACATTTTGATTTCTATGCCTATATTACTAAAAACAATAAAAATAATAAAATAAAAATGTCGATTTTGCAATCGTTTCTATGGCAGCTATATGATGTTGCTGTCCGATTTTAATTTAATTTAATTAAAACCGTAATTCCATAATATTTAAATATTACCAAATCCCAAGGAACAACAAAAAAAACATTAAAAACAATAAAGTTATAATTTTTTTTTGGAAATCCAAATAAAAGCACAGAGCTAAATTTATTTCAAATTTAAAGTAATTTTATACGACTTACAAACTATTTTTTTCTCTAATGTAAATTTATTTATATATATTTTCAGCCGGACTACGAGGCCGGTGGATCGCTGATGCCCATTTATGCGGACAAGAAGCGGCAGAAGAGCAGCGGGGCGCAGCAGCGGAAGAAGCAGGACGATCCGTACTACTGCGGTCTTCTGGCGAGGATTCCCAACTTCATCAAGTCCTCGAAGCAGCCGTGCTCCGCCAGCAAGCCGAAGAAGGAGCCAAAGATCTCGCGGAAGATCTCGGCGCAGCATCAGCACCAGCATCAGCATCAGCAATTCCTGCAGCCGGCGCAACCCATTCCCATCGCCACCTTCCACCACTCGTACTTCCCCTACAAACTCTACCCCCCGCAGCACCGTCTCTCCCAGTCGCAAATGTCCCTCTGGGATGCACGTAGTCTGATCAGCGCACATGGTAGGTTGCCTCATAAAATAATATGTTATATGAGAACCCAACTAATCCTTATATTTAACCATTGCAGAATGATCACCTTGGCTGGCCCTAATTTATTCAACGTCTAGCATTAATTCTACAATTATTTAGTCAAAGCCTACGTTTTAGTTTTGGTCAGTGGAGGATCATTGGACCATCGGATCATCGGATTTTGGAGTGCATTTCGCTCAGTTTTGTGATAAATGCAGCGAAATGCAGCCATTTAGCGTACACCAGTTAATACGCCCTAACTCTAATTAACCGCAGTTAACTTTAAGGCAAGCAGAGAGATTTAATGATTATGCAATTTGTAATGAGTAATTAAAATTTTGCCATAGTTTCTTAAATCGTTTAAGACTGAGAGAATGTCCTAGAGCCCACGAAAAGCGCACGAAGAGATTGGCGGAGAGTCGAGAATGGGGGCAGAGAATGTCATAAGCAAATTAATTGCTACTTTAGGCGAGTTCAATTTATTGTTTTCTTATTATTTTTTGCTGTACATACAATTCATATGTAAATAAGTTCGAATTAAAAACATGTAAACGATATTAGTATGCATTAAAAGAAAGTTCTAAAAGTCAATGTGTGTGTTTTTTTCTTAATTTGGAAATTGTGTACTTAGCTTAAATAAAGTTTGAAATATTTATTTATAAGCTTTTTTCAGATTCTTCGTATAGTCATATAATAATTTATGACTATACTTATTAAAATATATGGTTTTAGTAAGTCGTTTTTCTATATTTTTAAGTCAAAGTTTTCTTTAAAATTATCAATTGAGATTTTTCTAAATATCAACATAATTTACTACTATAGCTCACTATGATTTTGACTTAATTGTCATATTAATGCGATTATTGTTAATGTCATTTTTTGACCACAACTCCAAAATCTTGTGGGATGTTAATTTTTGGTTGCCAATTCCAGAATATTCTATATTTCTTATTAGCTGGTATAAATTCTGCTCACTCTTGGTTCTTAAATAATGAACAAATTCAATCCTTTAACCAACATCTCCAAGTAAAATTCGGTGCTAGAACAGCCAGAATACCGTGGTTTTCCGACGCTTTTCCCTTCGTTTCACCGAAGAGCACAAATTCCTTAAAAAAGCCGCCAAATTTCAAATTTCGATTAAATAGTGAACTAAAATTGGAGATGATTTCAAGAATCGAATATATTAACTAAGTGTATCGTTTTTTTAGATCGATAACTGATCCCCCATTGAAGGTATTCTTGCGCTCCCAAGAAACGGTCACACTTAAACATTGTGTTGCATTTTTTTGTAGGTTTGGTTTAGAGTTTTTATTGTATTGGCGCCAGTTTTCAGAGTTTAGCGACTGATTTTAGTGCAATAACGAGGCAGAGAGTGCGGAGCACCAGGCCCGTGATCATGGACAAGTTTCTGCTGCGCAATCCCACATGGAAGACGAAGACGTACGGCTCGATCGCGGCCAGTTCCGCCAAATCCGTGGCGTCGCCGATCCGCCGACCGTTGCAGGATTCAAATCTGCCGGACTCCAGGTCCAAACCGTCGCCCCTGACACCCAAATCTCAATCTCAGGTCCCAGCAGGTTGGCTGTGCTTACCCTTTTAAAAGATCTAACCAACCCAGTAGTTTTAATTCCGGATGCGTAGCTAACCCTAAATTTGTAGTTGTAGAAATCAGTACAGAAACATATTTTAGATATTCAAACATCACCATGTGGAGGAATGACCCAAATATCGCTAACAAGCTACGTTCTCTCTTGCTAGATGACCAGGTGGCCAAGGATCGGCTGATGCTCAAGCCCGTCCAAGCCGTCTCGAAGGCAATCTCCCAGCACCGCTCCGAGTTCCAGAAGGATCAGGACAAGGACGAGGCGGCCGGATCGGTAGTAGCTTCTCCAAACGGAGCAGCCTGCGCCACGCCCACCAGAAAGGAGGGACATTGGGCGCGACTGCAGCAAGATCTCAACAGCCCCAATGCTGCACTGCGTCTGCGCGCTATTCGTGCCTTAAAGTAAGCGATGAAGCAAAAGTAATAACACTGCCCAGAATTCAATTTGTATCTTTCTAACTTTAAGACCATTTGGTTAATAACCAGGTCATACAGAACACAATTGCCTCGTAATTTTAAACAATTCTTTGGTCATTGTTGATCGCTTCAAAAATACCATACCTTAATTAAATGAAACTTGTTTAATCATTCACCAACCTTCTCTTTTAGGAGCCCCACTACGTCATCGTACAACACCTTCGATGTGCCCCTTGCCGAACAGAGCATCATCACCATGGAGGAACGCAATCCCAAGGAGCCACCCACCCTGTCTGAGATGCTCAAGGACATAGTTGTCTACGTGGAGGTGCGAACCGGAAACGACAATCGTTCCGAGGGCGTAAAAACAATCATAGCCAAGATGGGAGCCCAAGTCAAAGATCGCCTATCGCGGTATGTTAATAGCTCTCAACTGTTTGACTTAAAGGTTCTATATAAAACTCTTTCCATTTGGCTTATAGCTCCATTACCCATGTTGTCTTCAAGGATGGCCAGCTCTCAACTTATAAAAAAGCCGCGGAGTGGAAAATACCCGTCGTTTCGATTCTGTGGATTGAGGCCTGCAAGGTGCAGCGCAAAATCTGTGATCCCAGCAAGTTTCCCATCAGCAACATACGCATGTACGAGTATCCAGAGCTTTTCGGAAAGATGCCGGTAAGTAATACCAGCTATTTGTTTGTGTTAAACCTTTTATCTGGTTTCAATATTCAAATGAGGTAAACCGAAGTACTGTGGGGGATTTAATATTTGCATTTAGATTGTGTTCTTGAATTTTAATAGAGTTACCTTGAGTTATCGGACAATCTATAGTTATATACAAAGTATGAAATGGAATTTCGCTTGAATTGATAAAAACGAAAGACTTATCAACCTGCTCTTACAACTTCACATATTCCTATCATTCAAATTTGTTAGAACCAACAAGTCTTGAACATCTTTCAGACGAATTCATCAACTCCACTTGAGATACGGGTTGAAACAAGCTGATGTTAACTAAGTTTTTTCGCAAGGGAAATAAGAAAGCCTTTAATTACTGTAATCGATGGCATTATCAATTTATGACTTTGCTGGCACAGAAGCATTTACTCCACTCAAGATATGCCCCCACCTAATGGGTCATTGAGCGGGCAATGTTTATACTTTTATGGCAGACATAAAGAACTATTAAGTACAGGTATGGAAATCCAACCAAAGATAGCTAGCAAGAGGTCTTATCGACCAGTTTTGCTGATGACCACGATCGCAGTGGGTGTACTGTGCCCCACGGCACTCATGTGCGAGTACTTACATTTCTGAAATGATTAGTTAATCCACAAAATGGCGAACACAAACGCAGGGCCGCGGGCCGTCTGAAATTGCACGTATCTCAAACACGGAATACGCGCAATATTGGGAACTCTTCGTGCCGGACAGATTCTTATCACTTATCACTGGGTGACAGCGAGTCAACCAGTTGTGTTGTTGTTTCTCCCAGTTATCTAATTGAATTTACTTGCTCTTATCAGGCTATCGTAGGGCACCGGCGACGGCCAGGAAGTTGTCCGGGCGAGGCCAGCAATATCTTTCCCGGCGAAACGGCGAGTAGCCTACAGATGCTCATTTGAATGCGCTTCAATTTATTGCTTAAACATTAGACAGTTTAAAAAGACACAAGCCACTGGACGCCGGTGACAACTTAAAACCTATTTCACATGCACGTTTGTTTACAATCTTTCCGAGAACGGGGTTCATTTACATAACTCGCTGGGAATGCAGTACATTGCACAGACACAATTGCACAATTACGGATGCCATCGCGGCATCGCCAGTTGTCAAGTGTTTTTTACTACAAAAAACTTAGACTCTACGTTAGATTATTAGATTCTCGTTTGGGGCTGGTTCTGAGATTTGTACAAAGCCCGCTTCTATTTACATGCCAGCAGAAGTAAGAAGTTCGCGTTAAGTACAATGGAATCTTTGAGTTTTACACTAGCTTATAGGTTCTGCGAGGCGGGCGAAGGCAGGCCTGCGGTGGCTCCTCACGACAGCGCCACCTCCAGGCACATCATGATCAGGAATCCGGACACAGTGCCCCACGTGGCGATCGTTCCATTGCCACTGGCATGGGCCTCGGGCAGAATGTCATCCGAAACGATGTAGATCATGGCTCCGGCCGCAAAGGACAGAGCGTAGGGCAGGATCAGGTTGGCAAAGGTCACTGCCACGGCGCCCAGCACGCCAAAAATGGGCTCCACCATTCCGGACAGTTGTCCGTACCAAAGAGCCCTCTTCACGCTGAATCCAGCGGCATGCAGGGGCAGACTGACGGCCAATCCCTCGGGGAAATTCTGAATGCCAATGCCAATGGCCAGATTGCGGGCACTCTCGAATGTCGACGAATTCGTGGTGCCAATCGCTCCAAAGCTCACGCCCACGGCCAGTCCTTCGGGAATGTTGTGCACCGTGATGGCCACCACCAGGAGCATAATCCTCTTCCACTGGGAGAGGGCCTCCTCGGCGCGCTGCTGCTCCTCGGGCGTGGTGTAGGTGCACTGCTCCATCTCGTTGATGCTGCCGCCCTTCTTGCGGCGCCTCGACTCCCCGCTGTGCTGGACACTCAGGCAGTCCGAGAAGCTGTCCAGGCTCTTGGAGGCCAACCTGTCGGAGGCTCCTCCGTTGCGTTTGGAGTCCTCAATAGCTATGTCCGCCTTGTCCTTCGACTGTGTCATCTGGATCATCATGTTGGTGCTGTTGAGGCCCAGGTAGGACATCAGCTTGTCGCAGCCGTAGACGAAGATGGATCCCAGGAGGAAGCCTCCAGCCACGGGCACAAAGGCATACACTCCATACAAGTGGGAACTCTCGGCCATTTCAATGGCGGGCTTAAGGAGTGACCAAAAGGAGGCTGCTATCATAACGCCCGCTGCGAATCCGAGGGCGGCGTCCAGTGACCTCCGTTGGTTGCCCCGGACGAAGATCACCAAGGCTGCGCCGGCGGCAGTGAGTCCCCAGGTTAGCAGGGTGCCCAGCAGGGCCTGCGTCACGGGTCCATAGCCGGGAATCATCTTGGTTTCAGGCCTCCTCCGTACTCGTCACCGGCTGGTATGCTATTGTCTGTTGTTCCCAAGATTTATTCGCGTGTGCGGGGAAAACAAGTTTTTTAATTGTTTACTCGCAGTTGGAAATATGCCACGTTCTTGGGCACAGATTGCGCAGGTAAACAAATCAACTGAAAGCAACTTTCAATGGAGTTTTGAGTTCTGTTTCAAGGGAATCTCTCCGGAACACTTGTTGCTTATCGTTTTTTTCGTGGTATGAAATGGGGTGTACTGAAGCGGGGGAATTTCGGGGGGACGCGTAATACTGTCGGGTTGATAAAAAGTTCTACTAGATCTACTGGAGCGCGTCGGAAAGTGATGAATGAGCCGCTGACTGAGCTGACAGCCCCACAAAAAGCAATTTTTATAGGGCCGTTGGCTGATTGCCCCAGATATCGATAGTGCTATCAGCCGGGTCTATCGATTGCGGGCAAGTGATAGAGATGGACAACTCTACATCGATATTTACCAAGGGCGCCTCATTCAAATCCAAAGGGCCTTTAAAAGATAGTCACCATTAATTTTTAAATGGGTAATTTCAAGTAAATAAAACCCCCTTACCAAGTAAAATCAACTGCTATCGATAACTATCTAGATAAATCATAAATACTTGGCAGCCATCTTACTCTAGATAAGAACGTTTTTTATTTAAACAACGGGCCAGATATCACGTAGTTATGAACAAATAAAACAGTGTTTTCTAGTCAACATGACTGACAGAGTCGGGCAAAAAGTCGGCATTATCCGCAGCATCAGCAATAACACCAAAGGGCATGAGCTGCTCACCATAATTAAACCCCAAGCCCGCTTTGATTAATTATGTCTCGAATTGAACTTGCAGCGCGTCAAGTTTATGCAGCCGGATTCAGAATTAAATCAGCGTCCAAAAAAACGTCAGGGAACGCCCACATCCTCCAAGGATAATGAGCCAGGATCGGCCAACAAGCGAGCACAACCGGGAACTCCTACCACTACACCAAAGGTAAATACTCATTTTGTATTTGTTTTCATTTTTATACTTTTTCCTTCAACATGTATTTAAAATTGATTAAGAAAAAGAAAACATGTTTATTTCAATCAGTCAACTAAAATTGTTTACTTTTTGTTTAATATTACATTACAGCCTAAGCTACTGTTTAATCTTAGATAAATGTTTTGCTAACTATAAATAGGGATTTAAGAATATTAGAACTCAGCTAGGATTATAAATGTTTATTTTTTAATATCTACTCCTCCTTACAGAATGACATCAGCCGCTTCTTCAGGGGCCTTAACAGCAACAAAGCTTCAAATGATGAGGTAATCGAGTCACCAGCCACCAAACTACTAAACAGGTGGGTGTATTTTAAGTACTAACTTATGCAAAACTTAATCCAAACTTCCTTTTTGACACAGGATAAGCAATGGCTGCTACACTCCCTTACAAGCATTTTCTCCGTCGCAACAAAAGGGAACCAATGGCAGTGGAGATGCTGTGGCCGAAAAAGTGCAGGCCCAGAAGAGCTTGCAATTCGGAGAGCAGTCGGTCAGCAATACCCCTCAGCCGATTCCATCGAGCATGCCTAGGCCACGGCGGAGTACAGTGGATCCGCCTCCGGTGATGACTCCTCCAGTGCGCACCAGTCGCCGACGCAGCTGCGTGGCAGAAATCAGCAGTCCGGCCGCATTGGAACCAAGAATGACTCGTCGCAGGAGCTCGCTCCTCGTAGGCGTTGTTACCACGGCAGTACAGGAAACTGCACCGGCTCCATCTTCAGCTATGGAGCCCAGGATGACACGTCGCAGGAGCTCCTTACTAGTAGCGGCCAAACAACCCCAAGAACCGGCCCAAAAGCAAACCATTCAAACCATTACCGAGGAGCTGGCTCCCATTGCAAAGGGCAGGAATTCGCTAGTAATGAAAGATAACAAGATAACCAACCAAACGAATTGCGTAGAACAGTCGATAGAGATTTCCGCCGTGGAGGCGGAAGCATCTTACAAAGCGGACAGGCGAGGCACCCTTTACGCCTCCGAATGGATGGACATAAGTACTGCCCGGCGCCGCAACGTGGCCACATCCAGCTCTGAGCTGCAAGACGAAAACGTTGCCCTGGCCAGGCAATCGCTTAACAACATAACCACGCAGACATCCAATTCCACCATGGAGGAGCCACTGACGCCGCTTTTCAGCTCTACGCGTCTTCCCAGCGGACAGTCCACGGGGAATCGGAGGCGCACCATTTTCAACCTGGATATGGAGGTGATAAACGAGAGCATCGAAAGGATCAACCAGTCGCATCGCAGATCTCTGGCCATGGCAAATGAGGCGGAGTTGGGCGAGTGTCGCATAGTGTCGGAGGCAGAGCAACCGCAGGCGGAGGCGATCCCATCACAGGAGCCCAAAAGGCGGCGCCTTTTCAATCCAAATGACGAGGTGGTCATTTCGCCACCGAAAAGCAATAGAAAGAGTCGTCTTAGCATCACTGCCTCGTCGGGCTCCGTTCAGAAGCGTCGTCGATCGCTGGCAACTCCTGCTAGAATCTCCTCTTCGGATATAGTTTTACCGGTTCCTGCTCCTAAAACAATCACTACCACGCAGGAAGAGGAATCAAACGAACATTTTTTAACTCCCGAGCCTTCGGAGAATGCCATTCCTGAACTAGAAGATTCCTTACTAGACGCAGAGGAAGTAGCAGACAAGCCAAAGGGCAAACCACGTTCCCGGATTCGCACTCTCGTGCACACCAACATGCACCAGGAGCAGATCCAGGTTATCCACAAGGTTGGTAGCAAGGCAGAGTGACCAGCACACCACCCACACATCACCCTCTGATTGTAACTTTTGTAAACCAAGTTCTCAAACTCCTGTAATAGATTAGTTAGTAAACCCAAACTAGTTTGTAAATTAGCATATCCGCAACTCGTTAATGGCCCATATTAATTATTGATTAAGCATAAACAACACTCGGTAGATTGGTAGAGCAGTCCCGCATTTGTAAAGCCTCCTCCCGCACAATTGAATAAATAATATCCGAGGCGGTCATAAATCCTAATCGAAAACCGCCTTCAATCGCAGGCCCTGCGCAAGTTGCGCGGCATGCGTCTGGATCCGACCGTGACCCAGCGCACAACCCACCTGATTAGTCTGGAGCCGCGGCGAACCCTTAACCTCCTGCGAGGGTTGATGCGTGGCGTCTGGATCGTAAGCTACCAATGGGTGTTGGCATCGATTCGGGCCGGCAAGTGGATCGGCGAGGAGCCCTACGAGCTCACCCGGTTCTCGCGGGCTATCCAGGTGAGTCATCCGAACCTAACAATCGATATATGTATAATCATTCATTTCGTTTTGCAATCCTCTAGATTTGCCGCACCGAGCGCCAGGCCTTTGGCGTCCACTACCAGTGCGAGTTGTTCCGCTTCATGGAACCCTTCTATGTGTCTTCGCTCTGCCCACCCGTGCAATTCAACAACATGAAAGAGCTGCTCCTGCTTGGCGGCGCCACTTTAACTGAGAACCGCTTCAAGGCCAAGTACGTCATCGGGGACAAGCGACGGGCCGAGGACGAGCGCATCTATCTGGATCCCTACTGGGTGCTCGACAGCATCACCAACATGCAGATCCAGCGGTTCGGCAAGTACCTGATGAAGTGCGCTATTATCTCGGCCGATGGCATACGGTACGAGGATCCCAAGGAACGCCTGATGGAGGCCCAATCCCAGAGACGGAATCATGACTACATCGATCCACCATTGGTGTTGGACAAATAGAGATCCCGGGTACCATTCACGTATTTTTCGCTGTCATAAAAGTCGTATTTTTAAAGCATTTTATATATTTTTTTCGTTCAAAACTTTATAAATACGCCTATGTAAATATAGTTAAATTTAATAACTCAACTGGTACTACATTAGTTAAGGAGCTTTTTTACTTGTGTTTTATATTCTTTATGGCTTTTTTAATTAGTTATTCTTAACAAAGAGTAAAAACTGTTTAAGAAAATAAATATAGGAATTAATTGGAAATTACTCTGAATTATTGTATAAATATATTGTCTCAAAAGAAAATACTATTTAAGACCAAAGACCATTTTAATGTTACTCTACTGCAATAGAAATCAACTATAGAATTCATACTTCAAATTTGATGTTATTTAAATAAAGCATATTTAATATATTAAATGTTACCAAACTGTAAATAATTACTTTTCTTGTCCCTGTACGAATTTAAATGAAAATATTTTATAACTGAATTTGCCAATAAAACAAAGAACTTTAAAGAAATCTACTAAATGGTTTTATTTTTTTTAGTTTTCCTGAACTTTGTAAGCCGGCAATAAAAAGATATTTATTTTCGCTACAAAATAATTGACGTTGACCCAGAATGCCCCCCAACCAAAGATGCTCAAATTCCTTCAGTTGCAAATGCTCGCTTTATTCAAACGATTCGAGGTATTTGTTGTCAGATTTAATTGTACTTTTCAACTAGCTCTTGTTTGTACTTAGTGGCATCGACGATAAGCTGAACTTGATCTTGTGGGTGGTGATCGATCTCGGAGCTGAAAATCAAAAACCACAACGAAAAAGAAGGTGCTTGAATGGCTGGGTGGTAAAAACAAAAGAAATACAAAAATAGGGTTTTTATTTTTTGTAAATAAAGTTATCGCTTCTATTCTGGTTCTTTTTCCATGTGTACAAAGTAGTGTGTGCAAAAATAGGGTAAGATAAATGATACATATCAAAGTAAAAAGGTTAATTTAAACGATATAAATGCTACAGAGGATATCTATATATGATACCATAACGAAGTCAACTCCTTATCATATCATATGTAGTAAACTAAAGATCGACGGGGAGATGGAGGAGGAGTGGATGCATAAATGCATGCGTTTTTTTTCCCAGTGTGTGCACTCTTCCTTGGGATCCACCGTTTCCCAAATTTTAGGCGGCCTCGACTACATTTAGCATTCGTATCCGTCGAAACTCCTTTCGATGGAAGAAATTAAACTTTTGCTTCTGCTGGAACATCATCTTATCGGTCATTTTGCGCAGGACAGGTGTTGCTGTTAGACTACTATTGTGCTTGCTGCTGCTGTTGTTGGTATTGTTGAGTGGTGTTGTTGGCTGCATTGTGTTGGTTATTTGCTTGCTGCTGCTGTTGGTTGGTGTTTCTGAGTTGGTGCAAACCAGCTACTTCTTGCCCTTGGTGGCCTTCTCGGCGGCCTTGGTGACCTTGCCACCGGAAGCGTCCTTGAAGTTGACAGCCTTGATGACACCGACAGCCACGGTCTGCCTCATGTCACGCACAGCGAAACGACCCAGAGGGGGGAACTCCTGGAAGGACTCCACGCACAGGGGCTTGGAGGGCACCAGGTTGACGATGGCAGCATCGCCAGACTTGATGAACTTGGGGTTCTCCTCAGTGGTCTTGCCGGAACGACGGTCGACCTTCTCCTTGATCTCAGCGAACTTGCAAGCAATGTGAGCGGTGTGGCAATCCAGCACGGGGGTGTAGCCGTTGGCGATCTGGCCAGGGTGGTTCAGCACGATGACCTGGGCGGTGAAGTCGGCGGCGCCCTTGGGGGGTTCGACTTGGAGTCACCGGCAACGTAGCCACGACGCAGCTCCTTCACGGACACGTTCTTGACGTTGAAGCCAACGTTGTCTCCGGGAACGGCCTCAACGAGGGCCTCGTGGTGCATCTCCACGGACTTGACCTCAGTGGTGATGTTGGCCGGGGCGAAGACCACAACGGTACCGGGCTTCAGGACACCGGTCTCCACACGGCCCACGGGTACTGTTCCAATACCGCCAATTTTGTACACATCCTGCAGGGGCAGACGCAGGGCCTTGTCGGTGGGACGGGCTGGGGGCAGGATAGCGTCGAGGGCATCGATCAGGGTCTTGCCATCGGCGTTGCCATCCTTGCGCTCAACCTTCCATCCCTTGAACCAGTTCATGTTGGTGGAGGGTTCCAACATGTTGTCGCCGTGCCAGCCGGAGATGGGCACGAAAGCGACGGCGGCGGGGTTGTAGCCGATCTTCTTGATGTATGAGGACACCTCCTTCTTGATTTCCTCATAACGGGCCTCGCTGTAAGGTGGCTCGGACGAGTCCATCTTGTTCACGCCAACGATCAGCTGCTTCACACCCAGGGTGAAGGCGAGCAGGGCGTGCTCACGGGTCTGGCCGTTCTTCGAGATACCGGCCTCGAATTCTCCGGTTCCGGCGGCCACAATCAGCACGGCGCAATCGGCCTGCGAGGTACCGGTGATCATGTTCTTGATGAAATCCCTGTGTCCGGGGGCATCAATGATGGTCACGTAGTACTTGGCGGTCTCGAACTTCCACAGGGCGATATCGATGGTGATACCACGCTCGCGCTCGGCCTTCAACTTATCCAAAACCCAGGCGTACTTGAAGGAGCCCTTTCCCATCTCCTGGGCCTCCTTCTCGAACTTCTCGATCGTACGCTTGTCGATACCACCGCACTTGTAGATCAAATGTCCGGTGGTGGTCGACTTACCGGAATCGACGTGTCCGATCACGACAATGTTGATGTGAATCTTTTCCTTGCCCATGTTGGATGATTACACGATGGCTGTGTGTTTGTGTGTTCAGATGTTGGAATGTTGGATCATTGGAAGGTTGGATGGTGGGTTGGCGAGCAAGAGAGGTTGGAATAAACAAAGGGTAAAACATTTTGTTAGCATTCGGTTAGGGTAATACATTTTTATTAACTACAATTATTAGTGGGTAACACATTCCCTATTCGTTCTTTCGACATTTGTTTGCATGCCCAACTAGCAAGCTCAACCTAACCTCAAACTGACTGGCGTACAAAACGTGTTTCTTGAGGTTAGGTTGAGTGCCCGCATGTATGGGTGTGGGTGAGAGAAAAAACTAATAAAAACGTGCAAAAAAAATTTCTGTTCCTAATGGAAACTCGATTTTTTCAGTGATTTTGGTATTTTTGTTGTCGTCAAATTTCTTCAGTAGCAGAACTGAAAATCATCATCATATCAAATCGAGAGAGTCCAAAGGAAAATTCCAGCAAATTTAATTCGCAAATACACATGTGCTTATCTGCCTGCGCGTGTGTGTGTATGTATTTCTGTGTGTATGACGCTGTTGCCGGCCGGAGGAAAAAGAAAGAGAGGAAGCAAAAGAGAGCAAAATGGCGGCTGAACACGAGTGTGTGTGACTTATACAAATGCAAGCGATCTCGCCGCGGTGGCACAAATGAAAAGAAATGAAAGAGAGGGGGGAGAAAAACGATTAAGTCATGCATTTAAATTGCAAACGCAGCCATTTTGAGTAAAATATTTATTAGAAATGGTGAAATTATTTTGTAAATGCAATTTCACAAGTCACGTTAATTAGGAGATACAAAAATCAAATTTTGCGTGTTGCTAAGAAAGGTTTTTTCGCCTACTTGACTCGCACCACTACGCAACGTGGGCCGCCATTTTGAAATTCTATGCCACATACAGAGAAAAAAAAATTAAAATCTATAAGCAAAAAAGCCATAGACCAAAAGAAACCACGTTTTTTCACGTGTTAATTGGCACATCTGGTGGATGACCTCTGTGTGCCGAGTGGGCGTGGCATACTAATTGCATACTAATGGCACACTAATTGCACCATATTGCAGGGCGAAAATGCGGCTAACAAGGCCGGAAAACTGTTAAGCTAATGTGAAAGGGAGTTATTAATTAAAAGCAGCTACACGAGTTGAAATTTGTGCCTTTGCAGACTGCCACGTGTTTGCTTTACGCTTTTGTTCGAATGGAATGGCCACCACCTTTCACTTTGGAAAATGCTCGTTAGAGGTTATCTCCGGAATACACACACACAGAAACACCACGAAATATGCACAAAATTGGCGTCTAAAATGCATATTTGTTTATTAATTGTTCGCTGGCTGCAGTTTCGTTGCAGAATCACTAAATTCACTTAATTATAGTCTCACTAGTAAAACTTACTCTCGAATAAGCTGAATGAGAAATCACGAAGTCTAAGCGGCGACGGATTCGAACAAAGTGAACGAGTGTTCGGTAGCGCTCAGCCCAGGAAGCCTCGTTTGACACGTGGTGTGACCGCGCTTGGCAGCTGACATGCGGCGATACTATCGCGATAGGCGAGTTTACCACTGCGGCGTTTCCACTAATTGCGTCTCAAAGCGCGAAATTTTATTTCAAAAGTAGGTGTAATAATAATTGGGAACTACCATTAATTAAAAAATTAAATTAAAAATATGTAAAACTACCAACCTACAGTCCTAAACCATTGCGGGTGTAAATGTTTCAAAAAAATTAAATTAAAAATATGTAGAACTACCAACCTACAGTCCTAAACCATTGCGGATGTAAATGTTTCAACTTTAAAAAAATAAAACCTAGGTTGAATGATGCGACCAAGAACGTTAATTCAATATTGCACTTTGTATGATTGCTAGAATTTTTTTTATTAATTGTTCCAAATGACTTATGGTTTTTGCAGTCCTAAAATTTGATCTACATTTTCAAGGGTAATTTTAACTCGAGGTTGTAGAAAACTTGAAATTCTAGCTAATTTTAGGCGTCATATAATAATTTCAACTCAATATATTTTTAATGTATTTTCGATTAAGATTAAGATCTTTACAAAGTGTATTAGTCAAATCGTTATTGTTTATTTAAATGATTTTTTAGAGTTGTTAGATAAATTTAACCTTTTAAACACAAATATATAAGACTTGCTATTAGAATTATTTATTTTTGTAAATTAATGAATTGTTTGGATATGTATTTAAAGACTGTTTTTTCTCTAGTTTCTCATAAACTGTTTGATTATTCTTTAATATTGTAAAGTATTTTTATTATTTAGGCACCACTTACCATTGGTTTTGGTTGTGAATCATAAGTGGGTAAACATTGCTCCGCTTTATATATTATAGCCATAAAAAGCTCATATAGTATTTCCCAATTTTGTGAAATGAATTGAACTATAATTTCAAGAATACAAATTCTGAACTTATTTTATCATTATGTATAACAGTTTAGCAATAACTTAATTGCTGAATTTAATTAATATATCATATGAAATGAAAAATGTTTATTGTTATCGCAATTTTTATTTAGCTTTTGAAGTAATCTCCACTAAGCAACCTACAATTCAACTCCAAAATATAATACAAAATAATAAAAAGATGTTAATCAAACTAGGAAATGCATTAGTATTTCATTACATTTTAATAAGAAAGCTCTTAACTTACTAAGTTTAAAGCCCCATATTGGCTACTTTAAATTAAAACTAAAAAATTAAATTAAATAAAAATAAACATAAGTTCATTAAAATAGGTCTTTGTTATAATTTGTACAAAAGCTTTTTATTAATTTTTCCATTAAAAATTTAACTTTCTTGGCGTTACTGACGTTTCTACCCCAACGTCATGTGGCCACACTACCACGAAGCAGAATAAGAAGCGACGTGGCGAAAGAGGCAATAAGCAAATTCAATCGTTGAAAAAAATTGAACCGGTCCGGTCCTAAGTTTTTGTTGTAGTAGGCGGTTTGACGGCCGACTTAAACTTGAATTATATTTGCCGAGAAATATCTTTTTAAATAATACCCTCAAGCACAATGTGGCGTCTGGCTGGAGTGCTCCTCCTCGGCTTCATAGCCATTTCATCCGGATCGGAGCAAGATGTTTTGGATCTGGGAGACGACGACTTCGTCACCACCCTAAAACAACACGAAACTACGCTGGTCATGTTCTACGCTCCATGGTAAGTTAGGGGCATGGCGAGGGTTTAGCAAAGTAGCATTGCGTGTGCGATTCGTGGCTAATCAGCTTGTTGCGTTTGCAATTTAATTCAATTCCCTATTCCGCTGATTCCCGGCAATCGTAATCGCGAAGTACACGTCAGCGATTGCCGGCAAAAAAAGAAAGGAAACGAGAAACGAAGCGAAAGAAAAGCACAAAGATGACATGGAAGTATTGGTGCTGTCGGCCATTTTAAAGAGCGGGTGCCAAGTCGGTACAATGTACATAAAATTACTGTCTATTTGTCAGTGACTCATTAACCAGTGGGTAATGATAGTTAAAGGATAGTTAGATATGTCTTGATTTGTAATTTGTACAACATTCCTTCCTATGGTATATTTCATATTATCTTGAGCGGGGAATATGTTATTACATTCCCATACAATTTAAAAGAATTTCTTTGTAGGTGGCTTATTTTAAAAGAAAAAAATAAAATTAAGTATACTTAATCCTTTTTCATATTTCTTTGTGCACTGTATGTGGCTATTCACTGACACATCATAATGCTGTTTTTGCTATAAATTGTGTTTTTAAGGTTATACCATAATGCATTTTTAATAAATTTGTATTCAAACTATGCATACTTTATATATATAATTTATGAATGTTAGATCATTAAATATATGTTTAAGTCTTGAATATATTATCATTTAAAGTACATACAACTTTGCCATATTCGCTTTAAAATTCATTTGTATTCCTTGAAAGTTCTAGTGGCTAAACCATTTTTGACGGAAATAATGAATATTGTGCTTTATCTTGAAGTAAAATTAAGAACATCACATCTTGAAAATCTCAAAAAAATTTTTATATTTACTCGCTTTAAACAAATATGTGTGTTTGCCTATTATCAGGGGAAAACTATAAACTCACACTTGAGCAATTAATTTTTTTGCCGGCAGCTCTCGAAATCCCCAAAGAGCTTTTTCCTCATACCAAAAACCTTATCAGCATTAATACATAAATTTATTCAAAAAAAAACTATGCGATTATACAGTAAATTAAATACATTTGAATTCTATTCAGCAAAATTGTGTTATTCTTTGAAATCACCAGAATTAAATTATTATTTTTATCATTGATATTATTTTATTTTTGAAAAGTGGTTAAATGTACTCTCGTTCACAGTTTTTTTAAATGGCTATTGTTTGAGATAATACATAGAACGTTTCTTTCTCTGTAGGCTTAATTGGGCACTTGTTCTTAATGCTAGTGTTGATGATAAGGCAGTTGATAAGTCCCGCACCCTAACTTTAATTACATGCTAGTTTTTCGGGAACTTGTTTTTCCGCTGTCTTGATAACAAATGATGAATTAGAAAGTGATGTTCCCAAAATGAAGTAGTGACGTGTCCTAACAGAGTTGTTCTTTTTATTTAAGGTGCGGCCACTGCAAGCGATTGAAGCCCGAATACGCCAAGGCGGCAGAGCTCGTCAAGGACGACGATCCGCCAATCAAACTAGCCAAGGTTGACTGCACGGAAGCTGGCAAGGAGATCTGCAGCAAGTACTCCGTCAGCGGCTATCCCACGCTGAAGATCTTCCGCCAGGATGAGGTGTCGCAGGATTACAATGGACCGCGTGAGGCCAGTGGCATTGCCAAGTACATGCGCGCTCAGGTGGGACCCGCCTCCAAGAACGTGCGCACCGTTGCCGAGCTAGCCAAGTTCCTGGATACCAAGGATACCACTGTGTTCGGCTACTTCAGCGACATCGACTCCAAGTTGGCTAAGGTATTCCTGAAGTTCGCCGACAAGAACCGCGAGAAGTACCGCTTCGGACACTCCAGCGAGCAGGAAGTCCTCGAGAAGCAGGGCGAAACGTAAGTGGGAGAAGGCTTTCAAGACCGAATTCGATTTCATATATTTTCAAGACTGCCTTTTCGTTTTATATATTTTATAAGTGTTAATAAATAGTTTTAAGTAAGCGTTTGTTAACTTCAAACCGAATCTTTATGGTAAATTGGTTATTTGTGGCTACTTTTGTATTTTAAATGTAAAAACAGCATCAAGCTATTCATGCAAACTGTGAGTTAAACTACTGTTAAAGATGAAAGTTTTTTTTTATATTAATCATTTAAAGTTTCTCATATTATGGTTTTTAATTAAAATTCTAAGATAATATAAAAGTTTAAAATCACGCTGGATTCTATCTCTATTCCTTGCAGCGACCAGATTGTGCTGATTCGTGCCCCTCATTTGAGCAACAAGTTCGAGTCTTCTACTATCAAGTTCGAGGGCAGCTCCGACTCCGATTTGACCACCTTCGTCAAGGAGAACTTGTAAGTGAAATCTTGGCCACCGTTATTTTTAAAAAAAAAATAACTCACTTTTTAATACACTTCTTTAGCCATGGTCTAGTGGGTCATCGCACTCAGGATTCGGTCAAGGACTTCCAGAACCCCTTGATCACCGCCTACTACAGCGTGGACTACCAGAAGAACCCCAAGGGAACCAACTACTGGCGCAACCGTGTTCTCAAGGTGGCCAAGGAGTTTGTGGGACAGATCAACTTTGCGATCGCCTCCAAGGATGACTTCCAGCACGAGTTGAACGAGTACGGCTATGATTTCGTTGGCGACAAGCCCGTGGTCCTGGCTCGGGATGTAAAGAATCTCAAATACGCCCTAAAGGACGAGTTCTCTGTGGAGAACCTGCAAGACTTTGTCGAGAAGCTGCTGGGCAATGAGCTGGAGCCCTACATTAAGAGCGAGGCCGTCCCAGAGTCGAACGACTCTCCCGTTAAGGTGGCCGTGGCCAAGAACTTTGACGAGCTGGTTATCAACAACGGCAAAGACACGCTGATCGAGTTCTATGCCCCCTGGTGCGGTCACTGCAAGAAGCTGACTCCCATCTATGAGGAGCTGGCCGATAAGCTGCAGGACGAGGAGGTTGCCATCGTTAAGATGGACGCCACCGCCAACGATGTGCCGCCAGAGTTCAATGTGCGCGGCTTCCCCACCCTGTTCTGGCTGCCCAAGGACGCCAAGAACAAGCCAGTGAGCTACAACGGAGGTCGCGAGGTCGATGACTTCCTCAAGTACATCGCCAAGGAGGCGACTACAGAACTGAAGGGCTTCGACCGCAGCGGCAAGCCCAAGAAGACCGAGCTCTAAGCTGCACGCCGGGTTCAACTGGCCGCCAACTAGCATTTCCATATTTTTGTAAAATCGAATGCATTCTCTACAATACTTGAGCAAAAATTGTATTAAATTATTTGATAGTGATGAAACGCGTACGAACACAAATTGATGATTATGTCGCAATAAACTTAAATCTTCATTAAATAAGTAAAACAGTTTAATGTTTTCCATTTCTAAGGAATAATGTCTTCGATGTGTTTGTCCAGTAATATACGGCACCAGGCCATCTTAAATTGAAATTTTTGGTGTTCTTAAAAGTACTATGGGGACTACTTTGACATGTTTTATTTTTTTTACGGTTCGTCGCTCTTTGGGAATATGTCTTCCTGGTGTTCATCTAACATCATTCGGAACCAGTCAGCCACGAATGTGTATTGGTTTCGTCCTTGGAAGGCCTTGTACGCCACTTTGCCTTGAGTTGCGTCGTACTCGAAAAGGTAAACGGTGCTCGCACAGTCGATCGGTGCCATAACTTGGGACATACAGCCCAGCAGGCGGACCATAAAGTTGGCACACACACCGGTAGACCAATCTTTTTCCTGCGGAAGAAGATATAGGTTTTGCTTAGAAAAAATGCAATGTAAAAGGTTAAGCTATGATGCTATAAAATATTACTATTCATTAAGAGTTATTAAATAATTGGGAACATACATTTAAAATACTTAGATTGGGAAAGCTTGTCCTAAGAATTCTTAAGCTAAGCGAATAATGCCAAAACTATTTTCGAAATGATTATACTAACGCAGTCTTTCCACAAATCTCGCACAGAAGTCTTCTGGATGTTATGCACAAAGGCATTGTCATCGCGATGGGCTATATACAAATTTTCGATGCCAAGCAGGAAGCACTTGACCCACCATTTAAGGGCCTCCGTGCGATTGTGAGCCGTCCAATCCAGGCGATTCATGTGCACCAGTCGCAACTGCAGCTCAGCCCAGTTTTGGGCAGGACCACAACTAATAATCGGGAAGACTTAAAGTAAATCAATTCAGAACTCTTGGTAAGGACTTACAACCCATTGGGATTCAGTTCAGCCAGTACAGGTGAATCGAACAGAACTCGTTTGCCATTAAGGTCAAAAGAAAATACTCCATGAAAAGCTCCAGCTTCTTCAGAGGATTGCTTGTTATTGGGCACTACGATGCCATTCTCTAAAACGAGCATATGTATATATTAAAGGAGTAGTATAGGTTTCTAGAGCCCACCTACCGAACACACAGTATTTGTGCAGTTTCTTAAGCCACCTTTCCTGCATGATCCTCCTGAGATTGTCCTGATCGAAGGGGTCCGTCTGCCCGCTGTCCACGCGGCAAATGTACATTGTGTTTCGATACCGGGAGACTCCCAGTGTCCATCCCGTCTTGTTCTCGTAAGGAGCACACATCATCAGCTCCAGAACTTCGCTGGTGCACACGATGTGTGCATTCACCTCCACGCGCATGTTGGCCGGCTTAAGGAAAGAGAATCGCGAGGATTCGATGAAGAGCAGTATGTTGTCCAGGAGGAACTTGGGAATCTTTACTGGGTTCTGGGCGGACTCATTGTCGCGTAGCGAGAGGGGAAATCTGTTATTCGGCGGAACCACTATGAAGCCAAGTCTTTTTATGTTTCTTTCAAATTGACCGGTGGGAGACAAACTGAATCCGCCATGGGAAACGGGCTTGCTTATGGTCGGAAACAGGTGTTTATCCTCCTCTGACCATAAGTGGGCGTTGATATTCAATGTTTGGTAATAAGAAATCATCGTAATAGAGTTTTTGAGACGCTTTTCCAGGGAAGCGGAAGTTAAACGTTGGCTTGTGTATGCAAAAAGAACCGTTGCTTTGGTCACATGGCAATGCCAAGCACTGAATGTAAATAAATATTTAAACTTAAAAAAAGTTGGGTACCTCAAATAATAACTTAAATTAAGCCTGTTGAGATTTAGCTAATATTAATTTAATATATTAAAAAGTAATTGGTTTATTTATATTGAAAACAAAATTAAGCTAAATTCATTTCCATATATTGTCACATGTAAAAATAACTAGAGTCCTCCTATATGTGTATATTTTATTTGCTCCAGCTTAGTTAGCTATTCAATTATTTTATTTAAATAAATATTATAAATAATTACTTTCTGTTTTTATTATTGAGTGCTTACTGTAGCTCTAAAAAATGCAAGAGACAACAACAAAAACCAAACAAAACATTGCGGCTAGCGTTGCCAGATTTTAGTGGCGTGCCGGCAAAAAAGGTAAGCAAACCGTCAGTCCTGCCAGCCCGTTGCAATCAGATGGTCGGCTGCAAACTAGCTGGCAACGCTGGTTGTGTGTGCTGCACGTGTTTTAAATTCGCGTGTGTTTTGCTCTTCATTCCGGGACATTGTGCTGCAAATCAACGAAAATAAGCGGAAATATTACTGAAATATACCTAAGAATACGTTAGACTAGTTTCTAAACAAATGGAAGTTAACGCCAGCAAGCTGCGGCTTGGCGCCCAGCGATTACTGCAGCTTATTTCCGATGAGTCTGAAGACAACGTGTTTTCCCAAAGTTTACAAAAGTTTATCAAGAAGCAGGTGAGTTAAGATGGTTTTAATGGGAAAATAGCATATTTAGTCTTTTGTTCATTTTAGAAATATGTGAATCAGGATGTGGAGCGGCTCTTCCGGACGCTCAGTGAGCAGTTGCCTCAGCCTGCTTACACGGTGCCCGTGGCCGTAAGTTTCGAGGAGCAGCTGCTCCTGCTCCTCTCCATGGCGCTCCGCTGGGATTCCGCTGGTCAAAGCTTCCGCCAGTATCAGCTGGAATGTGTGGCGCTGGCCAAGCTCATTGATTTATCCCTGGATGCGCAGAGGTGCGTTCTTGACATTTTTTATCTTAAAAATAAGTTATTAAACCTTTTCCCTGCAGATTTGCCAAGAGTTACTTCCACGACAAGCCAGCGCCCTTTGAGAAAAACCAGAGCAATGATAGTCTTCCCAGTAAAAAGTTAAAGAATGGCAGTCCTACTGCCAATCTGGAGGATCTGGAGATAATCACATGCTGCTATCAATTGCTAAAAAGTGATACACCATATTTCCGCGAGCTGTGGGATTGGTCCAGCTTTATAGCCACCTATGCACACAATTCATCAAGCCCGAAGACGCAGCTTTACTGCAACCACATCATGGCTATGCTTACCAACATGAGTTCACCCCAGCTAAATGATTTAAATGAGCAAATATCCACCAAAACACGACTGGAGTTCGAGCATGAAAAGGAGCAAGCTTGGACCTTAGTTAGGAGCACCCTTGGCAGCTATAAACCAGAAGCCTCCGATCAACTTCTGCAGCTGCAGCTGCAGGGAATTAATCAGGCTGTGACCAACATCGAGGGCGTCCTACTGCCCACTTTCAACAAGGAGAACCTGGAGTTCTATAGCAGCACCGATGGCTGCTACGATCGTATTGTGAAGGTGGATTCAACTGTGGTTAATCTACGTAGTATTGCCCTCGGAGTGGCTGCTGCCAAACCTATTTGCCTGTCAGGACCTGTGGGCTGTGGTAAGACCACGCTTATTGAGTACCTAGCCCGCAAAACTGGTCGCATTTGCCCCAAGCCAAATGAGATTAAAATTAGGGAGAAAGCCTTAAAAAAAGCCGAAGAAGAGGAGCAACTGCTGATACCGAAAAAGAAACCAAAGACGACGGGAAACAAGCGCAAACTGGAGGAGTTGCCTCTGGAGGAACTGCTCGACTTGGGTGAGACCTCGCCAAAGAATGGATTTTTACGTATTCAGCTTGGAGATCAGACCGATAGCAAAATGTTACTGGGTCAATATCGCTGCACCGATGTACCCGGGGAGTTTGTTTGGCTGCCTGGAGTTTTGACGCAGGTTAGTTATCAAATCCCTAAATTTCTTTCTTACTTTAATAAATACTATTGTTTTTGAAGGCCGTCATGCATGGCTATTGGTTGTTGCTGGAGGATCTGGATGCCGCGACCCAAGACACATATACCATTCTGAGTAGCCTTTTGGAACGTCAGTGCCTTAGTGTCCCTGGTTTCCGGGATTCCGTGAAAATTGAGCCTGGTTTTCAGTTGTTTGTCACAGTGAGGTAAGAAATCAATCAAGTGGGCATGCACTTTACATTATTTAATGTGTTTTCTTAATCCTTAGAACCAACAAATCGGCGAGCAATTCCAGCCACAAATCGCTCTACTCGCTGCTGGACAAATATCTTTATACCATCAATATACTACCCCTTTCGCGTAATGAACTTTGCAAAGTGGTCAGTACCAACTATCCCAAGTTGGCAACTGTGGCCAATCGAATTGTGGATGTGTTCCTCACCTTCTCCAGCGGGCACCACACATCTGCGGATAACTTGAGGCAGCAGGAATCGGGCGACAAGGCGGACAACACGGAGAAATATGTGGCACTGCCCTTTGAGCAGGTTTCTCTTACATCCAGTCCTAATTCGGGAAGATTAGTGTCCACTCGTGATTTGGTGAAGCTCTGCCACCGATCCAATTCACAATTTTCAGTGACCAGCTCGGAATGTGCGTATTTTGTCTTCCAAAACGCCGTGGATGTATTTTGCTCATATCTTCCGCATAGCAAAGAAAAAATCACCTTAATTACAAGCATTGGAGCCAAGTTGGGCATCATCCGTTCCCGTTGCGAACATTTCGCAAATGAATACAAACCAGATGTGGAGTTTGGCCTGGAGAACATAAAAATTGGAAGAGCAAACCTTTTGGCAAAATCGGAGTTGGAGAACAGTGAAAACGAGGAATCCTCAGAGCAGGACCTCAAGCGACAGAAGTTAACAAGGCAAACTAAGCGGGCTATTGGCAAGATTGAAAACAAGCGTACCACCTTCTCGTTTACTCGGCTGGCCAGCTGCATCCTGGAGCGGATCGCCGTGTGTGTCAGCCATTCGGAGCCTGTACTTTTGGTGGGCGAAACCGGAGTTGGCAAGACCTCGTCAGTGCAATATCTCGCCGAGCGAACAGAACACAAACTGGTGGTGGTCAACATGAACAACCAGTCGGATGTATCAGATTTGGTTGGCGGCTTCAAGCCCGTGGAACTGAACTACGTTTTGGCACCTCTGCGAAATGAATTCGAGTATCTACTTTCCGAAACGTTTAATCAGGAAAAGAATTTGCAGTTTCTGCGCCTGTTCGCCACCCACTATAACAGTGGTCGTCACACTGTGATAATCCGAACCATGATCAACATCTGCCTACAGGTGGCCAAGAATCCGGAACTGAAGCGTAATCAATTGCTTCCCCGGTGGCAGACACTAAGAGAAAAAGTGCAGAAGCTTCAGATGCAGCTGGACAAGAGCATCAACATATCGTTCGCCTTCATACCCGGATCCCTTGTTAACTGTATTAGCAACGGAGATTGGGTTTTGTTGGATGAGATTAACTTGGCCTCCGCGGAGACGCTAGAATGTCTTTCGACTATCCTTGAACCCGAAGGCTCTGTGGTTCTCTTGGAACGTGGTGATTTCACGCCCGTAAAGCGGCATCCAGACTTCCGCATCTTCGCCTGTATGAATCCCAACACGGACATTGGCAAGAAGGATTTGCCTGTGGGTATACGCAATCGTTTCACGGAATTCTTCGTGGATGAACTCACAACGGATGCGGATTTGAGTCTGTTGGTCAGCGATTATCTGGCTAATACGGGTATCCAGCGAAAGTCGGTTCACAGCATAGTTCAACTATACAAATCGTTGCGCAAGCTGTCCGAGCTCCAGCTGAATGATGGGCTCGGGAATCGTCCAGTTTATTCACTGCGTACACTTTGCCGCAGCTTGCGGATCTGTGCGCGAAATTTGTGTGGCTCCATCGAGCGTAATCTGTACGAGAGTTTCTGCTTGAGTTTCCTCACCCAATTGGATCCGGACTCGCATCATGTGGTGCTTCTTCTCATTCAGAATGCATTGCTGTCGAACGTCAAGGCTGTTTTGAGCAAGCAGTTGCCCCAGTTGGGTGAGAATTACCTGGATTTCGAGGGCTACTGGATCCAGCCGGGCAACTTGGAAGCCCAGCCGTGCACTCACTACATCCTCACGGAAAGTGTAAAGAAGAACCTAAAGGATTTGGCCCGTATTATCTCGATAGGCAAGCTACCAATTCTGCTCCAGGGACCCACGAGTGCGGGCAAAACCAGCTTGATTGACTATGTGGCCAGGAGGAGTGGTAATCGCTGTCTGAGGATCAACAACCATGAGCACACGGATCTTCAGGAGTATATCGGCACATATGCGGCGGATTTGGATGGAAAGTTAACCTTCAGGGAAGGAGTGCTGGTGCAAGCCATGCGCCATGGTTTCTGGATTATACTGGACGAGCTTAACCTCGCCTCTACCGACATTTTGGAGGCTCTTAATCGCGTTCTAGATGACAACAGGGAGCTGTACATCGCGGAAACGCAGACGCTGGTAAAGGCTCATCCCAACTTTATGTTGTTTGCCACGCAAAATCCTCCGGGACTCTATGGCGGAAGGAAGACCCTCTCCCGTGCCTTTAAGAATCGTTTCATAGAGCTCCACTTTGCGGACATACCACGCGTGGAGTTGGAGACCATTTTGGAAAAGCGGTGCTTCATTCCACCCTCCTATGCACGCAAAATGGTGCAGTGCATGACCCAGTTGCAACAACATCGGCAGAATACCTCCAAACAAGTGTTCACTTTGCGCGATCTTTTCCGTTGGGGCAACCGATATACCCATGCGGATAAGTCCCTGCATGAGGATACCAAGTACGACTGGAACCAGCATCTCGTGGAGGAGGGCTACTTGGTTCTATCCTCCAAAGTGCGTTCCCAGGATGAGCATGAGTTAATTGAGAAAACCCTGTTCGCCAATTTCCGCAAGAAGGTGGACCTTCAGCTGCTGTTTGATATCCAAACCGAGAGGGAGAGCTCCTCCATGGTGAGTAGAAGAATCCTAGATGCCATTAGAAACTTTAAGCTGCGAGGAGATATCGTTTGGACCCGGAATATGACACGCATGGCTGTGGTTACGGCTAAGGCTTTGGAGTTCGACGAACCAGTGTTATTAGTTGGTCCCACGGGCTGTGGCAAGACCACTGTGTGCCAACTCCTCGCCAGCATCGCGGATGTACAGCTGCGCATCCTCAACTGTCACATGCACACCGAAGGAGCGGATTTTCTGGGAGGACTGCGTCCTTGTCGAGGAAAGGACTCCACTCAACTTTTCGAGTGGGCCGATGGTCCGTTGATTTATGCAATGCAGGAGGGATCATATTTTATGGCCGATGAGATATCCCTTGCTGAGGATTCCGTGTTGGAGCGTCTCAACTGCATCCTGGAACCGGAACGTACTGTGTTACTTGCCGAGAAGGGCGGCGTCGCAGAGTTGGAAGCAAATCCCGACTTCGTGGTGCAGGCTAAGACCGGTTTCCAATTCCTCGCTACCATGAATCCGGGTGGTGATTTTGGTAAGAAGGAACTGTCGCCTGCCTTAAGGAATCGCTTTACAGAGGTCTGGTGTTTGCCCTCCGACAACAAGGAGGACCTCATTGAGATTGCCTACAACTGCATGAGCCGGCAGAAGGAGCACGAAGGACAGGCGATCGACACTCATAAAGTGGCCGAGTACTTGGTGGAAATAGTGCTCCACATTCGCGACACCAACGAGAAGTTTAAGTTCTCAGTACGTGATATCTTGGCTTGGGCCAATTATATGATCAGCAACGGAAAGCTGAGCTTTGCAGAGCAGGCCATCTTTGGATTGGAAACCATTTTCCTGGATGCACTGGAAATGCTGCCCCATGAATCGCAGGAGCAGGTAGAGCGGCTTAAAACCAGTATCATTAAACAGGCTATTAAACAAGCTGGTCTAATCCTAAACGAGAAGTTTACCCTGGAAGAAGTTGGCAAGAAGCGAGGCTTTGAAGTCCAGCTGGATGAATCCCGCTTTGGTATTCGTCCCTTTTTCATAGATGTTAACGAGGAGCGCTTGACGCCGGCCAAAGAAGATTTCTTCTTCGATGCTCCCACTACCAAGCAGAATCTTTTCCGTTTGTTATCTGCCCTTTCCCTTCAAAAGCCAGTGCTCCTAGAGGGTCCACCTGGTGTGGGCAAGACCTCAATTGTGGAGAGCATAGCTGCTGCCATCGGCTACCAAATTGTGCGCATCAATCTTTGCGAACACACGGATTTGGCTGATCTGTTTGGAACGGATCTGCCTGCGGAGGATAACCTACTGGAATCAAATATACCCTCTTCCGGTCGCCAAATTGGCAGCTTCGTGTGGCGGGACGGTCCACTTCTGGCCGCTCTGAAGGCGAAGAACACCTGGATTCTGTTGGACGAACTTAATCTGGCTCCCCAATCCGTCCTGGAAGGTCTCAACGCGGTGCTGGATCATCGCGGAGAGGTCTACATCCCGGAATTGAACAAGAGCTTCCACTTGGCTGGCTCCACACGCATATTTGCCTGCCAGAATCCTCTAAAGCAAGGCGGCGGACGTAAGGGATTGCCACAATCTTTCCTTAATCGATTTACCAAAGTTTATCTGCGTAAGCTTTCCACCGAGGACTTGCTTCATGTGGTAAATGTGAAATATGGAAAGTACTTTGAACAATTAAGTGGACATTTCTTGGAGCTACTGGATAAGGAGACTGAAGGCAACATCTTTGAGATTTACTCCGGAAAGGGATCTACAGTTATTTCGAATCCCTTTGATTTGGCCGCTCGCTTGGTGCGTTTTTCGGAGCTACTAGATCGCGGAGTGGCTTGCATGGAGTTCGGCTATAAGGGTGGCCCCTACGAGTTTAATCTGCGTGATATTCTCCGCTGGTGCGATCTGCTGCACAACCCACAAACTGGCTACATCTTGGCATCCACATCATCCTCCTTTCAGTCTGCTTTTAAGAATTTCTTACTTACACTTTACGAAAGGATGCAGTTGGTCTACTACCAAAGGATGCGCTGCGACCAAGATAAATTGTACATCCGCAATGTTTTCTCAACCGTTTTTGAATGCAATGCCGAGGAGCTAAATGAGGTTTCGGACGATGTATCACTTTATTGGACAGCGGATAAGGTGTATCTCAACGATGTTGTTCTGGAGCGGGAACAAGCCGGTGTTTTGGACTTGGCCACCCGACAGGAGCAGGCTCCCTTGCTGCTGGACAGTCAGAGGCAGCTGCTCAAGCAAATTGTCGAGGCCGTGCACATGGAGAAGCCACTGCTGCTCTGCGGGTCAACGGACAGTGGCAAGACCAAGCTAATCGATGCCCTCTGTGTGCTTTCCAATCGCCTCTGCAACACGGATATAATTGATGATTCCGTGACTGGAAGCTTCCAGCAGGTAAGATTCAGACTTAATCATTGACTTGATCTAGCTACTCAACTTGATTTTTACCTTTTACAGATTGATCTAAATCGTCATCTAGAGCTAATTTACAAGAGAGTAGAGGCGCTAGTCTTTGCCTGTGTTCAGCGGGCGTTTGTCCAGCAGATTCAAATTGAGTTTGTGGAAAAGCTGTGGAACTACTGGAGCAAGTACAATAAATTGGCCAAGGTCACAACAGGTGAGTGAAAATGTTTACTTGTGAGAAAGCGTATTTAATTGTATACTTTTTAGAATCTCAGCAACACAGCGTGTTAGATGAACTTAAGTTGTTTAGCGAGCGTCTGGACTCCCTGGGTAAGATCATCGAGCTTCTGGGAACCACACCAAAGAACTGCCAAGTGGAGGCATTCCAGCAATTGTCAGAAACCAAGTCCCAGTTCTTGATACTTCAAGCCTACATAAAGACGGCAGATTCCCTCAACACGGGAGGATCTTTTGAATGGGTGGATTCCCAAATTGTTACCTCATTAAAGTGCGGCCAATTCATTATGTTGGAGCATGTGAATCTTTGTTCCTCGGCCGTTCTGGATCGCCTAAATCCCGTATTTGAGCCAAACGGGAGCTTACTAATTGCTGAAAAGGGAATAACTGCACAGGATAGTGCTGAGGTGGTCTACAAGTCAAACAATTTCCGTGCTTTCTTAACCGTGGATCCCAAGAATGGTGAACTATCGCGAGCGATGCGCAACCGATGTGTGGAGCTCTGCCTATCCCGGGATACCTATTCTGTGGATGATATGCGTGCCTTTGTGCATGAACAGGGTGTACATCAAACGGAGGCTATAGATTGCATCCTTGGAGTTCATAAGAGCATAAGTCAACTGACGGAATTTAATAACTACTCCATCTCACATCTGACGCAGTTTGCTTTCCTAAGCGCTGCCTACAAGAGGATTGGTTATGAACTAAAACGTGCTATTTACGTGGCCGCAATGGAGGTCTATGTTTATTCTGCCAATACCGATTTGATGGGCTATGGCTTGTCGTACTACCAAAACAAACTGCGCGAAGTGGTACTGGCCCAAACCGAATTGTTTGAGGAAGAGACTACTGTCCAAAAGGATTTTCTCAGCGATGTGATACTTAGTTCAGGAAACCTAAACTCATTGTCATTAATCAAACTCCAGGCAGTGGCTCTGAAAGTTTTGCTGGATGGATCTTTAGGAGAAAATATTCCCAAAAAGCAGTTAGCGGCTCTCTTCCAACAAATGGAGGATCTTAAATTAGATGAGCTAAAACCTCAACAACTTATTCGTCACTTCCTTTACATACTCTACGAGTCATCGGCCTTTGGAGATTTGGAATTAAGACATCTCTACCTGCAACCTTGGTTATCGGAACACACTTCTATTCAAGAGTTGTCCCAGAATCTTTTCACTTGCCTACAGAAAAGGAGTGTCAGTGCGAAAGGAGCTCTGGTGAATCTGCCCTGGAATCGAAAACTTTTCCCTAGACTCCGGGATTACTCCACAGATAAGGAGCTTTCGCAAATCAAGCCTTTAAACCTGAGTGCTTTGCTTCTTTCGCGCCTTGTGGTAGATGACGTACCCACCAATTCAGTGAGCACAGTACAGCAAATGAATGCTCTGCAGTATTCACAGGCTTTGCAGAAGCAACAAGTGACTGTCAAGTACGCCAATGATTTTCTAGCCAACCTTTCGACTTTCCTCGAGGTTCTACACAGCAGTTTGTTGGAGGACTTACAAGAAGCTGACTTGGATCTTCAGCAGTACGTACAGTTGGTAACACGCTTTCATTGGTTCAATAGAATATTGATTACGGCACAGCAGAAGCTTTTATATAGCACCGAACTTCATATGCCCCTGATGCACAAACTGGTGCTCCATTTCCAGTGGCTGGAGAAGCACCTTCTAAGTCCTTTACTTAAATTAACTGTCAAGAATCCCTCTGAAAGAATGCTCAATATTCAAGAAAGTGTTCTTAATATTAAGAAGTACATTGAGGAGACGAAACGGCCTTTAAACGTGTCTTGCAAGATTTACTCAAAGCAGTTTACACAGTTCCAGCCTTACTATCAGGATCAACAGGTAAGTGAAATGTAAGGAATTCAAATAAATTTTTTATAAATGGTTCCTCTCTTCTATCGTAGATTCAACTTCACACAGAATTGGAGGAACTGGAAATATTACTTAGTGTGGTACCGAGCTATGGCAATTTAGAGCTATCTTCCTGGCTCAAGAGATGGTTGTTACTTCAATCGGACGAGGCAAACAAATGGCGATCCTTCCTCCGAAACAACACCCATGGTTTCCAACTCAAGGCCTTTGAATTGAGTGGGTCTCTGACGAATGAGATACTTCAATCCCGCCTGCAAAGACTTCAAACTAAGTTAAAGGAAGCTCATGAGACTAATACAGAAAACGGATTTGACTTGGACCTCGATCTCAATGGTCTGAAGACCCTTTTAGAAGCCGAAACGGAGGACAGCTCATCATATAATCATCCAGAAGGTATCGCTACCAACACCCCACAACTATTACTCGCTGCTTTAAGGGAATTATTCATGGAGCGTCTGTTGACGGGAACTTTGCGCGATGACTTTGATGAGCAAGTGAACCCCGTGTACACTGATCAGTTGCTCACCTTGAACAGCAATCTCTGGCATAGTCTGAAAACTCTTGAGAGCGCTTCCCATGCTGAAGCTACAAGTGCTTGGATTGAACTTAAGAAAGAATTGAACGGGTTGAAGGATCAAAAGGAGTTTGCATCGCTGCTGGAAAAGATTGGTAGCAGCTACAAGGGATTGCGCACTTATCAAAGGCAGTATCGTAACTCCATTCAATGCTATCAGTTGGAGAATCTTTCTAACCGTCTGGATTGCGTTCAAGGACCCTCGGAAGAAGGCAGCACGGATATATCTGGTCGCTTTATTTATCAGGGTCCCGCTTTGTCGGGCGTCTTCCTATCACTGATTTGCCAGCCAAATGGACAACTGCGATCGGTACCCCTCAGTGAATTGCAGGAATGGCGCTCCTCCCTGCAGCAAACGCGGCATCTGCTGTGGGAGAACTCCCAGCTACTTAGTTCGAAATATAGTGGAAGAGTCAACAATCTATCACAGGTCCAGGAGAACGCTAGTCAACTGCTAAAAGAGCTCGAATATGTGAGTCATTTAAGTCAGCGTGAACAGAAACCAAATGAAGGCTTCCAAAGCTGTACCAATGAACTGGAAAAAATGCTAAACAATTTGCAAAAGGACGACATCAACCAGGACTCCATGATAACAGCCTTTGACGTTTCACTAACTAATGCTTTAGTGGGAGCCATAGAGCTGTGCCTGCTCACAAATGCCCCGCTGATTGATCCCGTGGAAAAGAACCGACTGAAGAACCAATATATAGCAGAGGATATTGGTTGTCTGAGCACTTTAAGCACCGCCTATGATTTCATGAAGATTGTGATGAAGTACCGGCACTTTGGCGAGGAGATTCGCAGCCAATTGGAGGACAGATTGAAAGCAGCGCACAAGCGGCAGCAACAGCTCTCCCAAAAGTTGGCCCTGCGTCCGGAACAGTGTCTGTACGCCGCTCTGGTTCAAGATATCACGCACTTCCTCCATTCGAATGGCGATTGTGAGACGCTCTACAAGCTGTTCCAACTTATAAGCTCCGAGTGGGAAAACTTCAAAGGATCGCAGGCGGCCAACAGTGCGCAGCTAAAGAGCAGCACTGAGGTGTTGGGCAAACTGGAGCTGTGGCTGGCTAATGCCCAGAGATTCGTTCATCACACCCTCGCTAGATACTCCTCCTACTACCAAGACTTCGTCGAACCCATCAAATGCGCTGTGAACCAGCTGCGTTTTGGCTTAGAGTCCCTCAAGGTGATCTTCGCCAGAGTTCAGCAGGCAGGCAGTGTTTTGCAGGCGGAGCAGCTGCAGGAAACCATCGGGGAAATAGTGCAATTCCCATCCCAGCAGCCACTGGTCATCAGAAATAGCAGGCTCTACGGATTACTTGCCGAGCTACCTCACAGCGAATATGAATACTTCCGATTGCTTAAAGCCAAGCTAACTGAGCTAAGAAACTATATCTCCCTGGGCAAAGTGATAGATGAAACGAGCTTTGCCGCCTACGATGATGCGCTGAGCATCTGCAACCAAACCTGGCAGCAGGAGGAGCAGCGTCGCTGTCAACTCAAAGCGGAGGCAGAGAGTCTGTATGTGACCAAGACCAAGGGTGGAGTGGATAGTGAGGAGCTTATTGAGATGCAGGAGATCGAGCAGAACTTTCCCACAAACCTAGACGAAGACTTTGCCGAGTTCGTTTCGCAACCCACTTTGGAGCAGGTCTTAAAACTGGACAAGAAGGCCAGTGCTAAGGCCAAGCAAGCCCAGATTGTGGTCGAGGAGGACTATGCCTTCCTGGCGCGCAATTTCATCGAGGTGATGACCCAGCACACTCCGGTTTACTATAGAGAGGAACCCAAGTCGTCGAAGGAATTGGAGCTACATTTACTCGCTCCATACCGAGCACGCTTTCAGGTCTTTGCTCATTTGCACGGCCACTACAAGACAGCCTTGGGGTCGAATCTGGATGAAAGGGCCTGCAATGGATTGGCCTTTGGATTGGCCCTGCAGCAAAAACAGCTGAAGGACATTGAATTGGAGGAGGGAGAAGCAAGTTCCCCTTACGATTTTTACAAGGATTCGAATATCAGTGAAATCCAAAGCTGCCTTGCTGTAATGGAGCGGATAGAGAAGCGTGTGTTGGAGCAACTGGAGCAGTATCCTGAGCACGCCGGTCTGGCAGACATTAAGTTGGTGATTTCACGCATCCGGCGATTGCCTGCTCATGCCCCAGTAGTGCGATTCAATACCGGATTCCAACTGCTGAGACAAAAGTTGGCCCTTTGGAATGAAGTGGCCCACAGGAATAATAATCTGGTGACGGAGGAAATCGAAGTGGCGGAGTTTGTTCAACGTTGGACAAGATTGGAGCTGCAGCATTGGCGCAATTGTCTAGGACAAACAGCAGCCCAAGTGGAGCTCCAGGCCTATCGCTACTGGTTCTTCATCTACAATCTGCTGCAACAGTTCCTACATCAGAAGCAACTTGATCAATCCTATACAGACATCAAATTTGCAGAGCAACGTTTCGCCCAAGAGCAATTGCTGGATGCCCAGGACTTGGGAGAGGCCCAGCGCTTGGAGCTGCCCCAAGTGGTGCGCATCCTAAGACAGTTTGTGGAGGCCTCTTGCTACGGTGACTTCCATATTCGGCTGCAGCTGCTTCAAGGATTTGAGCTGTATCTGCACAACGTGGAGAGAGCTGGAAAGATCGAGGGTTTGCCTCCTCTAATTGCAGCATTGCACAATCTCCAGCTGTATTTCTCCCAGTTTGCCGGCGAGATTGCAGACTCTGCGAAATCCCGACGCTCGCCCATCGAAAAGAAGCTTAAAGAGTTCGTCAAGATCCAGAGCTACAGCAAGGATTTGAGTTACTTTAGCATGCGCAACAGTGTGGCCAGTGTGCATCGCAATCTGAACAAGTTCCTGAAGGAGTACCGGCTGGCGATGCAGGAGAAGATCAGCGAGGTGTTCCAGCCCAAGGATTCCACTGCCAAGGACTACACCTTTGGCACTGACAAGGGTAAGGGCCTGAGGAACTACAACAAGATTAAGTATCTGAATACGGAGCGACAACAATTCGTGGCCAGTGAGAAGCTGCTGGAGAAGTTTTCCATCCAGGCGGAGTTTGTGTCGGAAAATGCACTGCTGCAGCGCTTGGAAAAGCACTTCCGCACTGCCCGTCATGTGGTTAAGGAAACACTGGGACAGGTGCCCTACGGCGAATTAATCACGGACTTGGATGACTTGCTGGCCAGCCAGTTGGAGCGATGTGAGCACTTGCGTTCCTTGAATGTTGATCGCTCGAAGGAGAGACCCCAGCAGAAGCAGGAGGCCAAGCAGATCCTCCAGCAGAAGCGAAAGGCCCTCACGGATCTCTTCAAGATGCTCCATCGGTTGGGTGCCAGCTACAAGACTGGTCTGTTGGAGCTCTCTCTGCGTAACGAGTTTGAAGATTTCCAGCTGCCTCCTTATTCCATTCGATCCATGCTGCCACGTCTGCACCCCAGTGCCCAGCAGTTGGATGAGCACTTGGACTTGTACTACATGAAGAGTGTGTTCAAGCTGAAGCTTTTGCAAAACATTATGTTGACTCCCCTGTCGGAACTGGGTCCTCCAAATATTGAACGTATCAAGGGCTTCGCTGTGGACTTGTTCCTTTTGGTGCAGCAGCAGCGAGATCAGCTTTCTGGATCCACCAAGGAGCTTCATCAGCTAAGGAGTTCGCTGGATAGCTTGCGTAAGCTGGCTGAGATTGTGCCACAAGCGGAGAATAATGCAGGAACTCTGAGCTTCGTCAGGAGTGCAGATATAGCAGGGAATATAAAGACTAATCTTTGCCAGATTCACTATGTTTTGAAGCAGTGGCAGCTGCTGTTAAGTTGTGCTCCAAGCACGGTGAGAGAAAACTCCGGCGATAGTCTCGTGGTGAGAACCATTCCCTTGGCTAAAAATGAGCTCCTTGATTTAAGCAGACAGGTCCTAAGCAGCAGCCAAAAATTGCTAAACGAGCTAAACACCAGTAATCTGGAGTTCCTATCGAGCGAGAAGTGTGATTATTACCAGAAAAGCTATCTGCAGATTCTGCAGGTCATAGAAAAGACTTTGGAACTACTACGAGCAGGACAAAATGATCATCTGCCCTTGGCGGAACCTCTCATCGAACTGTTAGCCAGCCTGCAAAGCAAAAAGCCCGCCGAGACTAGTTCAGAGGCAATAGATCTGGAAAATGCGGACACCGAGTTGGCCAACATAGCCCACAGTGTGCTTATATCGCTGCAGAAGATTTACAAACACCACGCAAAGCCAGAAGAGGGGCAACAAAATGGGGATGCCAAGGAGGCGGATGAAGAGTCGAAAGAGGCGCTGCAGGAACAGCATCTGAAGAAGTGCCTCACTGGAGAACTCAACGAGGATTGGAAACAGCTAAGTCTGCCCCGCGTCCTCGGCAAGCTTTCCAATGTACTCCTCGTGCTGAAGCACTCCAATTCCGAAGACCAGGATAAGCTACTATGCGTACGACGAGCAATCGGTCTGCTGCCCATTCTGGAGCAGTACCAATTACTAGCGGACTATCTGCTCCTGCAGCAGCTGGCCACCCACAAGGTTTCCGCCAAGATGTTGTCCATAGTGCTAACCGTATTCGTGGAGATTGGCAGCAAGGGCTTCTGTGTGCCGCCGGACCTTATGCAAGATGAGGAGGGTCAGTCCAAGCAGGACTCGAAGAACGGCGAGGGCTTTGGCCTGGAGGATGGCACTGGGGAGAACGATGCCTCCGACAAGATTGAGTCCGAGGATCAGTTGGACGACGCCAAGCGGCCAGAGGACCGCAAGGACGAGGGCGACAAGCAAGAGCCTGACTGCAAGGAGGAGAAGGGCATTGAGATGAGCGACGACTTTGATGCCAAGATGCAGGATGTGGAAAAACCCGAGGAAGATGACAGCGGGGAGTCCGAAGAGGAGGAAGAGGATCTTAACAAGGAGATGGGTGAGACGGAGGAGGGAGCCGAGAAACTGGACGACCAGATCTGGGGCGATGACGAGGAAAAGCCCGAGGAGGAAGAGGAGCCTGAGATGAATGAGGAGGATCAGGGCAAGGGCAGCAAGGATGAGAAGGATGCGCACAACGATCTGGACACAAAGAACGATGCGGCCAAGGAGGATGGCAAGGACGAGCACGAAAAGGACGGCTTGGATGCCACAAATGAGCCGAGCGGCGAGGACAAGCGCAAGGAGCAGGCCAAGGACATCGACGACATGAATGACCCCGAAATGGACGAGGAGCAGACCAATGCCATGCACAACGAGCTGGAGGAGCCGCCAGAGCCCGAAGAAATGGACCTGGGCGATATGAATAACGTAGATGAGGGTCACGACGATCAAGAGGAGCAGCCCACAGATGAGAATCCCTTTGACATTGATGCCATGAAGGAAAACATGCAGCCGGCTGAGGAGCCCGAGAATGATGGCGAGGAGGAGCCTGCTGCAGAGGAAGAAGGCGAACCCCAAAGCGACGGCAGCGACTCCGAGGAAGATGAGGCGGGCACTGAAGCGAAGCCAGGCCAAGAGGATCAGGGCGAGGGCGACGAAGCCACTCCCGAAGATGAAAAGGAAGAGCCGGAAACTCAGACACGCGGGGAACTGGATGAAGACGATGAACCAAAGCCCGAGGACGCTCCTGAGAATTCCAAAGAGGAAGAGGAAAAGCGCGAGGAGAAACCGGAACAGCACACTCAGTCCAAGGACAAGGCCAGCAAGGAGGAAAATATCCAGTCTATGCCAGAGACCGAGCAGAGCAGTTCAGCGGACCAGGTGCAGCAGCCGCAGGACCCTGATATTAAGCAGGACCAGAAACTCGACGAACAAGAGACAGGCGAAGAGAAGGATGGCGTTGGGCAGGCTGAAAACGATGTGAGTTTTAGTCGTCATCTTATTTGATTACCCTCTAATTTCTATAAACCATATTTGCAGACCAACGATGGTGGCCATCAGGGCATTGCCGAAACCCAGGAAATGGTGTCCCAAGAGGAGCGCAAGAACGAAAGGCAAACGCAGGAGAAGCGCAAACAGGGGCGAACTAACGAAGAGCGATCCTTAGGTAAGCAGGCAAACGGATTTAGGAACCGATAGCCATAATTCTAATGCACATTTCCCATTCAATAACCAATAACCTCTAAAATCACTTGCAGGCGAAGCGGAGCAGAACAAATTGAAGCAACTTAAGACAATTGACCAACTAAAAGAGTCTAAAGAAACGGAAGACGCTGATCAGGAGAAGCCGGAACCCACGGAAGAGGCGGAAGCCGAGGAGTACCAGCATGTGAAGGAGCCTAAAAACAGCGACAAAACTACGCTAGACAATGCCACCGAAGAACAGTCGAAGAAGATCCAGCACCAGGAGGATGAGCCACCGAACGAAGAGGAAACCGAGGCGGACAATGTCGACGATTTGATGGAAACCGACGAGCCAGCAGTAGACCCAGAGGATGATGCTCAACTGGAGCAGCTGGGTGCCGAAAAGACGGAGCAAAAGTCTGACAAACCCTCCAAGACAGATCAGTCCAAGGAGCGCCTGGAAACTCCCGAGGGCATGGAGATTGAAGGTGAAGTGGTGCTTACCATGACCGTTCCTCGCAGTACCGAAACCACAGCGCACAGCAAGTGAGTATTAGGAACTCTCCTGAAAGTTTATATAAACTAAAATTAACTCTGTGATTCAATAGCACCGAAATCCTGCTGGACAAAAGCTCGCACGCGGAGGAGCTGAGCGCAGCGGAGCAAATTGAGCTCCGGCAACAGTATCAGCAGCAGCTGACCACATTCCGAGGGGTATGTTTTCTGTCCCTTCATATAGTAATACCCATACTAAATGTTATATTCCAGGCACAACCGCAGCACGAGGACTACGAGAGTTGGCAGGGCATCTCGAACCGTATGACCCAGAATGCTCGAGAGCTCTGCGAGCAGCTACGTCTTATCCTGGAGCCCACCAAGTGTACGCGGCTGAAGGGCGATTACCGCACCGGGCGGCGCATCAATATGAAGAAGATTATCCCTTACATCGCTTCGCAGTTCCGCAAGGACAAGATTTGGCTGCGACGCACAAAGCCAGCTCAGCGTGACTACAAGATCACGATCGCCATCGACGATTCCAAGTCGATGCACCACAACAACTCCAAAACGCTGACTCTGGAGGCCATCTCTCTGGTGTCGCAGGCACTGACTTTGCTGGAAAGTGGGCGCCTGAGCATCGTGTCTTTCGGAGAGGCGCCTCAAATCGTCCTGAATCACACAGAACAGTTCGACGGACCACGCCTAGTGAACGCCCTAAACTTCGCACAAGACAAGACCAAAATAGCCGGCTTGTTGGACTTTATACGCACTGCCAATGCGGAAGAAAGCGGCCTGGGTGGCGATAATGGTCTGTTCGAAAACCTTTTGCTCATACTCAGCGATGGAAGGAATATATTCAGCGAGGGTGCGCAGAAAGTCAAGAACGCCATAAAGCTGGCGCGATTGCAGCGCATCTTCCTGGTTTACATCATCATCGACAATCCAGACAACAAGGTAATGAATTTAAAAATAATCAAAATGAACTATACTAATTTTTGATTACTCTTAGAACTCTATTCTGGATATACAGCATGTGGCGGTGAACTCAGATGGATCTGTAAACATTAGCTCCTATCTGGACAGTTTTCCATTCCCATACTATGTGATCGTCAGGGACCTCAACCAATTACCACTAGTGCTCAGCGAAGCCATGAGGCAATGGTTCGAGCTGGTCAACAGCGAGTAACTTATATATGCTGATAATATACGTAGAGTGAGCAACCATAACCTTTCCTAATCATACACCCCGAGAACAACATTTAATTACCTTTTATTAGAATTATATCAGTCCTTAAGATTAGGCCACTTAGTTGTATTCCTCTTGTAAATAATCAATTCTACAAATTCAAAACGTGCTGCAAATTAGTCTTATTTGAAAATATTATAATGAATTTATATTTTTTGACAATTACTATTTGTATATATTATATTCGACGATACTCTTGTTAATAAAAAGTATTTGGATGAAAATGTGTACTTGGCTTTAAAAATTCATTGAAAATAGTTTTGGGGCTCTGGTTTAATTAAACGATTATATTTATATTTACCCTAAAACCCCATATAACCGCCACTGCGAGCATGTAACAATGAATCACTTCGCTTGAGTTCTAAGTGTGTAAATAAGATAGCGACGAACTAAGAGTAAAATTATCGCATATATTGTCTTGGAATCAACCGCGGATGAGACAGTTGACTGTTGATCGGCAACCAGTAACAATGGCAAATTGGCGACCTCTAGAAAATGATCATCAGAAAGTATGTATTATAACTGGAAGTCTATTGGTAATAATATGAATAAACAAATTTAATGACTTTTTAAAACTGTAGATTAATAATCTCTATGAAGAGAACCTTCAGAGAAAGGTAAGTACAAACACAAACAATTTACAAGCTTTAAAATAGTGTAGGTTGCACAGCCTTCCCATGGATAAGCCTTTTTCAATAATAAGATAACATGTTAATCTTATCTCAAGGAACAAGGTTCCGATGCTCAAGGCTATTTAAAGCCTGCGGATGGAGACCTTAAGCCCCCGGCTGTGTATATCCTCAACCACGAAGAGTTTCCCGGGAAACCCCGAAAAGGCAGCGCAAATGATGTCGAAGCTCTGACAAAAACTTTCAAGAAGCTGAAGTGTAAGGTTGAAGTAGTCCCGAACCCCACTCGGGCTATAGTTCACGACAAATTGAAAAATTGTAAGAAAAAAATTTGATACAATATTTGCTGGATATTAATAAATTCCTTTCAGTGACTAAAAAGAAATTCGACCATCCGTCTGGTTTGGTCATCGTCATCTTGAGCCATGGCTCCCGAAGGGAGCAGATCCAAACGTGCGACAATAAGAGCTACAATTTAGACGACGATGTTCTTTTTCCACTCTTCGATAATGAATCACTGTCAGGCAAACCCAAAATCCTAATTGTCCAAGCCTGCAAGGGATCATGGAGAGCATCAATGGAATCGGATTCGAAAAAAAATCAAAAAAATAATGAACCGTACATAAAATGCTACAGCAGCTCCGAGGGTTTTCTTAGCTATCGCAATGAATCAAATGGATCCATTTTCATACAAACCTTGTGCGATAAAATTAATCAAGATGGAATGAAAAAGGATTTTCGGTCAATCATTGAAGATGTAAAAGTTAGTGTTCAAAAGTTGTCTATATCACAAGGGTAAGTACAAGAGTCAAGTCGTCGTTTTTAATATTTTCATTAACAAAATATATAATATTTATTTATTATTAATTTATTTGGCCTTTTTTTCCTGCTTTTCAGTTATAAGCAAACGCCATCGGTAAACTCCAACCTTACAAAACGCTTTTGTTTTGGAGATTTTGTGCAAAACGGATGATACGAAACCACCATAAACCATATCATTATTTGATACAAAGATACCAATTTAATTGCATTTACTATATTACGTTATTATTTTATGTAAATAAAATTCGTTCCTCGTCAAATTTATTTTATTTTATTTTAAGTTGGTTTCTATTGCCACAACAGGAAATTGTCATCGAATTCCTGTTTTAATGGCAGATTTCTGTCCAAATCCTTTAATGTGTAAAACGTGATTTATAATTATTTACACTAAATATAAGCACTTCCTATTCGGGGACCGGATGTGCAAATGACTATCAGACAGAAAAAGACTGGATCGATAAGCGTTGATTAGATATCAACTCACACTTAATAATAAATCTTATCTTTCAAATAACACAATAGCTGCACATTCATTTCTACAATTAGTCGTAGTAATGGATTCCGAACGACAAGAACTGAAAAGTGAATAGGTGTCTTAGTAATGGATAACTACGTGCATTGCAATAACATATTTTTTCAAGTCTTTACAGGAATTAAGAGACGAAATGAATACGCCTGCACAGGATACTAATCCCGCTGAAAGATTTCAGACCATATCTGAAGACATTCAATGTGTAAGATTATCATTCCTTACATAGAGTATTGCTATAAATAAGCAATATATGCTTAAACGACTTTTCTTTTGTTAAACGCAATGAAAAATGAAATTATATAAATAATGGTATGATTATGATTTTAATGTATTACTACCGAAGGATGCTCAAGGATGTCTGCCACTGGAGTCTGGTTTTAATCCTCAGCAGCAATTGCTGCCGCCATATGTCTGCATATTGAATCACGAGGTATTTCCAGACCAGAGGCGATTAGGCAGCTCACAGGATGTTAGAGCTCTGTGCAAAACATTCTCCAGCCTACAATGTCAGATTGAAGTTGTTTGCAACCCCACATTGGCTATGGTTAACGACACGATTAGAAAATGTGAGTAAAAAATGAGACCAATAATGTTTGTTTGACTTAAATAAATTTCTTACAGTGGTCCTAAAAAGATTCGATCGCTTGTCCGGTTTGGTAATAGTTATGTTGAGCTACGGCTTAGAACAGGAGAGGATTCGCACGTGCGACGATGAGGGGTACGACTTGGATGTTGATGTGCTCTTTCCGCTCCTCGAAAATGAAACCCTGTCAGGAAAACCAAAAATTCTAATAACCCAAGCCGGTCAAGGCAATGGAAGGCCACCTTTTTCGAAGAAAATTCCCTCACCCTATATTAAATGCTTCAGCTCCTCCGGAGGTTTCATGAGCTATCGTCGCGTAGAAGAAGGGTCTATTTTTATACAAGCCCTGTGCGAAGTGATGGATCAAGACGGCCTTACAAAGGACTTCCGGTTAATTATATACGATGTAAACGCGAGGGTCGAGGAGATAGCTGAATCGTTAGGGTAAGTGCTCAGTAAATCAGAGAAAATTATTTGTTAACTGTATTTAAATAAAGTTTATATTGATCCTTAATTAAAAGACTGATGCAAGTACCATCAATACTATCAACTCTAAGGAAACCATTCTGTTTTGGAGATTTTGTGCAGTACGCAAAGTAAGAGACTGGAAATATAAAAAAATAAAAAGCTCCAATTATAGCTTATATAATTAAATATCTAGTGCTAGGATTCCAAGGACATCGCCCTCTGCTACAATTCAAAAAACATCTACTATTCCGGGGATTTCGATTACTGATCTTCAACCTCCATTGGTCTACATATTCAATCATGAAATATTCAAGAATACAGTTAAAAACAGATCAGGAAGTTCGAAAGATGTCGATGCTTTGCGAAGTACTTTTGAAAACTTGAACTGCGAGGTTCACGAAGTTCCAAACCCTACACTGGCTATGATACAGGGAACCTTTAAAAAATGTGAGTAATCCGAAGGGTATTTTCTACTTGATATTGATTGAGCTTTTCCAGTGGAAGTGGAGAACCTGAAACTCCGATCTGCGGTAGTCATCGCCATTCTGAGCCATGGCAATCGCAATGAGTTGATCGAGGCATGCGACGATACGAATTACTACTTGGACGATGACGTTTTATTTCCCCTTTTGAGAAACGATACCCTGAGAGGCAAGCCGAAAATATTGATTGTCCAGGCATGCAAAGGAATTTTAGAGGCGGACTCAAACCGAATAAGTTGCAACCCCAGGGATTTCATCATCTGTTACGGGACCACCGAGGGGTTTGAAGCCTACCGACATCCTTTCTTTGGATCGCCGTTCATCCAAACTCTATGCCAACACATGGATAAAGACGGCAAAACCAAAGATTTCCAGAAAATTATGCAGGCAGTGAACCAGTCGGTCACTGAGGAAGCTCCTGATAAATATAAGTAAGTATATCAAGGCTTCCATTTTATTTATCTTTTACTATCTGTAATGGCTTGCTGTTTTCAGAAAGGAAATGATACCGTCGTATACTTCAACGTTTGGAACAAAAAAATTTTACTTTTGGCACAACATCTACATAGATCAAGATGGTAACTAGTTAAATTTATCTGTAAAAGTCTCAACCTTTGCTTTAAATTAAAAACTAATTGCTGGAAAAAAGAGGATTTTTTTTATTGAATATAAAAAGCTGATTTCAGAGTTTACAATAGGTTAACAATTATCAATATGTCTCCCACCAACTAGAAGTTAATAAATAAAGAGCAAGGGTAATCTTAAAACCGATTAAATTGTCGTTTTTTGTCGTTGTGAACTCAAAATAAATAAATAAGGGTACCCAGATTTTGACATTTTTTATGTTTATATTAAGTTTATTTTGGAAAACGGATAAATGATAAATATAATGGGATTGAATGGGATTGATGGAATTGCATGAGCGACTCTTGACTTCTTATCTTCTGCTATTTAATATTAATATATATTGCAAATTTGCCCCAAATTTGTGTGAGGGGATTATAGTGATGTCACCCTATATACATATGTATGTTGCGAAAAATTTAAAATGTATTTCACATTGAGATAACCTTTGGGTGTTGATAAGGTTATCAGCCATAATACAACTCAGTCTTACACATGGATAGGAATCGTACGGAAGTGTCGCTAGAACGTGAAGAGGTGCTTTGGTAAAGAATTCGGAAGTAATCCAGTAATGAATGGCTTTTGATCTTAACAGGAATGGAGGGACGAAATTGATACGCCTGTACAGGATCAAAGGTTTCAGGCCACATCTGAGTTCTTTTCGTGGGTAAGAAGATTATCGTTTACTGTTTCTTTGTGTTATTTCGACCGAACAACACAATATACAATGCCAATGCATGTACATAATGTATTCATATTGATGCCCTCTTTGTATTTTGACAATTATTGTTGCCAGCGATTTACATTTTAACGCTCTGTTAAATCAATGACATTTTGTCGCAAATGTCTTTTCCCTGCCTTCTTTTTAACCTAACCTGCTTGGATAAAGTTTATACCATTTCAACAAATTCCCATTTCCCTAAATATACCTTAAAAAGCTTTGATTAAGCCTATATCGATCGAGCGTTAATTTTTCTTAAAAAATTTATAACAAGTATTTTTCTTCTTCTTAAAATCTGTGCTATCAAAGGGTCAGTTTTTTATTAAAATGGAAAGTTGCTAATTTCCCAACCGATAAAAAGTTTGTATATTAACAGTAATTACAATAATTAAATAATTAAAACGCCAAGTAGTTAAATTATAACCTTTTTTGTATAAAATAATATTTTTAATATTTGTTTTTTTTTTACAGGACAGCAATGAGTTGGCTGAACAAGTCAGTGATTCTGGGACAACCAGTGGTGAACCGCTCAGGCAATTTCAACCAGCTAGTATGGTCTTTCAGCACGTGGGTATATTATTAGTTATAAGCAATATTTCAAAAAATATTTAATGTAACTTATTTTAAAAGGATGCTCGAATGGAGTTATCTGAAAGTGCCAGTGAATCAGTTCCATTACAATCAGTTGATCCTCCGAAGAAACTTTTGCCGCCTTATCTCTGCATATTGAATCATGAGGAATTTCCGAATGATCCCGCACGGAATCGAAAAGGCAGCTCAAAGGATGTCGAAGCTGTGCGTAATACTTTCGGAAAGCTAAAATGTCAGATTGACGAAATTCCCAATCCCACACTGGCTAAGGTTAAGGACACCGTCCGGGCATGTAGGTAACGAAGAAAACCCATACTGACCTTTTGATGTAATTTCATTTTTTACAGTGGCTCTAAAAAGTTTCGCCCATCTGTCTGCTTTGGTCATCGTGATCTTGAGCCATGGGGACCAAAACGAGAAGATCTGTGCATGCGACGGTGAAGAGTACCACGTGGACAGGGATATTTTATTTCCACTCTTCGAAAATGAAACCCTGGCAAATAAGCCAAAAATCCTAATAATCCAGGCCTGCAAGGGCCATTGGAAGGCGGATTCTAAGAAATCCGACCGGAACCCCTCATCCTATATCAAGTGCTACAGCTCGACCGAAGGTTTCCAGAGCTTTCGCCACGTGACAGCTGGATCGATTTTCATTCAAACCTTGTGCAATGTAATGAACCAAGACGCCCTCACAAAGGACTTCCGCTCAATAATTGAGGATGTAAACGCAAAGGTCGAGAGGCAATCAAATTTAAATGGGTAAGTTTGTAACATTTTCAAAATTTTGTTTTTTATTTATAGTGTAATCAATTTTGAATGGTGTCTTTTTGTTTTACAGATACAAGCAAGTTCCATCAATATCATCGACTCTAAGAGAACCATTCTGTTTTGGAGACTTTGCCCAAAACGCAAATTAAAGGGTTAGAAAATTATGAAAGTGCAGCCGATTTAAATGGTATTTATTTACCAGAGTCAAATATAAAAGAATGTATACACCAAAAAGGTTAAATTGTGTGGCAGAAAGCCTTCACAATAGCACCACTGATTAGTGTAGTTAAAACAAAAGAATTTAATCAAGCATTTGGGATAATAAATGATAAAAGAAAAACTTTTGATTTAACTTATATGAGAACGTGTCTGATGGGAAATCCGCTTTACCAAAGGAAGGCACAATTGCATTTAAGTTTACCGAATACAAGCTTTAGAAGTTTTACAATTACCTCAAATACTATTGGGGATAAGAACCCTTTGATAAAAGGGATACCTTAATACAGACTCGAGGACAATTTATCTATTTTTAGGTGAGTACTCATACTTCCAACCCATCATCAGGATTTCTCACTTCAACATAAAACGAGTAGACCACGATCCAGAAGTAGATATCACAGCCTGGAAAGCCTGGACTTTAGATCTGTTCTTGGAATAAAGCCCATTGAAGACCTCACAAATATAACAATTTATCTATTTTTAGGTGAGTAATCATACTTCCAATCCATCATCAGGATTTCTCACTTCAACATAAAACGAATAGACGACGATCCAGAAGTAGATATCACAGCCTGGAAAGCCTGGACTTTAGATCTGTTCTTGGAATAAAGCCCATTGAAAAACTCACAAATATAAATGGCCGAGCCTGGAACAATTATCTCCCGGTATATCTGTTCGTATATCAGAAGGTAGATGCAGTACACAGTCATTATGATGCAGTTGGTCAGGCTGGTGATGAGGAAGAACATCAGAAGAACGGTCGATCTCTGTGGTGGTTTTTCAAGATGTTATCGTATGATCAGCTACTTAGTGGTGCCATCTGGACTTACGAGTAGTGCTCCGCCCAGCAGGAAAATGCACCCAATGCAGTGACAAATGGCCACCGCCTGCTCGATGTGTGCGATAAACTCCTCTGATAGATAGGGAATTAATTACTGACAGATAGGGAATTCAGGAAAGGATCACAATCGGACACCTACGACCGGCCATGTTGAGCACCAGCGCGTTGACAACAAAGTCCAGCACGGCGATTAAATAGCAGGCCTTGCGCAATTTAATGCAACAGCAACATTTTTTAAGACGCCACATTTTACAATTTTGATCTATGAAAACCTGAAAACTGATTGAAAAGGCATAGTAATTGTGAGAGAACCAAAAGTTTTATTACTACAAGCACCGTACAATTTACTACAACAACTAGATGGTAAAAGATCAGAGGATCTCAGAGGAACAGAGCTCCTCCCAACGCGGCATAGAAGGAGTAGGCCACCAGCCAGAAGTAAAGGCATAGGACTGAAAGTTTTGGGAATAAGCAAACGCCATCAATCAAAAGCCTTGGAATCTACTCACAGAACATAATGGCATAGGTTACCATGACCCAGAACCAAATGGCTAGTATAACGTCTGATACTATCAGTATTAGCATGGCCAGAGCCATGATCATGGTCATTATTATGTAGAATAGCATCCAGCAGCTTCTTAACTGGAGTTTTATAGATTTAACTATAATTTATATTAACAAGTTGAGGTCGATCTCACCCGAAAACAGCCGATGATCAGAAAGACGCAGCTCAGAATGTGCAACATCACGAAGATAATGAACAGAGTGTGGCCCAAGTCGGGAATGCCTACGGGGATATCAGGATAACTACATGTTCTGGACTTCCCTCGCACTTACCCGACTCTCCAAACAATGCTACAAAAATGCCTCCAATAACATCCGCTATAATGTGCAGTATCCCGATTATAATGGTACCGATGCGCAGATCCACGCAGCAACAGCAATTCTGTAGGTAGATCATATTGCCGATGGTCTGCAGATCCTTAGGTCTTAGTTTTCAGTGGAACGATTAGAGGGTGTAGTTTTTTTGATTATTGGAGACCAGATTGTGTAAGTTCTGACACTAAATACAAAGTACTTAATTATGCTGGCTCAAACAAGCTTATATAACTTGTAAGAAGTTGAATGCTAGTAATGCACATTACCCTTTATTTAAAGAGCTCCCCTATTTAATAAGCATACATAATCTGAACCAAAAATGATTTTACTTGAAACTTTTAACTGTCTATTTAGACAGTTTCTTTATTAACTCTTTTGTGACGATAATACTTTACACATGTGATAATTAAATCGATAGCAGTTTAAAACTAACTTATTCTAACTTTTATGTCAAGATCATTTTATTTTTGTTAAGGCTATTTTCTGACTTAGAAAGTTAGTTTACTTCCGAGGTGGGTTCTTCTTGTTTCATGGGTTAGTAACCTCTTGCGAAATTGGCGCCCTATAAATATTTAAGTGCAGATCGTCGATCCAATGACCGTCCCTGGCCTACCAACGGAATGTACGATCGTGTCAATCGAGTTATATAATAAATTACAAGTAAACATCGCAATCGACCATTAAAGCGTATGCCTTTGGCAAATATTGGCCGAAAAAAAAAGGCCGGGAAGACCAAAAAAAAAAAAAAAAACAGAACGTGACAACGACAGGCCCCTCCCTTCGATCTTTCTGCCTGTGCAGTTTTCGGTTTCGTTTTCATCACCCGAATGAATCTAAAAACGAATCCCCATCGGAAACGGAATCCGCGTCCACTTATATCGAAAACGAAACCGAAATGAGCACAATGCGCCCACTAATTTGTATGCATCGCGGATTGCAGGCGGGGATTGAAGAGCTCCGCGTAACGCGATTGGGAAGCCATCGGAAATATTATGCAAAGGCGGGGGCTATACAAATCGTCTGGCGGCGAGAGCCATATAAAATGCCCGATTGACCTGCAGCAGTAGCTTCATTCGCAGCGGAACCATCGACACGACCAGCATGCAGACGCAGTGTATCCTCCTCCTCCTGGCCGCCAGCCTGGCCATATGTGTGGCCCGTCCGGAGCCACCGAAGTCCCGCTATGGACCACCCCCACCGCCAGCTCCCCAAAAGGAATACGGACCCCCTGCTCCGGCGGCACAGCCTCTACCCGTTTATGGCCCACCCGCCGCCTTCTACGGACCACCGGCCACCTCGGAGGCCCTGGTGACCAAGAATGTGTACGTGCATGTGCCGCCAGAGGAGCCGGAGTTCTATCCGGCCTCCTCGCCCATCCAGACGGCCGTGCCCAAAAAGCACTACAAGATCATCTTCATCAAGGCGCCCAACCCACCCACTCCAGTGCGTCAGGTGCTCCCACCCCCAGTGCAGGATGAGCACAAGACCCTGGTCTATGTACTCGTGAAGAAGCCCGAAGAGCAGCAGCCCCTCATCCTGCCCGCTCCCGAGCCCACGGAGCCCAGCAAGCCGGAGGTGTACTTCATCAAGTACAAGCAGCAGCAGCCCAAGCCGGCCACCCAGTACGGACCACCCCCATCCGCCCCCGCGGAGGAGTACGGAGCACCACCTGCCCCCCGCACCCTCGAGCAGTTCTAGTTTGTAGTGTCGCCTAGGTGCACAGCCCATGAATGTAAATATTATTTATGATCGCTGCCATTAAAGAGAGTTTAGAAAATGCAAAATCAATTTGTTCCCGGATCTTGAATTCCTGCTGCACATGAATTTTTACATATTCAGGGTCAGATTCTTACTCTATGGAGATAATAAGTATTCATATTCCGCGCCAGACATGTATGGAGATAATAAGTATTCATATCTTGTTGTAAGTTGTGTTCCAGATCCTGAAATCTTGGCATATGCATGTGAATCTTTATCATAATATATACCCATATCCCCATGAATTCTTGCGGAAAATACAGGCTGAATCATTAAATATTAAATCTCTTCGTAAATTATTGATAAACATTTTTATTTTCGTTTGACATACGAAGATCAACCACTCGTTATCAACAATGGGGTAGCGATATTTAACTCTGTGCGAAATGAGCTCAGTACTCAATATTTGTTTTATTGATGGGAGTACACTTATTGAATACAAATGAGTTTTTACTTTTAAAATAAAACGAGCATTACAGAAGAAAAAGTTTTGTGGCGGCCTGTTTTTATTATTTAATATTAAAGCCTTTAATTCGGTAAGAAAAAAGTTTGTAGGTATATTGTTGTTAAGATTAGCAATTTATTATATCAGGTAACTGAACATAACATTGATACAAAATGCAAATTAATCTTCTAAAATTTGTTTCACTACTTTTCCAAAAGACATCAAATTTTATAAAAAGGCAACAAAATATATGAACTCAGGTGTCCTTCAATCGATCGTAGTAAGAATAGACCACCAACCAAAAGTACAAGCCAAGAACTGGAAACGGAGATAAGCAGGCTGTATAAATATCTATATAATAATGTTATCTTACGGGATTGGAGAATGTCAAAAACAAGATATTCGTTGATAATGCCTTCCGTGGCCACAAACACGCCCTCGGCAACCAAAATAAGGAAACGTAGGCAGGAAACCGAGAGATACGGCAACAGAAAATATCTTAAACCCTGAAATAAAGTATTTTAATATCCTATGAAACCGAGCTATTAAAAAGTCTTACCAACACGGCTCCGAGCAGAAGGAATATGCAACAGATGACGTAGATACCACTTACTATGAGGGAAAAAAGTCCCAACAGACTGTCGCCTTGGGAAAAGGTTTATTTGCACTTTAGATTTATATTTAAATCATACTTACGATCCACAAAGAACCGATCCAGCCCACGGATGAGCACCTCAACGATGGCTATTAGGATGCAGCCGCACTTCAGCTCGATGCAGCAACAGCAATTGTCAGAGTAGATCATTTTCGGTTCAGTGGGATTTGTACCAGCTCATCGGTTTCTGATGGATCCCGCCTGGCCAACTGACATACAACAACAGGTAATTATGTTTGAGCCGGTAATTCTGATCACGTTCCATGGTTCACGGCTGTGGTCTGCATAATTAATTGACTTTGTGTGGGTTAGACCAATTAGGGTCATTGCCATCAATTGCAATATTACGATTCAATGGCCTATAAATACTTGTAGTTCAGATCTTTTGATCAGCCATATATTTGTACAATTCTTAAAGTCCTTATAAAAATGTATTTATTTACTTTTCTGAAGAATTTTTTAAATAAAGTTTCAGTAAAAAGCTAAATATCGGAAGCTATTACGTTTCAATTTACAAAAAAAGGAAATGAAACATTTTTTTAAATTACAAAATGAATAATAAAAATAATGTATTGGACAACAAATTAAATTAATGGAGATTAATAGAGAATAACATTTGTAGACCAGTTTAAAATTCAGACACAGAATATGTTCACCATTACATTATGTTTATTTAGAAATCTATAGCTAAATGAATGTACAAGAGCCGAAGCTCTTTGCGTCTTGGCAGCTGCAGAAAATCAAGACTCGCAAGCGGGAGAATGTTGAGTAATTAATGTAAGTGTAGGAGGATTAATAATAGTTAAATGCGAGGAGACTTATATCTAGCTCAGTAAACGCAATGATTATAGTCAGCCTACAGCGGACTTTCGTCTGCGGGTCCGCTAAACTCCTCGCCCTAGGGGAATCGTCCGCCGCTGTTGAAGTTATTCGGTGCTGGGCGACGGATGGGTCGCCGGCTGCGTGCCCGTTGGGCGAACCGATTGCTGTTGGGCGGCATGTTTCCCTGGTCGCGCTGCATGTTTCCCGGCGACGGCTCCCGCTGCCAGACGATCCGCTGCGGCCGGTTTTGGTTGTTGGGACTGCCGCCGCGCATCATAGCACGTCCTCCGCGTCTTGTGGGCACCGCACTGCGCAGCGTGCGAAATCGCGTGTTCTCCGACGGCGAAGTGGCCTCCGCCTCCCGACCCTCCTCCTTTAAAGACAGCAAAAGCGATCGAGTTAGAATTGAGTTGGATCAGACTGAGGTCTAAGTTATATAAACTACTTTCTTTAAATTTTAAAACAGTAGTGTTGATTCTTTGAGTGAAGTTGAATAGGAAATACCCCATCTAAATAGTGATTCTTATTATAAGGCAGTTAAAGAATAAAAACACAAAAGTTTCGGTGGTATTATTTTCACTTGTGTCAGATAAAGCTGTAGTTTCATTAAATAAAATAAAAAATATTAACAGATTTCCAGTTTCAACTGATTATAAAATTTATAATACAAATACAAATTAATCATTGGGTAAACTTGTTAGTTAGTTCAGCTTAAGCACCAATAGTTTATCTTTCAGTCTCAAAATTCTGTTTTAAATCACAAGAAATAGATGTCAACTGGGGGTTAGATTAATAGCATTCTAATTAAATTAACTCCCATGCAGGGTCTCATTCGGACCAACCTGCTGATCTCCACTGTTAACTAGCCACCAGAGAAAGTGCTACTTTGGACAAGAACGCGTCCTTACCTCAACACCCACCGCCTGCTTCTCACCCTCAGACGAGACGCCATCGGCGCCCTCGCTGTCCTCGGTGGGGTTGCCCTCGGCAAGATTGGCCTGGTTATGGGACACCTCCGACTGGCTCGTGCCCACATTTGGATCTGCATTGGTAAGATAGAAGCTGATTAGTTTTTCATTCTTTATATAATTCGTTATATAGCTTACTATCATTTCCCAGTGGCTGGGAGTCCTCTTCTTGGCCAGCAGCCAGCGTCTCCTCGGCGAAAGCCTCATCCGCCTCACTGGCGTTTTCAGCTCCTCCAGCAAGATCCCCTTCGTCGGCTGCTTTGTTGCCGTCGCTTCCACTGCTCTCTCCTGCCTCGCCCAGTTTTAGTGGAGAACTGCCAGAGGCAGCTCCCTCATCGCTGGGTCCTGCACTTTCATGGGGAGCACCATCGACCACTTCGGCGGTGTTATCCACCTCGGCGGTCTCCAAGCGGGCTGGCTGCTCGCTGAAGTTCGATACTTGGGGTGAGCTAACAATCTCCACAGAGCTGTTGAGAATATTAATAAATTAGATCCGATTATCGGAGACAAATCATTTACCCACCTTTCGTTGCGTCTAGCAGCGGCCGTGGACGTGGAAGCGGCAGCCTGCTTCCAGTTGGAGACCTCAGCCTGCGGCAAAGTCACCGGGTTCGAGGACTCGCCACTGCCACTGGTGATGGCCTGGCTCTGGTTGTTCTCCTGCGTGGAAGCGGATGCGGTCGCCACTGCCTGGCTGTCCAGCGATTGGCTCTCTTCCTGCGCCTGCATGTGCTGCTCCGGCACCTCCTCGATGTCCACCTCGTTGTTGTCCTGGGCATCCACGGCTATATCGTTGTCATCGTCAGCACCCTCGTTGTCGTCCATCTCGTTGTCTTGCTCGTAGGAATCCTCGTATCCCTCCTGTTCGGCATCGCCTCCGTCAATGGGACCATCGTCGGCATCGGCCAGAACGTCCTCCTCGTCGTCCGAGTCCACCACCTGAATGTCATCCTCCTGATCGCGCTGCGAAGAGGTCGGCATCTGGTCGACATCCATTCCGGAATCGCCAATGTGCCCGGCAGACAGTTCTCCACTGTGCATGGGACCACGAAGTCGTTTCGTCATCTTTGGCATCTTCTCGGGTACACCCTCCTCGTTCGTGGTGGAGGAGTCTCCCTCCACATCACGTGGTCGCTTGATGCCCTGGGACGAGCAGCCGGCCTGGGTGGTCGTCACATTGCTGCTGGATGGTGTGTGCCTGCTGTGGCTACTTACCACCGTGGAAGAGCTGCTGCTGCTGCCCGAAGTGCTGGGCAGCTGGCTCTGACTCCCGCCATCCTGAACGCTCGGGGCGGTGGCGTTCGGGGCCGACGTGGAGCTAGATGACGATGATGATCCCTCGACGCGCGGCGACACCAGAGCCACCACTTGCTGCTGGGCTCCGCCCACGAACAACTGCGAATCGTTTTGCTGCGGATGTTGGATGCTTTCCGCTTCCTGGGAACTTTCAGCCGCGGATGAGGCGCCCATCGGTGGAATAGCAGCCACGGCCACAGAAGCCGAGCTGGTGGATGGCATGTAGTCGGTGTGCGAGGATGTGGGCGAGGAGGAGGCCATCGATTCCAGGGCAGCACTTCCTGTGGTGTGCACCTGCTGCTGTGGTGGCACCAGAGCGGTTTGTGCCACCGCCGAACTGCCTCCGCTGGCCGCAGCGGATGTGGTGGAAGTGGATGAAGAAGATGACGATGAGGAGGTGGACGTACTGGATCCAGCCGGGGGCTGTTGGCTGGTGGGCAGAATAGCGGCCGTGCGGCTGTTCTGCACTGAAATGGGCCGGATGCTGGCCAATGGAGTCTCTCCTCCACGCCAGGGAGTCACGGTGGCCGATTGCTGCACAGTGGCTGATCCGGACATAGGTTTAACGTTAGCAGTACGCGGAGAGCTTTCCGAGATGTTGCCCTTCTCGGCCACGGAGCTGGTCGACGGCTTGGTAGACTGCTGGGATCCCAGCTGACGAGTAAGCTGGTTAATTCTCATGTGCAGAGATTCGTTCTCCCGGGTGAGTCGTTGGTTGATGTCCTTATTGGCGGCTATGTTCTCCTGCAGCTCCTTTTCCAGGCGGGCGATTGTCTCGTCGTAGGAGGACTTGGTGCCGGCAAAGGTGGTCTCCTGGTTGGCCAAATCAGTACGAGCCACGGTAAGATCCACAACCAGTTTGTCCAACTTGGCCTTATACTCCTGTCGCACAGCAGTGGCATCAGTTTCTGGCTCAGCGCGTTTCTTTAGCTCCTCGCTTTCTTTGGACAGCTTTTCATGCTCTTCTTTCAGTGCTCTCAGTTGGTTATTGACCTCCTCCAATTCGCCGCGAACCTTTTCCAGTTCGGCGATGGTCTCGGCTCCTCCTGTTTGTGCTTGCAATCCCATGTAGTAGTCCTTGTACCTCTTGGCCAGCTTGCGCAACTGCAGCTCCTTGGTGTCCTTGTCTGCAATGGCCTTGTCCTTTGTCTCCAACTCCTCGTTGGCCTTAAGCAGTTCCTCTTCCTTCTGGAGCAGGCGGTTTTTCAGCTCCATGATGTCCTGCGTTTGGCGCGTGTTGTTTTGCTTGAGATTGGTGGACTCGTCCGCCTGCTTCTTGCGCGCCTCGTCCAGCAACTGCAAGTGTTTGTTAAGCGACGGAATCTCTGTGTCTAGACGCTGCTTCAGCAGGGCTAGCTCATCCGATTGCTTTTTGCTCTGCTCCTTCTCGGCTGTGAGCAACTTGGCCAGGTGCTCGCGCTCAGCCTGCAGACGCTTGAACTCTTCCGGATTGCGGTTGCTCTTCTCCACCAGCGCATTGGCGCGCTGCCGCCACTTGATGGCCTCGGTGCGCAACGAGGTGTTCTCCACATTAATTTCCTCGATCTTGGAAGACAGCTCCTTGTTGCTGCACTGCATCGGGAACAGCTCCTTTTCCACGGAACTGATGCGGTTAGTAAGCTCGGAGACGCGAAGGGTCAAAGCATTTCGCTCCTCCCGAAGTATACGGTTGCTGTCGGTGATGGCGTTTAGGGTTTCGATCTTGCGCAACACCTCCTCGTGCTTGTTGGCCGACACCACATCAGTCTGACTCTTGGAGCGCTCCTGGTTCAGATAGCCATTTAGTTCATCCACCTTCTTCTGCTGAATCGTGTGCTCCGACATGAGACGAGCATTTTCTGCCTTGAGAATGTCTAGCTTGGCGGCGAATAGATCCTTCTCCTTGCGCAGGAACTTAATGATCTTCAGAAGCTGCTCATTGTTTCTTCCCTCTTCGGCACCGGCCAGTCCAGAAGTATTCAAGCTCTGATCCGCATCCATGCCCGACTCATTAAGGGAAGTGTTCGGGTTTTGAATTTGACTGGCCAGAACAGCCAATTTGGTGGTCAGTGCTTCAATCTGATCGTGCAGACTGGAGTTCAGGGCATGCAAATCGGCCACGCGCTGCTCGGACTCCTCCTTCTCCTTGTCCAGGAGCTTTTGGGCCGCGGCATTGGAACGTTGGAGCTCGTCGTAAGCGGCTTGTAGTGATTCCCTTCCTGACTTCAACTGATTTAGCTCGTCGTTGACCTTGTAGAACTCCGCCTTGAATCGGGTAAGCTCCTGGATGTCCGCCGAGTGCTGTATCATGCCGTTGGCGTATTTCACCTCCACGGCACTCAGGGATTCAGCCAGAGTGGTGTTCTCGCCACGAAGCGTGCGAATGGTGCGATTGGACTCCGTGAGCTTCTCCAACACACTCTTCAGCTCTTCTTGGGCCGTCTTCAACTGACCAGACTGGTTGACAGTCTTGCTCTGCTCAGTGACATTGGACAGCATAGCTTCCGCCTCTAGATCGGTAATGCGCGTCTTGAGCTCAGCCTCGGAACTCTGGAGCTTCTTGATTTCCTCCTCCTGCTTGGCCACCAGTTCGCTGTGCAAATCGTGCAGACGCTTGATCTCACTCTCGGCGCTCTGGGACATCTTGAAGAACTGTTCGCCATGCTCGCGAGCATTGGCCAGTTCCTTGGTGAGCGACTGGATCTCCACGTTAGCCTGGTCTAGTTTGAGCTCAAGCTCCCGGGCTCGTTTGTTGGCCGCCGTGATGGGATTTTCGTTCATGGAAGGCGTGAGGCTGTTCTGTAGCTTTTTGCTCAGCTCATTGACCTGGTTCACCTTCTGGGCAAGATCTTCGCGGACGCCCAACAGCTCAGCCTGCCACTTCTCGGCCTGCTGCTTCTCCTCCTCCTTCAACTTAGTGGCCGTCTCCGCCTGTCGTTTGAACTCATTAATTGATTCGCGGAACTTCTCCTCCTCCTCCTGGAAGTGGCGACGTTGGGCAGACAGTTCGCGGACAGTGTCATCCAAACGCTGCTCCAAGCGCTGGCGTCCCTCCAATTCGGATCGTTCCAGGTTGGTCTTGATGAACTCCAGACTGTTCAAGAGCAGCGACTGGCTCTGCTGTTCGCGGTGATAGGTCTCCTTCTCGATCTGCAGGCGGGAGGCGGTGTCCTTGAGGATGCGGTTCTCCTGGCGCAGGCTGTGGGCCTCCGAATCGGCAGCTGCGTGCTTGCGGTGGGCAGCCATCACTTCGTCCTTGAGCATAAGCACGGTCTGCTCATGCTTGACTATAGTCTTCTCGTAGTTCTTCGTCCGGTCCTCCAGAGTGGTCACCTGCTGCTTATAGGTTTCAATGTTTTTGTGGACCAGTTCGAGCTGCTCCTTCTGGAACTCCGTGGCGTTCATTAGCTTGCAGTTGCTACTCGTCAGCTCTCTTACTTCCTTGCGCATAGAGTCGAATTGCTCCTGGGCAAGAGCGTCGTTCTTGCGCTTCTCGCTGGTGTAGTAGTCGTAGTTTTCCTTGAGGGAGGCATACTTCTTTACCTCCTCTTCCAACTGCTGCTCCAGCTGGCGCACTCTTCGCTCCAGATTGCTTTTCTCTTCCACCTGGGCGGCCGAAAGCGTTGAAGTTTCGAGCACGGACTCGCTGAGCTGCAGATTGGAATCGTCAAGATCCACAGTCTTTTGGCCCAGCTTCTTCTGAGCCGCGAAGTAGAACTTTTTGTAGCGATCACACTTCGAGAGCAATGTGGTTATTGTACTGTTTTTCTGGGCAAAGATCTCCTCCATTTCGGCAAATCGAGCGTTAAGCTTCTTTACCTGCTTTTCGGACTGCTCCAGCAAGATCTTGTCGTTGTGTTTTTCATTCGCCTCCAGCATTTCTGCGAGATCGCGGGACACAGCTAGCAGTTGAGTATTTTTGTCGACCAATTCCTGTATAGATCCGAAAGTGGCCAAGGTATCGATCACACCATCGCTGGAGGTAGGCTCACGTTGCGGCTTGCTGCGGATGTTGGGTACTCCAGCTCTCAAGCAGTTCAGTTCGTCCAACAGCATGCACACTTGTCGGCTGAGATCGCTGTGCGTCTGCTTTAGCTTTTTGTTTTCCTTCTGGCAGTGAGTCAGATTGCAGCCAATTCTTTCCAGCTCGTGCTCTAATGAGATCTTTCTTTCGGCCAACTCATCGTGCTCCTGGAGGAGCTGCTCGTGGGTATTTTTCAGTTTGTGCATTTCGGAAGTCTGTTTTTCAATTTGCGGAGCATTCTCGCTGATCTCCTGAAGAATGGACTTGACCTGCAGCTTTAACTGCTCGTTTTCGCGGTTACGCAACTCCAGCTCCTCGCTGTTCTTGGCGTACATGGAGTAGAGTTCGGTGAGCGAGAGATCGGAGCGCATAAGGCGACTGGCAACCGCCGCACTGGGAGCTATCTTGCAGATTGCGCTCTCCAAGGTGCTCTCCTGGGCCTCCTTCAGCAAATCATTCGCGCCGACGAGTTGTTGCTGCAGCTCCTTAATCTTCTTGTTCTGCTCTTCCAACTCTTCGGCGTGTGTCTTCTTAAGGGTTGTTATTTGCGCCTCCAGCTGGGCGCCTTGCTCCTCATACTCGTTCAGCATACGCTTCATTTCGGCGATGCCCGAGAGGAGCTCTTCCCGCTGGGTCAGATGATCGGCCTCGGTATTCTTGAAGATGTCGAACAGCTTCTCCTTGGCATCGAGCTCCTTCTTCAGCCTCTCCACATACTCCTCCGTGTCCTGGTTCTGCTTGTAGGTGACGTCGTTCTGGGCCTCCAACTTGCGGTTTAGTTCCTCGATGGTTGTGCTCGCCTGTCCATATTGCCGCTGCACCAGCTGCAGAGCATCGGTATTCTCCTTGAGGCGCGACTCTAGTTGCATTGTGTTCAGCGAATGCTCCCGCCGGATGTTCTGCAGCTCAGAGTTGTTCCTGTTGAGATCGGCGCTAAGCAACTGGATCTCCTGCTGCAGCATATGGCGTTCGCTCTCCATGCGGTTCTCCTTGAGCTCCAGGGCCACCTCCTTGCTCTGGATCTCGTCCACGCGGGCGATGGCCTCGCATTTGGCGGCGATGGCCGCACTAAGCTGCTGCTGGTAGGTGTGCAGGTCCTGTTTCAGGCGCTCCAACTCAGACTGCTGGCGCTCGATGACCTTCATCAGCGAATCGCGCTCCTCGACGGCCGAGGTCTTCTCCTTGCGCAACTGGGACACATTCTGCTCGCAATTCTTGACCGTCTCAATGAGCTGGGTCCGTTCCGCGGATACTTGGTCCAGCTGGCTGCGCAGCTCATTGACATTTAGCTCAAAGTTGTTGAATTTTGCCAGATAGTCCTCCATTTTGTTTTCTAGCTCTTCGCTTTTTTGCTCAGATTCGGCTGTGAAGTATGAAAAAATAATTTGTCATTGGCTTTGACTTGATAAAAGAGAGTTTCTGAAGGTCTCAGGGTGGAGTAGCAGAAAAAGACGAATTTTCTTAACTTTCCAGGCTCGCCTGATTTGCAGAGTGATATAATTATCAGTCGGGGTTTTTATTTGAATTCTTTAACCCTACACTTCCAAGTTTTGGTTAAATCTCTTGAAGTGACGGTCGAAAGTGGTTAAAATAAAATTAAATATTAATGTAACGTTTTAAATCTTACCAAGGCTATTCTTTATATGCAACCTTAAGACACGGAAAAGGAATTGAATTTGACAGGAATTGTCAAACTAAAATGATGTTCCTAGTGGCGGAAAAGGACTGCGATATATACTCATTATGTAGAGCAATGTTGGACAATTGTTTATGCAAGGACCCTAGGGACTTGAAATCACCTAAAAAGGGTGTCTAAAAGTATGTTACGAATAAAATAGCTTCGACTTTGGCATTGGATTTATCGAGTCCTAAATAAATTCAAAAATTTCGGTAATTCAAATATTTTGGTGGGAAAGATGGCCAAGCCAGTGTGACCACACCGGCAGCAGGTAAAATTCGCAGGAAAAATGAAATGTGCAGCAGCCATTGTTTTTTAAGAGCTAAAGCCGGAAAATTAAAAAAAAATGTATAATAGAAAGCAGGAAAAGTCAACAATTAACTACTAACTGCTTCTATTACATTACGAAAGTTTGGCATTCAAGTTAAGACAAGTATTTGCCATGTTTTAAGTGCTACAAGTTGTCAAAATACGCCGGCAAGCCTGGCAAATTTTGGAGCCCCAAGGGCTCATATACTAAACAAATGAATGTATGATTTAAAGCGCACAAAATGTAAATATTAGCTTACCCAGCCGATTGGCGGCCGCCCGCTCCTTGCAATACTCATCGGAAAAATTCTTTATGTACGCCGACAATTTCTTTTGGACGTCTTCCGGCACGAGTTTCAACTCGTCGGGCTGAAGTATTTGGTTCAGAGTTTGAGGACCGCTGAGATCCATATTCGCACTTATTCCTTGTCAAGCAGTGGTGAAATTTAAGTGGAGCGGTGCAAAACGTACAAAATATGCTTATTTTTGTGTGAAATTTGCAGACATTCAGCCGCGGACGAGACGCGAAAAATAATGTGACTGTGGGAGTAGTGGGGAATAATCCAAGAGCGGAAAAAACCTATCGACTCCCCCGACAAATAGGGTTGTTTTACAACACTGTTTTGGTGGTGAGTTTTAATTTCAAATGTCCACTTATTTGATTAAATAATAAATTAGGCAAATAAACTAAAACGATAAAATAAACAAACTCTTCTCAGGAAGATGAATCGAAAAAAGTTAATAGAAACAAATATGATTTTTATATGAGTGGCAGTGAATACTTGGAAGCAATGTTTAGCATGTAAAATTAAAAATGTTACTACAATTTGAAAAAATTTCAACTTTTGTAAAAATAAAGAAAATACGATATCCGTTAATAAAATTAATTTTAATTGATCTAAAACCCACAATTCTCTCATTAATTGTACTACCTTAACCACTCGCATTTCCTTTTGATTTGGTGTTTATTTGGTAATTCTCTTTTTGGGTAAATGTCTCACAACAACTATTTTAACTCTAGGGTAATGTAATGCGATGTTCAGTAGTCAAGCCTCCGATCTGCCTATATATGTAGCCCCTCTTTGTTTTCCTGCGACGCGTTGGGTCCGTTCTGATATGGGCATGCGACACCTAGAACTATAGTCGGCCTATATAACCATCTAATCGGGCATGGAAATATGCCATGCAAGTCCCATTGGCCAGAGCATGATCGTAACTATCATATTATAAAGTTATATACGGGTATTTGTAGTTCATGTCTTATTAACTCAGTTCTTTTTGCGCAACTTTTGGTGCTCAGTTGTTGGTTGGTTGTTTTTGGTTTCTTCGTTTGAATCTCATCTCACACATCCGTTTGCTGTTTGCTCAACCGAAGGATAACAAGCGATTGGGTGCGAGTGGGCATGGTTTGGATAAGAGTAGGATGAGAACGTTTCGGGTAGTATTAATAGTAACTGGTAGAATCAGCAATATCGGTGAGGCATTCGAACTCTGAAACTCAGGAACTCAACTAGTATTTGATCGCTACTAAAATACGATTAACTAATGGGTCAACCAACTAATGTCCAACCACCCATTCCTAGGCCTCCTCGCAGTCCTCCTCCTCCTCGCGCTGGACGAACAGCCGGTGGTTTCGGGCCTCCAGGATGGACCACACGACCAACGGCGTGCAGCCGAGCACCATGCAGGATCCCATGCAGTAGAAGCAGATCTCGTAGTCCCCGGACAGGTCCCTCATCAGCCCCGCCAGCGGAGGCACCGAAATGGCCCCGATGCTCTGGAACATCCTCACCAGTCCGTAGCTCGAGCTGATCCTGTCCGTGCCAAACACATCCGCCAGCAGCACGGGCATCAGGACATACCAGCTGCCCAGGCACAATCCGTAGACCGCAGCCGACAGACCAACCAGAACCAGAGTCTTGGCGAAGGGAATCGTGAGCACGGCACATCCGGCGCCCAAAATGCTGTAGATAAAGGAAGTGTACCTTAATATGGATCTCTCAATTGTTTGAGTTCACTCACCACAAGGTGTAGGTCTTCTTGCGATCGAAGAGCTGCAGGTCGCACAGCCAACCCAGTCCCAGGCGACCAATCAAATCCAGAACCGCGCTAATGGCCACCAGGTAACCCGCCTCGCTTTTATTGTAACCTGAAAGGCACGGAAAAGAACATTTTTATTTTAGTTTAAAAACTGAGATTGTGTGTTCTCATTTTGCTAAACTTATGGGCAGACATGAAACAGGGTCAAAAAAATAATCAACGTAAAAGTAAAAAATTTCGATACAGATTTTTTTACAAGACATCGGAAACTTACAAATAACTAACATGAAAATGAGTCAAAATTTTGATCAACGTTAAATTGAAAATTTTGAATGCAGATTTTTAGAGAATCGAATCACAAGTCTTTAGAGGTATGCCACTTTGGAATCGGATTAATTTTAGTCAAGTTATGGACTCTGGAAGTCCAATTTTGAGTCACTGTATTACAAGACATCGGAAAACTAGAAATAACTAACATGAAAATGGGTCAAAATTTTGATCAACGTTAAATTGAAAATTTTGAATGCAGATTTTTAGAGAATCAAATCACAAGTCTTTAGAGGTATGCCACTTTGGAATCGGATTAAGTTTGGTAAAGTTATGGGCTCTCCAAGTCCAATTTTGAGTCACTGTATTACAAGACATCGGAAAACCAGAAATAACTAACATGAAAATGAGTCAAAATTTTGATCAACGTTAAATTGAAAATTTTGAATGCAGATTTTTAGAGAATCAAATCACGAGTCCTTAGAGGTATGCCACTTTGGAATCGGATTAATTTTGGTAATGTTATGGACTCTCGAAGTCCAATTTTGAGTCACTGTATTACAAAACATCGGAAAACTAGAAATAATTAATAATAATTAATTAATGGGTCAAAATTTTGATCAACGTTAAATTGAAAATTTTGAATGCAGATTTTTAGAGAATCAAATCACAAGTCTTTAGAGGTATGCCACTTTGGAATCGGATTAAGTTTGGTAAAGTTAGGGACTCTAGAAGCCCAACTGAAGCTGACCTTTGTAACTCTACAAAAATTAAGTGTTTTTCTTAAGGTAAACTAGTTACAATTAACTTTTGAATATAATTTAAAGATTGGTAAATACAATTTTAAACTAATCTTATCATTCAAGGACTCACCTATGGAGATGACGTGAGCGGGCAGGTAGTACAGCATGTAAGGACACCCGACGGACATCAGGGTGACGGAGAGGCACATCAGGATGAAGCTCGGGTCCTTCAGCAGGCTGATGTCCAGGTACATCTCGATGCGCTCGCAGCAAGTGCGTGGTCCCTGCTCCTCGTCGTCCTCGTCATCCTCATCGGCGACGCCATGGCAGTCGCCATCGATGGACTCCACCAGCTGGGAGTCGAGGATCCCGTTCTCGGCCTGCTCCGGCGGCTGCTGCTTGAGATCGCTGAGGTTACTCACCGGCGTGGGAATCTCCATGCTCTTGCTCAATCCTCGACTGACCACACTTGGCGGCGAAAGGGGCTTCTCCAGGTGGGCCTGGATCTTCGAGATGACCTCATCGTTGGCGAAAACGTTGCGCCGACGACGACTTCCTCGATTCGAATCCGTGCCGGAGTGTTTGCGGTACACCCAGGTGGAATCCGTGCTGAGATCCTCCACAGAGTGCAGCAAGCCGGAGCTGCGCACCTTCTTCATGGGCTTAATGAAAGTGGTCTCGCCAATGATGTCCTTCACCTCGTCGTCGCTCTCCTGAGCCGATTTGTCATGTGCTAAGGAATATATCTGCCTTAATACTCAGAATTCTGTTAAGGATTCAACTACCCCACCTGGCTGTTTGCTCGCATAGTAGTTAAGGTGGTTCTTGGACTCCTCCAGGAATAGGTGCTCGATGAACTTGTCGCTCAGCTCGTGGCCTGTGCCCACCTCGCAGGTGTCCAGGTATGTGGAGGTGGTCAGGATGCCCGTGGTGCTCGGGTTGATGTCCTCGTTCAGGGGCTTCGCGGTCTCCTCCTGGCCCTGACCCGAATCCTGATCCGTGTAGGCACTGATCGGGCGATACAGGGTGGCCGAGAAGCACACGTGCAGCATGCAGACGCCCAGGATGAGGATGGTGCCATGGAAGCCACAGCTGTCCACCAGGTGCTTTATCAGCACGGGCAGAATGAAGCTACCAGCCGCCGTACCCGAAACACAGATCCCATTGGCCAAAGCGCGGTGCTTGTCAAAGTATTGCGACACTATCACTATTCCAGGAGTCGTCGAGAGTCCTCCACCAATTCCTGTGAGTACAAATCAAACAGAAAATGATTTATTCATTACTTATTAAATCTTAAAATAAAAGACGCTTCCATTAGCAAAAAAATAAAACCTTTATTTGAAAAACCTAATTAATACTAATGAAATATTTATTTTCACATATAGCTTGGTGAATAGAAGATTAAAGTCCCGGGGCTCAAATCAACCGATGAAAATGAGAATATAAGGAATCTTTTGAGATATTTGTATAATTTGTATTGTTTGAGTAATATTTTCAAGGCCTTCGAAGGTGTTTTTTTTAAAATCACTTTTATAAATAATATTTGATTAAATACAGAAGGGACTTCATAGTTTTAAAGTCAATTTAAATAGAGTGCACTCCACCCACCTGTGAGAATGCCGAAGGTGAAGAGCAGGTGCAGCAGACTGGTGGCAAAATAGCTGAGGATCATGCCCATGGCGCAGAAGATGCCGCCCACGAAGACCACGGCCCGGCAGGAGAATCGCTGGCACAGAGCACTGGACAAGGGGGCGAGGACCAGACAGAGCGCGGAGAGGATCGCCGGGATCCAGGAGGCCACCGTGGCCGTGGAGCTGGGAAACGTCTCCATAATCTCCACATACAGCACGCCGTACGATTTGACCAGTCCGGCCACCCAAAATTGCACGGAAAAGGCACCGAAGACGATGAACCAACCGTAACCGCCATCCGGTGGCTCCACATTGCCGCCACCACTTTCCGTTGTGGTCGTCGAGGAGTCGCGATCCTTGGCCACCGGCTTGCTCCGCTTGGGAACGGCCACGCGATCCCGTTCCCGCTCCTTGGCCCGGCGGACGCACCTGCTCCGGGCCGTGTTCAAACCAGATCCTGATCCGGAACCCGATTTCCGGCTGCTGCGCAGCTCGTGCGACTTGGCGATCAGCGGACGCGCCGTGATGCTGGACACGGTCAGCAGGTTCTCGTTGTCGTCCTCCTCCAGCTCGGAGATGTGGTGCTCCAGCAGGCTGGCGTGCAGGGTCCTCGGGCAGCATGGCGTGTCCAGGCTGAGGGTGGCGGGTCGTCGCATCGGGGAGGCGCTGGGCGAACAGCAGCCGGAGCGGAAGGCGGCGGGCAGACCCATGGCCTCCAGGTGCTTGCCATCCAGCTCGGTGGGCACGACGATGTCGGGCAGTGGGGCCGGTGGCGCCGACACCACCGAGAACAGGGAGCCGCACTCGAGGCCACCGCCCACTCCACCGGCGGCCACGCCCACGCCCACGCCCGCCCCTCCGCCGGAGCCCTCAGCCGGATTCGTGTCGAGAAGGCGCCCTCCCGACTCGTACTGGACTCCACCAGCTGGGTCCGGTTCACTCGCGCAGTAAACCGATCCCCGGGAACCCTAAAATAATTGTAAATAATACATTGGGTTTATTTAGAATCTCATAGGAAATAGTTTAAAGAAACTAATATTATTATTTATATATTAAGCCTGCCTATATAGATTCCTACTTTTAAGCCTCATAGTTTGTGATATTGTTTTCTGGACCATCAGTATATATACTTTATTTCCTATTCTATATACTCTTTATAGATAAAGTATAGTAAAATGAGTAATTTATCAAATTGATATTAAAGCCACAAAATAAAAACCTGTAAAATATTTTTACTTTCCAAAGTACATTTTTTAAAATTCGAAACTAAACTGAATTTAATTGATTAAAAATTTATTGATATGTAATGAAGAAACTAAATTAAAATAATTTCAAATGTTTTTGGTTTAATAAAAAAATCTTAAGCAATCAAATGTTATGATAGTGGGTCACTTTGTACTTTCGATTTAAGTACAAATTAATTCAATATAATTAATTCCCTTCTTGCATGACCTTTTTGCTATTTATACCAAAATAACAACCAGCCCAATTGCCAAGTTAAATTGCAAAAGTATTTATCAAGCACTAAATATTACGAGTTAATGTCGCAAAATTTGCATGCATCGAAAAGTCCGACTCCATTCCGTACCATTAAAAAATGGGTTAACTTGTCATAAATCCGGGCCTGTTGACAAATCGACTGGAGGCGGGTCAAGGAAGCAACAATTTTAGTCCAATTTGCCTTGCTAAGCGAAATGAGAGGGGCGCACGCGAACTCCAGACTTTCAGACGATGTCGCTGCAGCGCCCTAATATATGCAATACGGTTTGTTTAATTGAGTTAACATCCAGTTTTTCCCCCGTTTTCCCGCTCTTTTGGGGTCCGTAATTACCCGCGGACCGTGCGGATTTTCTCGTTTGCCTACATTGTTATATGTACTTTGTTAAATCGATGCCAAGCTGCAGGTGCATGCTGTGCCGCTTGGGTTGGCATGACGTCTGGGAATTTTCCATTTCCATTTCCTTTTGTCTGCGGGAAGTGCCTCCTGCTCCTGTTCTCCCCCGCAAAAACTGCTACCTTCGGACGATTCAGGGTCAACTGCAAGGTGGGGGGTGGCGGTCTAGCCTGTGGTTTATTCTTTTTTTCCTAAAAAAGGTCTTTCTTTGTTGCCGGAAATTGATGGGGGGTTCGATTGGCAGCGCAAGGGAAGTGGGTTAGTTGCTCCACTCCAAGGCTGATGCAATGTTCGAACCGAAGGCTAGTGCTAGCAAATACCCGGGGTGATAAGGCTGAATGGAAAGACGCCAAACTTTGCTAAGCCCTCGAATTGGCAAGCAAGAAATGCCGATGTGGTATGTTGATCTACGATATAATCGAGCTTATACCTTGGCTGAAAGTTGAATATGCAATTTTGTGAAATTATTTTTCATGACCTTAGGGGTCGGTTAAGGTTTTATTAAAAAACACCGTAAGGAATAGTACTTTACACAGGTATCGAAGCACTTTCATAATTAGTTTGCTTTACCTGTTAAAAAATATTTATGTGTAAACGTAATCTAAACTCGTCGAGTCCCACATCCTCAATAATTCACATTAACACATTTCCTAATAGCTTTTCTTTCCGTAATTTGTTATCCAGCCCACACCTATTTCTGCGTATTTGCACTGACGTATACGTTATATGATATACCGGGGAACAACCAACATCAAGTATGCGACGCGTAAGCCCATCGAGAGGATGGGTTGGAGCTCATCGCTAGTTTTACACATTGGTTTTGTGCGCAGGTTACGTATTTTACTCCAATTACTTTTTTTTCGATACATAGTCTTTGAGAATTACATAGAAAAAATAAATTAAAATAAAATCCATTTTCATCTTAAAATAATAAATTTGTTCAAATGCAATAAAAATAATCCGTAATGCCACAAAATTTTTATACTGCTACGTTATGCAATGATATATTTTGCTCATTATACTAATTAAAAGGCAGCTTATTGGAGATTTTAATGTTCCTTATAATCCATATTTTCCCCAAAATTTATGATATATTTTCCCCAGTGGACTTTTCATGGCGTGTGTCGATTTCGGTGAACGTGTGCCGCTAATGAACTGCCTGCCATATTGATGGCGGAAAATAACCATGGCGAATGGCAAATAATAGGCATGCAATATTCAAAGGCGAATGCATCGGCGTTGCGACACAGCTGACAGGGCTAATGAGGATTTGGCCAACTCTTGGCATTTGGCAGCTCCCTCGCAAGAGCATGAGTCAGCACAGCATCCCAGTTTCAGCCCCGTGACCTTGTCGAATGTCAGAGGCCGCCATTGTAGCGTATCCTGGGCGCCAGGACCACCGCCTCCTCCTGTCAGCTGGAATCCGGCTTAAGTTGTCAGGAAGCTTTCGCTGGGGGAGCTCTGCAATCGCTGTTTGTTTTCAATTTCCCAACATTTCAAGCAGGGCCTTGAAACGGCCCGGACTTAATGAAACGGAAGAACCTTCCCCCGGGCCAAGTTAGTGTTAGTGGCTCGTGTGTGGGTCTGAACGATAAGCGGTCAAGGTGAGGGTGGCCTCCAGTTAGTTGATTAGTCCACTGGTTGGGGTGGTGACCACGCACCACTCGCAACTTGTTGAGCAAAGGATATAGGCCAGTAATTGAAGCCCTCTCTAATGATTGCTATTAGTTGGCAAAAGGCCTACAAGTAGGCCACTAAGTTTACGCAATCAACAGGGCGCAGCATTCACCGGAAGAAAATCTTAAGCTGTTCTATATATCATATAAATTGATAATATGTACAAAACTAACACTTATAATGCAATAACACATTGTTTGATTTATAAAATCCACTTTTGTACCAGGGGAAAAGTGTATTATTTAACTTAAAAAGTTGTTATACACTTATTTTACAATAAGTATGCGTTAGAATTTAACTACATTTTTACAAATCAAGTATTATTTATTTTCATAAAAATAAAATGAAAACTAATTAAGAAAATGGATTTTTAAAATGATATCTTAAATAAACGTATAATTATGTTTGATCAAATAGTCATTTAATTATAAACAAGCGATGAGGATAGAAACAGAAAAATTATCTTTCAAAGGTGTTTATCAACGAGCTAACTACATTAATTTATAATAATACAATGAATAAAAACCTATTGTTCTTCGGGAATTGAAATGAGATTGTTATGATGACATTCACTTATTATCATTAACCATTGATAATTAACTAATGTTTTACACAGCAAAACCATTTATATAATAATCAGTCCTAGCACTTCCATTGTAATGTTTTATTTTCCCAACCAATTTTAGCCAAGTTTCTTTGTTTATGGCTGACCATTTTAATGTGTATGAAATGTGCCCGAATATAGCCAACTGCAAACTGCATCTGTTTCTCCAGTCAGGGCCACGCATTGTTTACCTTCTTGTCCCCATTTTGATAGTGATAATGATGGATGCGCTTACGAAAGCCAGCCATATGTGACGTTGACCCATTCTCGTATCGCTTACAATGTTTACCTAGTCGTAACTTAGTTTGTTGGCTCATGCGCATGCTCACCAAAGGACCCCAAACTCCCAGCTACCTCAATAAAGTTGCCATTGGCCCACTCCCCCGAAATTTTAAAAAGAAGAAGGGGTGTTTCTTGACCTTCCCAATGGGAATATAAGGATATGGGGATGCTGCACTAGTACTAGTCCTACTACTCACCTGTAAATGCCAGTCACGCTGTAGGGACGACATTGGCGTCCTTTACTAAACGTAAATCGCCTTTGATGTTTCTCTTGTTGCTCGCGCTGTTGTTGTTGTTGCTTGGGGCGTTGTTGTTGTGCACCCAAATGCATTGGGTTGCCTCTGGATTGGGTCCTTAAAATCCTGAAGAGCTGACGTACGCGGGCCTTCACCGGTTGGCCCAAATTGGTTATACTGCTACTGCTGGTTCTGCCGCCGCCCCGGCTCCTTTGGCACTGAATCCTTTGCGGGTTCGTCTTGATGGGTATTTTTGATCGAATTTGATATACTTCCCTTTTTTTTTGGGGGGCTTCCTTGAGGAACTTGTATGGGTTTCCTAGGGGCGATATCCTTGCTGCTCGGGCGTCATGATGCTTTTGATAAGACACAGCTCGATGGGTTTCCCTATTTGCCTTTGTTTATGCAGCAGCTGTTTCCGCTTCCGCTTCCTTGTCGCCCCTTTCCGTTTCCGCTTTCAGCACAAGCGCACTCTCTCACTCACTCTTTGGCGAATATGCAGTTTTTGGAACAAATCGATATGGCTATATGGGGCCAGATTCCAGCTGAAGTCTTTTGTATTAAGTTTACCCAATCGCACGGTCCAAATGGATCTTCTTAAGTAGATAAAGCTGCCGATAATACGTCTTGAATTTCCCTGAAGCTGGCCAACACTTTCTTTGAGTGGGGAAAACCCTTTGCAAAATCCTTTCTTCGTGAAGACTCTTCGTTGGTTGCCCGGTTTTCGGCGGATGCGTCTGTTCTGCTGCTGCTCAAGCTCACGACTGAACGGATGGTTTTCGTGTCCTCTGGAGGACCGTGGCAAACTCAACTCAACGCCAGTGGTGAGCTAGGTGGAGGTGGGTTTTTTCTTGGAGCGGGGAAAACCAAAGAGAAAGCGGCTCTCTCCTCCCGCCGATTATCCTTTATTCGTTTTGTTTTGCTAGGCACTTTTGGCCGCTTGTTGCCTACAATGCCACCTCCCCAATGACCCCCTACTAACCCCTAATATCTGGCAACAGCTGATAAATGAACCTGTATGGCGTTTATTAGAAGTTAAGGAAACACATGATTTTGTTTATCAAACATTAGTGGTACTCAAGAAGGGGACTGTAAGATAATTTTATGACCAGAACAGAAGTCATATTAAAAAGTTTTGCAATATTCAAAGATTGTTTCATGCGTTATATTCCATAAATGATTACCTTTAATACTCTTAATAGCTGATTTTGGTAAAACTAGCAAATATATCACAGCCCAAGTAATTTTTTAAGAAACCTACTAAAGTAATTTATTTACCATTTGTTTTTAAACTAAAATCAAAGTACTGATCAGAAAATCAGAGTAGTTCTTATTAATGTTGTAAATTTTTATTCATAAGTCACAATTTAAGTACACTACAATTTTGGAATCTAAATAAAGTACATTAATACATCAATAATTTTGCATAATTCATACAGCTAAGCGGTTTCTCTGCGGATCTGATCCAAACTTTTGGTCATGTGCAGCGCCACTCCAAGGAATATGAAGCTGATGGCGACGGATGCGAAAACGGCTGCCGGGAGATTCTTGAATAACCACTGGAGGATCATTGTGTAGACTGCGATGGCCATGATGAGCAGGAACATGTATGGATATATGAGCCACTTAATCAGCTGCAGAACGAAAGAATCTGGATTAGATGTTCTATTACGAGGGGTACTACCTTCCAAACTCCTATGATGAGCAAAACTGAGGCCAGTGCATAGATGGCCGATCCAGTGGTCCAGACAATCTTCACCGCCTGCGAAACGCCCGCCATGCTGGTCATGAAAAGGTAGCCGGCAACCACACCTGATACCACGGATATACAGGCCATTATAGAAACCACCACCCGGCTCTTCGGCAGAAGTCTTCTATACGTGAATTCGTGTTCGCTCATCTAGATATTGCTGGTGAATTTTTCGTGTATTTATTCATTTTGCTGATGTATTTTAAATATGTAAATTCGTTATGTCATGCTTTGAAATTTTTGATTTCTAAATTATTTTTGCAACGCGAGATTAGATATTGATTATCGGTGTTTTCATTAAAAAGTACACCAAAGTATTGTTAATTTTAACAGAAATTTAATCGTTGTCTATAGTCGGGCGATATTAAATATAAAATATTTATTATAAACTTGTCATTATTTTTCAGAGAAGTAATTTCTTTTCTTATTAAATAAATTAACTTTTCCTGATTTCAAATTTTTTGCGCCCTAGACTTATCGATACTTTAAACTTCAATCGCTTTGCCGACCTGTCCACTAAATCGATTACGATAAGCTTCTAGTATTTTTAGTATATGTTTAAGTTATTTTTACGCAGGTTAATTTGCGCACAAGATTTCCAGACGTGATTAATGCTGATTTCTGGTCTAGGCCTTAACGTAGCGCCAGTAATTGGAGTCGGAACCGGAGGACTAAGATTCTGGAGAGGATTCTCTGTCGGAACAGGAGGACGAACAGCCGCAGGTGGTGGTCCTGCAACCGCAGATCTCTCCGCCGAAGGAGGTTCCAATCCACCTGATTTACTCTCTTGAAACTCCAATGAACTCTTAAACCCGCACAAATCATGGATCCCTTAGTGTTCTTAATAGTACTGGCTTTGATCTATGGGGTTCTGTACTTCTTCGACCGGTTCTTCAAGGTGGGTATCATTAAGGCATTCATTTTACATCCTAACAATCCGGATTAAACCCGCAGAGCTGCATGCACTACCCATACGATGCCTTCCTCAAGAACACCGGACTGAGTGTGAATTTTATGAGCCTTCACTGGCACACAAGTGCCTTCAACAGGACCCTTCTGCGCTGGGGATCCGCCGGGAACAGCTGTACCCGCAGAGTCTTGCTCACCAGCTTCAATATTGGTGTCCTGGTCACCTTCTCGCTGCTCCCCATTGGTCTCATTTTGCTCATCACCACCATCTTCAGTAACGGCGAGCAGGACAGCTCATCCTCGCCCGTTGGGGTGCCCGTTCAGCTGGAGATCCTGCTGCCGGGCGTCAACCTGCCGCTGGAGGAGATCGGCTATTACATCACCACACTGGTGCTCTGTCTGGTGGTCCACGAGATGGGACACGCCCTGGCCGCCGTCATGGAGGATGTCCCCGTCACCGGGTTTGGGATTAAGGTGAGGTTTGGGTTGGGAATGGCCTTAGAACATCAATATTTTTATTATCCAAAGACTAAACTTATTCATTTGCTCGAACTTATCCAAATTTAAATATTTTTGATCACTTAGCTTCTGAGAAATTTTAATATATGCGATTCTATTATTCCAGTTCATCTATTGCCTGCCATTTGCATACACGGAGCTCTCCCACGACCACCTAAACAGCCTGCGATGGTTCCGCAAACTGCGAGTTCTGTGCGCCGGCATCTGGCACAACGTTGTGTTCGCCGGCGTGTGCTACCTCCTCATCTCAACGGTGGGCATCACTATGTCGCCGTTGTACGCCTACAACCAGCACGTAGTGGTTACCGAATTGACCAGAAAATCACCGCTGCGAGGAGAACGTGGCTTGCAGGTGGACAACCAGATCACCCAGGTGAATGGCTGTCCGGTGAACAGCGAGGAGAGTTGGATGGCCTGCCTGCAGAGCTCCCTGAAACTCAAGCCGGGCTACTGTGTGAGTGCTGATTTCGTTCAGCTCAATGACGAGAGCAGTGCCATCTCGCATCACAGTATTGATGGCCAGCTGCAGTGCTGCGATGAACTAAATCCCAATGTGAGCTGCTTTGAGGTGGTGGAGGATGCAAATGGGGACGTGCCCGTGGAGCTGCCGCAGCACGTATGTTTGAATGTTCGCCGCACCCTAGAGGAAGTTACCGAGCACTGTTCTTCGGGAGTATGCAACGAGGGCTTCTGCCTGCGACCGCTGATACGGAATACCACTGCCATAATGACGTTCAAGCGGCAAAATTCGCTTGGAGAGAAGCTGTCGCCGGTGATCTATGTGGGTTATCCGTGGGACGTAACGCGGACGGTGGATGTTTCGGCCTTTGTGCCGAGGTACTCCTTCCTGAAGGCCGCCTGGCCGGATGCCTGGCTGCTGCTCCTGAAGTACAATGTGGTATTCAGCATAGGATTGGCCCTGATCAATGCCATCCCCTGCTTCGGCTTCGATGGCGCCCACATCACAAGCACCGTGATACACAGCTTCCTGGTGGGTCGCGTGGATCAGCATGCCAAGCGGGACCTCATCTCGGTGATCATCACCAGCGTGGGCTCCCTGCTTTTTGGATTGGCCCTGCTCAAGGTGGCCTGGCTGAGCTTTCTGCGACCCCTGCTTTAGGAACTGATACTGATAACTGATAGATGGAACCAGGGAGTCCAACTCCCTCCAAAGAAGCTAGACTGCTAATTCACCTCCACGAAGCACACACGAAAACACAGCGAATAGTAGCGCCTCAAAGATTCGATAGCTTTTGTCATAGTCCTTAGTCTTAACTCGTATTTATTTTCGTACGGTTGTCGAGCTCAAAAATATAAAATCAAATTAAGCAGAGGTTGGTTTTAAGAATGTTCCTATTTGCCCTCGCTCACCCCGCTTAACTGGAGGCTGGTCTTTAGTTCCGTGAGGCTTCGTCTGCCATGTTGGAGGAGCATTTTGATGGCCACCTCGTCGCTCTGGTGGCGATTCGTGTGAAAGTCGTGACGCGCCCAGGAACGCAGCTCGAGCTGGCTGTTTTTGTCCGGAACCTGGCGAATGGTGCGGAAGATGTCCCGGTAAAGCTTCAGGACCTCCTGGCGCAGCATAAACTGGGAGGAAATGATAATACATATAGTGCTCTGAGTATGAGGTTCCAGTTTTGGTTTTATTAGCCTGATTTCGGTTTGGTTTGTCTTTTTATTCATGAATATAAAAGCATAAAATCTTATTTAATTAAATTCACATAAACGTTATATTAACTGATTTCGAAATCAAGCAAATGGATTTTTAAGAACTCAAAACTTTCAGAAATATGCTTACCTGCTTTAAACTAAGAGCTGCTTTGGGTACCTTGGACATTTTAGAGTTAATATATTTTGTTTCTTTCTATTTGTTGGTTAAATTATTAAGTTATTCTATAATTCATAAATTTTTCTTGTCATTTTCCGTAATTTTCTGTAATCAACAAAAACAAAACAAGAACAGCTGATTGTCAGCTGTTGGCCTTTTAGAGATGAGCGGTGTATTTTTCATAGGTTGAACTTAAATACGATACTTTAGCAAGACAGTAAACAACCGTTACTATTTAAATATTATGATTACATGATAATGAATAATACATTGTTGCTTAAAGCAACTGGTTTTAGAAACAATTTAAACATATTAATCTGGCAGTCGATGGAATTTATAAAAAGCTAAGAAAATGCCTCGTAACTGCTCTAGTCTTTGCATTAACTTATAAGACCCTGAGAAGTACCAAAGAAATGCTGATATAAGTGGCAATTAATTTAATATACTACTTGTTCGTAATTTCTGTGCACTAACGAAAATATATGTGGCTTATAATCTGGGTGTTTTAATTAATAAATAAAACCAAGTTTATTTGTTTTTAAATACCATTTTTATTACATTTGTCTTATCTTTTGAGAGTAAAATATGGCTGCACCTCAAATAAAAAGCTATGTTCGGGGTTGGGAAAGGGAAACAATCAGCAGCCAGAAGTCAACGGCAATTAATGTTTAAATTGCAATTTTCATCAACTGTCACTAATGAGTCAGTCGCCGAAATAAAATAAATTGTTGTAACGTCTTAACAAACTAATGTTTTTGTGCATTGATGCGGCGTGGGAAAGAAGGAACTAGTGACATCCAACACTAAATTTATCTGGCTCGTGTTCAATTTAAATTAAATTCTCGGCATTAAATGCCACATTTATTTATATGAGACCATTGCTTATCCGCGGGCCATTGCTTGATTGGCACGCCAGCTGCCTCTCCTCTGGTTCTTCTCTGATTATGATGTTCTACTTAGGCGATTCAATTGTTTCCTCGGTCATTTCGGTTATTTGCCGACAAACACAAGTTGGGCAATAGTCGTGAAGGGACTGGCACTATCTCCTGATAGCTGGTACTTGGCGTCGGCTAGTGGTAAGTTCTCGCCCAAGCACCGGGCTTATTGATAGAACTGCCAACTGTTTTCCAGAGCCAGTTACCAATAACTCTTTTGGCCAGCAGTTGGCCCTCAGGAAAATATGATTCAATCAGGTGAGAAGATTAGTGGTAGAAAATACTAAGGAAATGTTAATGGATGTTATAAGGAATTATTAATCAGATCAAGGTGAAAACGATTTTAAAACTATTAATCCTACACTATTTGTGATCAGTCAGAAGATATACCAACCAAAATAATTATTAATTTCAATGACATTTGATCTTAACCCTTTATAATATATTGATAATCTAATACGTTTGTTTTACAAATATAAATTGCGTATTAGGAAGAAATAAGCTCATAATAAACATAATTAAAAAAAAGTTTGATAGTATGAAATGGTTGATTTCAAGAATATAATTGAAATATTTTCAGAATGACACGGATAAAAGTCCCATTTTTACACGAAATATTACCAAACGGATGATCAATTTCGATATAATTTATCCTCGGCTTGCCAAATACGACCTTTCTGGCTGTCAGAATGCATTTTCTCCTCGCATTACTTAAGTTGCCCCCCATTAATTTCCCATAGCAGTTTCTCTGATCTCTGCCCAAGTGCGTTTGTCTCCGCCGGCACAAGTATTTTTTTGCAAATTAAAACAAAAATTGGACATAACATAAATATCGCTCGCAGAACAAAACGAAGGCAGGTGAAGCGGTGCGATTTATTTTTAACTGCCCAATGCTCCTACATATAGGAAATTATGCAAAAGAATCGCGCGCTGCAGCCGAGTGCAATTTCGTTTTCGTTTTCATCCGCCAGAGATGCCAGCGTCTGCGCCGCTCTCTTGAGTCACTGCACTGAGAGAAAAATGCCAAATTCTTTTCTACGGAAATAGTTTTTTGAATCTGTGGAGTGCTGGCTGAAACAAATTCCAATTTCTATCGTAAAAGAAGTATATTTTCACTCTTTAAAAATGTTTTAAATTTTACATCCCATTAATATCCAATCAAAGATGATTTAAAGTAAATAGGAATTCATCACAAAAGTCTAAGGAATTTTAATCCTAATATAAAGATTTTTAGTAATGGCATTTCGAAACAATAAAAAAAGAGTAATTGTTTATATTATTAAAAATTGTTTGAGCTTTTAAGAATGTACAAAAGAAACATATATTCTGTTAGTCAATCAGGGTATATTTCTCCCCATGTGCCCGGAGTTTCGGGCGCAAGGGGGTGGGCCCTACGTCATCAAATCAGACCCACAGCTGCGCCACAACGATGACGAAGAACCGAAGGCAACAACACCGAGGCAGTGGCTCAGCAGAGAAGCAGCAGAAAGCAGCAGAAAAGCAAGTAAAATCCACATGCCAGCGGACTGCTGCCTCAAATGTTCATGAAACGCGGACGCGTGTGGACGTCGTTTTGCGCCAACCGCTTCGAAAAAGTTTGTAATTCCGAATCGGTTTATATTCGAGTTAATCGGTTGATTCGAAACGGATTCTCGGGCCGTGCATGTGTGAAAGTGAAAACGAAATGAAGAATGAAAATGAGCACGGTGCATGAGTTTCCTTGACGTTCGCTTCGGAAAATCCATCGCAAGAAAACTGAAAGAGCGTGCGAAAGCAGAAAGGCCAATATATTGTGAGTGAGAGCTGAAGAACACACACGCCAAAAATATAATGTTGAAAATATCTGGCTATTTTTGGAATATACATTTGTTTTTCCCACACGCTGCATTGGAAAATTTGTACCTCAAGTGAAGAAACACACACAAAAAACCTCGAGAAATGATAATGCTTAAAAAATACGAGATATACGCTTTAATTTGACTTGCATTTCGTTTTCGAAAAGTTCTCAAAAACAAAACAAAGCCATCGAAAAAATAAGAATACAAAAATAGAAAAAAAAAGAGAAAAGAAAAGAAAAGAAAACCAAGGCGAAAGAACACCCAAAGTGAAATGTTTTTAATGGGCAATCAGAAATAATGAAGATCGGGTATATATATCGCGTAGAACGAGGAACGAACGCATTAAAGATGAACAATGGCGTTACTTAAACGATCTTGGAGGGACTTGATGAAGGATTGCTTTCAGTTCTATAGATAAAGCCAAAATGTATATCAACGTTTAGTACATTTCCGGAAATACACATTGCTCAACTTTGGATACACAAAAATATTCCCTTCAGATTCCGATTACTTCCCTTTTAGTTGCACAGGAAAAAATAAAGTGTAGAATTAATTTGATATGTAAATACAGTTAAGTCGAAATGGATTCTAGAGCATAAAGCTGCCGACTGTGGCACTGAAAGTCCGAGTTCAAACCCCACAGCCTCTTGGAGAATTTTTTTGATTTCTTTAGGATCCAAAATATAATGACAGGGTCAGCATTTAAAGCTAAACTATCTCGTTGATCAACCATAAAATTAATTTTTTTTCCGTGTGCCAAACGTTTATGTCTTTTTCTGTCTGAATTTCTTCGAAGCAACAACAAATACAGTCCGTATTATGCATATATCCCCAGTGTTGTTGGGTTTTTGTGTTTCGTATTTGAATTCGAATTTGTAGTCTTGTGTCATGCGATAGGTGGTAACGTTTCGCTTCGTACGGGGTATTAAATTACAAGACACCAAAGTGCGCGCCAAGCGAACACGCTCGCTCACAGATACTCACTTATACAGCGAAGTGTATAAATATATCGCAGTCCGCCGCATGCGTATCCAATGGATGCGAATCGGCCTGCAAAGAGGGCCCGAAAAGAACTGAGAGTATTAACAAATAAAAAAAAAACGACTGTGAATCGCTGTAATTAATTGTTTTGGGGCCGAACGGTATTGGTGATTGATGTGGCCAAAGTTCATTTGTTTACCAGTGGCAAGATCAATGACTCGGCGCCCTAAGAATACATCCCCCCGAAAACTAAACTACTCGAAAATGTATCTACTGGCTCCGCTCTGACCCCTGACCTCTCTTGTGTTCCAGTTTCACCCAAAAAGCACATACAATACCGCGCTGAAATGTCCGCCAAGACGTCGCCATCGTCCACTTCTCGAGATGCCAACGTGGGATCCTCGAGTTCGATTCCCGTGCAGATCAAAAAAGAACTGCCCAGCGATGAGATAAAGGTGAGTCAAAAGTCTTGTGAATGAACACTTTGAGATACTTTCTTGCCTTACAATTAATTGCCCCTGTCTGCAAATTATTTTGCCGCGTATTCAATAACAAGGATGCCGACAATGTATGGAAGGCAAAGTGTGCGTTGGATTTAAAAATAAAGAAAGATTTTCGCTCTCTTGGCAAAACATTTTACTTGTATTGCTTTGGATTGCACATAAGCTGAATTATTATTATTAATGTTTGTGTTTAGATGGGGAAAAGGTGAATAACACCCACTCGCTATATACACTTATATATATATCACGTTGGAAGTAGCTTTGAAGTGGATCCTACATTCAGTGGGAGAAAGAGCACCCATTAAAATAATAAAATTTAAGGTTTCTTTTTAATAACGGGTATAGCTTGATCTAAAAAAAAAATGATGTAGATATATATTTTTTGTTTTTTGCTGTAAGACTTTGTCGAAGTAACATTTTAAAGTATTTTATGAGTATAATTATAAAGAAACTAAAAAAGGTAATGGAAATAATTATTTTAATATCCTTCGTAATATCTTCTAAAAATTACCATACCATTGATATTCGGAATTCAGAAATATTATCATTTGATTTCTTGCAACAAAGTAACTTTGCTGCATATTCCATATCCCAATTATTGCATCCCTAAAGTCTGTGATTACTGCTTTACCACATTTCTTGTTTAACGAACCCCAAAATATTTTGAGGAACTGCATGTTGCACAAAATTAGTTTCCATTTACAACCAAACGGGTATTTCCAACTAAGCACTGAAATTGAAGAATCGGACTCGAAATGCCTGGCCAGGGGAACCGAAAAACGTTTCGGCTTTCAGTTTGCAGTTGGGGTATTTGGAAATGTTTATGCAATGGCAATGATAATGCAACACCACCCCCGCAGAATAGTGCTGCATAAAATTCCTTGCAACTTTGTTTCCGAACGAGTACGGAATTTGTAAGAGGAGTTGGCTGTTGCAGCTGAGGAGATTCCGATTGCGATTGCGATTACGCTATTACGCGATTACGGGACGTAAGTCGAGCGGGAGTTGGCGGTAATTTTATATTGATAAATTTTTATAATCATTTTAACGAGTGAGCGGGTCCGATTCCTCCACCACCCCCCTCCCCTTCTCCCTCCACCATATTTGCTTTATCCGCCAAATGAGCAAAATTAATTTAATGCCACAGACAGGGACGGAGAGTCCCAGAGCAACATTTTTGCAGCACGTGTAACCCGATCGGCGAATTGAAATTATACCCCTCGACTTGCAGTTGGGCGCAATGATACTTATTGTCGGGCATAAGGAGGGAAAACAAAAACAAAAACAAAGCGGCAGCAAAACCAAAATTATTATAATGAATGAGCTGGTCGGGGGCTTGGGAACTGAGTATCCGCTGGGGACTGAGGTTGCCGACTGGTTTTCTAGGTAAACGTGGGATTATGGTGGATATCTATATAGTTATTTATGTCTGTCATGGGATGTTTGTAATCAAATTGCGAATGTAAAACTTGAATTGGTCCCTGACACAGTAATATATGAATTGTGCACCTCTCACGATGTTCTTAAAAGTTATTTAATTAAATATTAATTTAGTTAAAATCAAGGTAATCTAAACTCTAGGAAGAAATAGTCATTATCAATAGGATCGAAATTGTGAATCCTTTAACAGTATTTAAAGATATTACTCTTTACTATTTACTATTTCTTAATAACTTAAATAATGAATTTCAGGTAGATAGTCTTATCGTTTATATTATTGGTAATTTAGCCAAACCATTGTCTTCGACAATATTTAATTTCTTACGTCTATCACTTTTCAATACATTTTTTGCCTTGTCGTGAATGCCTGAAATTTCCTTTCATTCAGGCGCTCAATGTCGCCCAACCTCCTTTGAGTATGCAACACTTTGCCGACAAAAAATATCAATTAAAAATATTGTAATTCATACCTTCATTTTTCGCTTACCTCACCCAGTTTCGGTTTCGTTTTCAGTATTTTAGCCTCTCCTCCGAATCCCTGGCCATAATTACAAGCTGCATTTGCTGCAAAGACAGCAGCCAGGACAAATTTTTATATTTAATGGCCCGAAGGCAAACCAAAAGCACACGGCGTAATTAAACAACAACAATAAATCGGGTGAGGGGTAGGAAATAAGGAGTAAGAAATATGGGGAGGGATACGAACGCGCTCCATGGGTGCAATTTGATAGGACTTGGGAAAGGCGATATCCTTCAAGGTTTCCGCAGCGACCGATGTCAAGCCGAAGATGAGGCTGGGCCATATATATATCCACAAGGAAGGATGTCTTCGGGGCACACACTAGGCATTATCCTGGGAAGTAGAAGGAGTGATAAAGTGCGGTGGTGGCCCATCAATAACTGAAATCAATAACTCTTTGTGGGCGGAAAGCGGGGGAAACAATGGTAAACAAAGTCCTCTGTTGGTAGGTGCAAAACACAAATTGAAAAGAACTTCTATTTTGGGAGGAAATAATAACAATTAATTTTTTAGGACATTTATATCATCCATACAAGGCAAATGTGTAAATTTGCTTATAAAAAAAGATCTGATCTATAATTATAATGAAATATATTTAATGCGATAGCATTAAACAATATGTATTTAAGGATCTTCCTATTTACAAGTATTTACAAAATAAAGGTTTAAATAATTTTGTAAGTTGACATAAATGGGAAAAGGAAATTCAATCGAAATTCGAATTTCCCTGTAACAATAATATTTAAATAGGTAATCATTTGGAGAATAAATACTACAATAATGTGTTCTACTTTTTATACCCTTGCAGAGGGTATTATAATTTTGGTCAAAAGTGTGCAACGCAGTGAAGGAGACATCTCCGACCCTATAAAGTATATATATTCTTGATCAGGATCACCTCCTGAGTTGATATAGCCATGTCCGTCTGTCCGTCTGTCCGTCTGTCTGTCCGTCTATCTGTCCGTCTGTCTGTTTCTACGCGAACTAGTCTCTCAGTTTTAAAGATATCGAATTGAAACTTTGCACACACCCTTCTTTCCTTTGCACGCAGTATATAAGTCGGAACGGCCGGGATCGGCCGACTATATCCTATAGCTGCCATATAACTGAACGATCGGAAATGCCATAACTTTGGTGTTTGTAAAGTTAGGAAGTTGGGATTTTCTATGGGTTTTGTATTTGCCTAATCAATCCGACATGCCGAATTTCATAAGGATCGGCCGACTATATCCTATAGCTTCCATATAACTGATTGATCGGAAATGCCATAACTTTGGTGTTTGTAAAGTTAGAATGTTGGGATTTTCTATGGGTTTTATATTTGGCTAATCAATCCGACATGCCGAATTTCATAAGGATCGGCCGACTATATCCTATAGCTGCCATATAACTGATTGATCGGAAATGCCATAACTTTGGTGTTTGTAAAGTTAGGAAGTCGGCATTTTCTATGGGTGTTATATTTGGCCAGCCAATCCGACCTACCAAATTTCATAAGGATCGGCCGATTATATCCTATAGCTGACATATAACTGAACGATTGGAAATGTCATAACTTTGGTGTTTTTAAAGTTAGGAAGTTGGGATTTTTTATGAGTATTAAGAATGCATCATATGAATAATTTTGGAGAATATAATTTACAGAGTATTCTGCAAGGGTATATCAACTTCGGCTCCGCCCGAAGTTAGCTTTCCTTTCTTGTTTACTACTATAAAAGAAACAAAAGCCTAAATACGAAGTATTCTTACAGTGTTTACCGTGTTCTTCAATAATGACAGTCTCACAAAGTTGCAACTAGTTTTTTAAACATTCAAAGTGGTTTCAATTTGATTAAAATAAATCCTAACCCATAAGCCTGCCCCAATTAGCATATTTTATAATATCTGATTGAATGCACATACTGACTAGTTTGATGCACATTTTGGCATCTGGCGTAATATTCATCGCCTAAACAGCGCCCCCGAGTTAAGTGATGGCAGACTCCAACTGAACATTCTATGCACATAACCCAGGGTTCCGACAGTGGGGATTGGGTTACACTCGCCCAGCCGGGACTACATACATCCATACATCTATACAACCATACATCCATACAACCATACATCCATACATCCATACATCCATACATCCATACACATATGGATCGGGGAGACTGCGAGGGGCCAGATGACGATGACACAATGACAGCGTGAGCCTGCCTGGCAGCCACTCAGGAATACGGAATAGTGGTGAGGGGGGATAGAAGAGGGGGGATAGAGGAGGGGGGATGGAGGAGGCTTGGTGGCAACTGGGCTCAAATGTCGCCACAGCAGCAGAACTTTAATAACAGCGCCGCAGATTGGGTTACAAACAAAATAGAATATGATAAATTCTACACAAAACACCAGGAACCAGAGCTCAAAGGTGCGACAGAGGGGGTTGCGAGGGGAGAGCGGGGCAGTGGGTAGTGCACAGGTAATGTGAGGCACCTGCCAACATGCAACACTCACCCACCCCCTCCGCTTCACCAAACAGCAGCTCAAATTAAAATAGCGTTAAATTAATTCGAGCCACTGGTGATGGCCCAGCATTACGAAAGCGAACCCGAGTGGCCAAGAGGCAATGTGGATGGCTGGGAGGGTGGATAAGTGGGTGGATGAGTGGGTGGGTGAATGGGTGGCCCCTTGATTCTGTCAGGTGGGAGGGTCAAAATGCAGCAGGTGAAAGGATCGATGCTCACACGGACAGATATCATGTTTTCTAATTGCCACGGGGCTTTATAAATCTGTTTAACACATTTGTTAAGTCAGATGAACAAAAATATTACGTAGGGGAAACAATTAATGTTAAGCAGGTTTATTATTTACTGACATCTTAAAATACGGTTTAAAAACTTTAGCCAAAATGTATATAAAATAAAATAAAACTTAAATCATTTTTATATGAAACGACATCAACGAAAGGATAATGAAGTATATTTAGTAAGTGCAGAAAAGTCTTACAGTTTTAAATATAAATTATATGACAAATTAAAAAAAATTATTTACGATCTGTAAGTAAGTTGCATAAAATATTAAATGTAAACCATTTTTTGCAACTATATAGTATTTAAACAAGAGAATATCTGACCTACCGCACTTCATGTTAATAGTGAATATGAAAGGCAACCCTAGGGTTTTTCCCACCCACAACTCCCTCTTGAGTGTTTTGAGTTCATATAGATCTCTGTCTGAGCAGTGAGCCACCCATATCTGGTGTACATTAAAATGAAATAGAATATTTCGTGGTCGAGGGGCGAGAGACGGGGGGAGGGAACTGAAAATTCGCCCAGCAAAAGCTACAAACGGCAAAGGCCAAGTATGTCATGTAAGAATTCAAAAGAAGGACGCGCGTCATTCAATCCTGAGCTATCGATATTCGATTACAGCAAACTAAAAACCGACTGACTTTGTGCTCGACTCGCAAAACACCCATACGTACGTATACGTCTGTCTGAGAAAACTAGCGTAATTCTAGAATTTGTTGCCATTGGGTGTTGTTTCCACAACCCGACCATATACATATATATATGTACGTACTTTTTCGGGGTGGTGTTTGGGGGGGTATGGGATTGGGTTCGGTCCGGACACCAGCTCTGCTGCCGCTCGGTTTTAGTTCGCCTTAGTCTCAGTTCAGTTTACTGGGTTCAGGGTGAGTTATTATAAGCGTATTGGATTGCCGGTCCCGCTCCTCCAACCCCTAGTTCCACCAACCCCCCCACAGCCCCCGTTCGCGCCCTGGTGTCTCATTGCCGTCGTCGTGTACTTTACATTATTCTATTGGGTTTCCTCGTCGGTAACCCAAGACGTGTATTAATGCGAGCCACTCGCATAACAGGCGGCTCCACTGCAGCGGGATAAGCTCCCTTTGGATGTCTTCGGATGGGTTCGGAAGTAGGTCAGGGAAACGAAATCAATTTCGATCGATAGTTTGGATATATTCTTAACTACTTACGGATCTTCACTAGAAGATGGTATATGGAGATATGAAACAGTTGGTATCACCTTAGTATAATCTTTAATTGTTTGTTCTTACTTCCTTTTAAATTTCAGTGCTAGGAAATTGGGAACACAAAATGTACCAACCTTTATCAACTGTTTCTAGTTACGAATCCAATTGTTCAGATGTTAAATATAATTGTTTGCAGAGGCAGGCAACACATATTATCATATATTATAGAAAATCCAAGATATACTTCAATTTATCAAATTAATTTTTTAGACCTACTATTTATTTGTCGCAGTGCAACCAATGTCAGACAAAGAACGAACTTGACTGTCGGCTCGGAGTTCCCAGTTCCCGCTTCTCACCCGTCAAGTTGGTTCATTGCGATTCATAATAAAAACGAAAATATGATATGTTTTTGTAAGTTGAGATTTTGCAAAATGAAAGAAAACACAACAGACTTGAACAGTCAGAACGAGTATTGCAAATGTATCCACTGGATTCTTGGCAATAATTACGAAAAAAAAGCGAAATGAAAAGCCAGCCAAGAATCCGAACAGATCTGATTGCTTGGTGGGATGGAGAAAAAAGGAAATTCGAATTGGAAATGTAAAGGTATTTGCCTTAACACACACACTTTTATACACACCATACTGTGCGGGCAGAGCGAATCAGATCCCAACTCCATCAACAACAACAGACGGCATACAATTTCAGTTTTTAATTAATTGATTTTTATTCGCATTTCGGTGTAGAGTTTCAGGCATGGGCGCGAGTTTGAATGTCGCTGGCGGAGATGGCACTGAAAAAAGAATGTCACTTAAGCCAATCCAAAATATAGACACATTTGAATAAAATTAACGTTGGTGTATAATAACACCACTGTGTAAAAGAATAATGATTTTGCGACGACTATTTTGATAGTAACAAAGACTATATAAAACTAGAAATTCTGATCATTTTTCTCTGTGTATATCCCCTCCTTATTATCCATTTCGAACCCGTTGAGCCACTGTCAGGCAGCAGAAAGCTGAAAAACTGAACGAACGCACAAATCAGAAATTAAAAACCGAACATAAATTAACAGACAAATGATACTAAAAACCGAGCTGCCGAAAGAGACGGCGCATGGGATAATGAGAGAGACGGAGGGAGTTGTATCTGTATCTCCGTTCCTCCGGTTACTGCAAGATGCTGAACTTGAGCCAAGCGTGCGTCGCTATGGCCCCTCCACCAACCCCCCCCCATTTTGTAGCCCCCATATAGCCTCCATAATACCCATTTTTACCCCACCTGGACGAGGTCGCACCTGAGGCGTGTAATTGATACCATACCCAAGCAGCCGGCCCCAGAGATTTTATCGTGCGAATTGTTAATACTCTTTTCGCTTTTCGCGGCGAGACAGACAGCGAAAACCTGAATGCGATTGTCACCGATATCCGACTGAAGAAAAATAACCAAGCGAGCGTGTGAGCGCTACTTACGGAGTGCGAAAGAGAAAGGTGGTTGCAGTGCGAATGAGAGGGGCAGAGGGGTGGTGGGAAAGAGACGGCAACTTATTAGACGACTTGCATTTGTCAGCAAGTTGGCAGCAACGCTTAATTTGAAGAGTATCGGATAACGCCGGGGATATCCAGTTTGTCTGGAGCTTGTGATAGATGCAATGAAGGCGATGGCGATGGCGATGATTCATCTGGCCAGCATTGGCCAATTGTGGCTTTGGCTTTGACGCGCGGACCAATTTCCCCTGAATCTCGCCATTGGAAACCAATTGTGGCCACATGGCGTATGAGCAATTTGGCATTCCGCAGAAGCAACTACTCGACAAAAATCAATGGGCTGCACAGACAAAAAAATTATTGATATTGCATGAATTAACGTATTCAAATGCTGCATATTACAAATTAAGGTAACTTTATTGGCTGGAACGTAGAGCTTCTGCCTTGTTTAGGTGGTGGTCGAGTTCAATTCCCAGTGAGTTCTAATATTTTTTTTTACCACAATAGAATATTTATGCACACAAATCAAGTTACTTCTTTAATTATATACATAATTTAATCTAAGTTGGTTTAAAGTTTATTTTGGCTTTCGATGATGGATTTTATATTGAGCTGTTGTCCATTTCACTTGATACCACATATTTTAAAGCCCCTTTAGGTTCCGCCTCTGGCTAAAGACTTTGGAGCAGCAAAAACCACGTTGAATTTGAGAATTTCAATGTAATCCGATCCCTAGTTTGTGCGGCTCTCACAGCCTTGTGTGAAATTTTTGTGTGCAGCACAGGCAGGCACCGAATGATACATATATCTCCCTTGGGATTGGAATGGAAATGGGATTGGGAATGGGAATGCAAGAGCCAGAAACAGGCAACTTTTAAAGCCGCAAATGTTTTTTGCATCTTGGACTCCCGCCTGAAGCTGAATTTCGGCTTAAAATTAAAGCAAAAAGGAAGGAGACACACGCAAAGCGTCAGAGTTTGGTCGAAGATATTGGGTATCAATGTCGATGCAGGGAGATCCAAAACAAAGGGCGGGGGTGTGGTGCCTTGCCAAGGCAAATATGCAAATGCCACCCACTTGGGCCACCTGAAAAAGGCAACTAGTCCGGCCCTCTTTCCGTAATGAAGCTCTCCGTTACCTGTGTGTGCAGTGATATCTTTGTGGAAACTCGGGTGTGTGAGGTGTTCGGTGCGTGGGCTTTCCCCCAGAGTTATCGATTACCTGCAACATTGCCGGCCTCGGGGGAAAATGCTTTGATATGGTTAGATAAGGACTCGCATAATTGGACATCGTGATCAGAGGTCAACGGGCAAAGGCAATCGATAATTAGTGAAAGCTGCGGGATAATGTTCTTGCATGCCCAACCCTTTAATTAATATTTTTCTTTACGGGCTTAAAAACCACAATATTACACCTGCCTGGCTGTGCATGTGAGAAGGTTTCAGCTGCCAGTACTTAAAGAAATATTTGGAAAAATGAACTCCACTTAATATTCTTTTGGGATATACTTTTAATATCTTGTAAGCGAGATCATGTATGGATTTATTTAAAAAATTTAAATGAAAAATTTAAGACATCCGAGATATAAATTTTCCTTATTCACTTTGTGAAATTTGTATATCTTAAATGTATTTTAAGCCGGGAAAGAACAATTTTTCTTTAATTGTTATCCAAGCTTATGATCTACATTAAAAGGGTCACCAATGACTTACACCAACTAAATCAAGTTTAAAAGCATCCATAAATATCCCAAAATTCAGTTTTTGGAGTGTATAGCAAACCGATTCGATCTTCATGAATATCGGGTGACCCAGGGGCCATGCAAATGGAAACCAGGGGAACTGTGCCAGTTGTCAACCACTCATCTATATGTTTTTTGGTTCTTCCCTTTCCAGGAATTCGCACACAACACCATGAACGAGCTGCTCGGATGGTACGGATTCGAGGGTGTGGACGTGGATCGACTGGAGTTGACCGCCAAGACATCGCGCCTGCTGCAGAGTGCCGCTGCAGCGGCGGTGGCCAACCAACAGCATCACCACCAGAACCACCAACTCCACCAGCTGGACCAGCATCCGAATCTGGAGAGGAAGCGGGGCAGTCTGCTGCGCAGCAGTCGCAGTTCCTTGGCAGCAGCCTACCACAATAACAACAACAATGGCAGTAGCAACAAGAATAATGGAGCAGGGGGAGGAGTAGGCGGAGGGGGAGGAGGTGTCAGCGGAACTGGAGGTGGGAGTGGGCGGAAGGGCGGTCTGATGAACTGCAGCAGCACCACCACCACGCCCTCGGACCACGACACTCGCAGTTCAAGGGAGGAGGACTCCAAGAGTCCGCACTCCATCGGGAAACCAGCGGGAGTACCGCACACGGAGGAGAAAATAGGTGGGTACAGCCTATGTTCTATAAATAAGTACACTGCTACAAAAATCATAAACTACCTTCTGATATATGTATGTAGTTTAGGTTTTGGAAACCTAAAATTTATTTCTCTCTTAAACTCAACCTATTACCCGTTTAAATTTACCTATTTTACTCATCAATTTATTTAAGCAATAGTGCAAAGTTAGCCGGTTAAACATGATATTTTCAGTGCACAGTTTGCAGGTTACCAATGGGTAATTCAAGACGATTGCAACCGAAAATGGACAGCAAAAGTCAAAATCAAAACATGTAACCGACTCAAAAATCCTGGGACTAGGGCGTAACCAGGTTTTGGCAGCAGGCATTTAAGATTTAGTTTAAGAAGTTTCAAAGCTATTATTCCTAGATTTTATTCTCTCTAACTAAAAATGTTTTAAAGACAAACATGTTCAAATATACCATCAATTGTAATTTGCCCCCCGCCTCTAATGAAAACATTAACTACGCCCATGAGTCAAAAACTCACCTGCTTGTTTTGAGTACTTTTTGTTTTTTGAAGCAAACTCGATAAGTTCGACTTTTCTGCTCCACCGCACCGCTGCAATCCCCTCCAATTCCAATCCGTCCGTGAATTCGGTGCTAACTTTCCAGCAACTCCGGCCGGAGTCCTGCATTATCGAATAACAGATTCATTAAGACCCAAATATGGTTTACACAATTTTGGCTAGCGAAGTGGAGAGGAAGGCAGTAAGAGTGGGGCCATGTTAGGAATAGGATATCCGGAGCTCAGTTTGTACGGCAGCCTGTGCAAATCAATTTTGTGAGTTTGGTGGGAATCAATTTCCAGTTTAATAGTTCATTTATGGTTTTATATTCGTGACTTTTCTTTTTGGATGAACTAAAATGCGGCATGTGTTGTAAAATTCATTAAATTTGAAAAGGATAACAATGCTGTGTTTCCTTTACAAAATGAATTTGCAACAAAAAAACTATTGTTGCCAAAATTTGTATCCTAGTCTGCCTAAATTTGTTATATTTTGGTAACAAATAAAAAACAAACAGGCGATTTGAATTGAATTTTCTGATGTTACACTAGTATATTTTTCAAAAGTATTTGATTACCCATCATAAATCCCTATTTTTTGGCTCTTCCACAGACTTCAGCAACTGCTGCTGGTGCCATCGACCGATTGCGGAGAATGCGCCGGATTACCTGACCAGCTGCGACGGACCGCGGTACTGCTCCGAGTCCTGCTTCGCCCAGAGCCGGAGGGCGTCCTTCAAGAAGGCCAAGACCTGCGACTGGTGCAAGCACGTCCGCCATGCGGTGAGCTACGTTGACTTCCAGGACGGCGCCTCCCAGTTGCAGTTCTGCTCGGAGAAGTGCCTCAACCAGTACAAGATGCAGATCTTCTGCCACGAGACGCAGGCCCACCTGGACATGCATCCGCACCTGAGGGATCAGGCCCTGGACGCGGGCAGCGAGGCGGGGCTGATAACGCCGGATCTCTGGCTGCGCAACTGCCGGAGTCGCTCGGCCTCGCCCGCCTCCACGCTCTCGGTGTCGCCGGGTCCTGGTCCTGGTCCTGGTCCTGGTCCTGCCCCACCTGCTCCGGCCCCCAGTCGCTGTGCCGACTCGCCGCCTAGTCATCATCCCAGCAAACCCCTGATCTCAGTGGCTCCCGTCTCGAAGTTGCTGGCCCAGAAGAGTCCTAGCTCGGCAGGAGCTCCACCACCTCCGCCGCCGCCTGTCCAGCGGCATTTGGGCTCCAAGTTGGGTCGTCGGAAGCGTCGCGGTCTCTCCTCCTCTTCGGGCTCGGAAACAGTGGCCAGTTTGCTGCAGAAACAGCAGCAACAGTCGCAGCAGCAGCAACATCAGCCAGCTCCAACTCTAACGGCCGACTTTGCGGGATCCAGTGTGCCACTGCCTCCTCTCTCGCCCATGCCAAGTATGCAGGATAATCCTCAGCAGCAGCAGCAGCAAGCTCCTCCTCAGGTGGCTCCACCACAAGGATTACCGAGAGGAGCTACGGCCATTCCGGCCAGTTATTTTGCAACGCCCTCAAATGGTGTGCCCATGGGCCATCCTTTTGTGGGTCGTCCACCACCGCCACCGCATCACTTTATGCATCCTCCTCCGCATGGCATGATGCCCCGCGGATTTGGTCCTCCCTTCGGGCCCCCACTTCCTCCCCAAATGCCCGAACTGGGAGCCCTGATGGGTGCTGTTCCGCCGGTGACCGTTATGGTGCCCTATCCGATCATCATACCACTGCCCATACCCATACCCGTTCCTCTGCCAGTGATGGATTTCTACAAGGCACACCTCACGCCCGAGCAGAGGAAGCGCTTCGACGAGGAACGGGCGGCACCGAGCAGAGTGGAAAACCCGGGAGAGCAGGAGCAACCTCAACCGCTGGACTGCAGCAAAACCAGGAGCGAACTGGAGGAGGAAAAGCCAGAGGTGGAGCAGCCAAAGGAGCCGCACGACGAGTTGGACAACGATCAGGAAGAGGACGAGAAGGAATCCATACCAAAGACAAATCCAGACAGGGAAACCACCCCGGCCTCGCCATCAATCTCGCAGGAGTCGTCGTCCTCGCCGCAAGAGACGCACTGCATCGTGAGGGATGCGACGCAATCCGAGCCGGAGGCGGATGGCCAGAAGCTGCCCAAGCTGAAGATCACGCGACTGCAGACCAAGCGGACGCTCATCCAAACCAAAGAGGCGGCGGCCGAGTGCAGTCGACCGCTGCGCAAGCGCAAGAGGATCATCGACTGCGATTTCCAGAAGATGGCCGTCAAGGAGCCGGAAGTGACCAGCGATGGACACCAGAGCAACGGGAGCAACAGCAAGGAGGCGGATGCCGATGAAGAGTGCAATATGAGCAGCAGCCACAGCAACAGTGGCCATGCTAAAGCTAAAAAGTAGACTTAGACCTTAGGATTTACCCTTTAAAAGTAGTAGAATGTATTTATCTATGTATGTGTGAGTGTGTCAGTGTGTATGTGTAACCGGAAGCGGAAGTGGAGTCCACAGGAAGTGAGAGAGGTGTAGAGAGAAAGAGCTAGCGGAAGGCACAAAGTGCATGCGGTATCAGAATCGAATCTTAATAAACTAAAATATAACTTATTAGATGGCACTGCTTTCTCTTGGGTGGAAATAACCTGATTATATTCACATTTAGAAATGAACTTCATAACTACATAAAACTTTATTAAGTTACTTTTCATTCAAAAATACACTTGTCTTCAAGGAGTGCCGAAAGTAATTTAATTGTACTTAATATTACCAAAAACTAGCTGCATGCACCTAAGATATGTGGCCAAAATATTCAAAATAACCAAATTCAGTAACAACTTCTGAACCAAAACAAATATCCAAGGGTTCTTACAACAATACTTCTAAAAGTAAAGCTAATTCAAGAGGACTTCTGAACCGTTGCAGTCGTGGGAATCTGGAACAGACACTGTAAGACTTAAGCCTAAATCCCTGCTCAGTTGTAGAGGTCCCACAGCGATATCTGACTGTCCATGCCCGCCGCCGCCATGATAGGAGCCCGCCACATAGAGACCGGCTGGCTGGAGTAGGCCAGGTCCATCACACCGCCCTGTTTGTGCTGCGTGAGCACGGCCAGCGGTCGCAGGCTCTTCCAGGAGAAGATCCGGATGCGTCCATCCCAGCCCGCGCTGGCGAACACCTTCTGATCGGCACGAATGCGGACGCAATTTACACCCGGATTCTTGATGGACAGCTCCGAGCCACGCTGCAATTGCATCGATGGTCGCTGGTAGCTAAAACTTATCAGTTGTTCAGCTGTAAAAAAAGATAACAATTGAAGTAAATAGAAAACCTTCTATATGCAAACTATGACTTACATGGACTACCAATAATGCCGCGATTGGTGACGGGGTCATAGTCCACTGACGTGGCATCTGGGGCAACCTCCAGGACATCCACAATCACCCCCGAACTGATGTCCCAGGTAAGAAAGTGTCCCGATTCGTAGCCAGCGAGGAGGAACAGCTGCGAGGCGCATTCGAAGGGTTTAAAGCAGGTCACACTGCCCAATTTGGGCAACTGAGGATCGTCTGGGACGAGCATTTGGGTGGGGGCCGCCGCATCCGTCACGTGCAGCACCCCAATGGACGACTCCTCGCAGGGGTAGAAGAGCAGCTGCTCGTTGGTGTTGCTGGTGCCCGTGTGCAGGGCAGATCGGCAGTAGCCCATGTGGTTTCCCGGAATGCTGCGCTCCTTCACGTAGCTGCTGCCACCGATGGAGAACATGGTGATGGTGCCGCCCTTCTCCTGGGTCACCAGGCGGTCGGGAGTGTGGTGCAGGCTGGTTATGGGCTCGGATCCCACCTCAAAGTGGAGGGCGGAACGGTTGGTCTGCAAAGGGGTAAAGTACAAGTGGTTATTGAACTAAAAAACATAGATGTTGTTCATCATAAAAAACAAAAAGGAATAATAAGAATAAGAAAACAATGCTATCTATTAGTTGACGTAGGATGAATAATATTTATTGGTGTCTTTAATGTCCAAAGTAACGAACATTTGTAAATATGGGATTATAAGGTTAAACCCTATATATCAATATTTTGAAGGTCTTAAAACATAATATTTTTGTCTGTTAACGATCAGTCAAGTTAAATGAGATCGGAATTGATTGGCAAAAAAACCGTTTTCGGGATCTATATATAGTTACCTTAAACTTGGCACCTGGCAGTTCGATAGGGCTATAAATATTTCAAAAAAAATTGTATCAAGATTGGACTATGGTTATAACATACAAATAAAAACCTTTAAACCGGCAGGAATAAAAATAAACTTTTAGGTAAAAAATAAAGACTATTTTAGAGTTTATTTATTTTATTATTGGTGCCAAAATATTGGGTCTCCGAAAACCGCTAATATATTCTGTAAATTTGAGGTTCTCACCTGCAAATCCCAAAGGAAAACACTGCCTTTAAGGGTTCCCGCCAACAGACGATCGTTTTCCTGAAAGCAAAGTGAATGAACCGCGCCCATGTCGGGGGATCGCAGGCTGAATACAGGATCTGGTGGTAGCACAGCCATATTTTATTTATTTAATTTAATTAACTAAATGTTGGTTTGTTTTTGTTTGTCTCGTGGCAATGTGACCGTGGCGGGAATGTCTGAAAACATCGATTGGCTGATAGTGGGATCGTTGCCAGACTTTCCTGCGTTTGCTATAGTTCCTTAAAAAACCCGCCAGAGGGCGTAGTCTTTGGCGCGCATCTTAAGCAATTCAAACGTTATTCCGCCAGCAGCAAGACACATGCCGAATGTTTCTCTTTTTTAAATTTTGCATGGTAGCCTCTCGCGGAGCGAGCTTAAAATTTTACAGCGAAAAATCATTAAGTCGCTAAATGCGCGGACTATTAAAAAACATAACGTGCACCGAAGGCTTACGCGGCTTTAATGGACTTTGTCAGCGGTCTCTCGTCTCTCATGTGGCCTAGACGCTAAGGCCCGAATCGTAAAAGACTTGTCAGCCGCGCGCACTTGGCCAGATTGCGAGCGAAGAAAACGGCCAGCCCCAAAAATATATCTACAGTCCATTCTGCCGGCCGTCCGCAACAAAGATCGCAAAATAAACATGCCATAAGCTCGTTAATCAATGCTAAGTTGACAGTTTTAAGTGGTTTTAGCGAGCCAACACCACCGCAAACGGCAAATAACTCGGAGACTCCTGTTGTGCCGCAGGCTCAGCATGATTTACGGTCCCAAAAAAATGCGCTATATTTTAATTGAGTGCAAGAATTTATTTGAAATTTTTCGGTTTCGTATTTGGTTCTACCAAAACAGGATCTTTTTAAAATAGAAATGGCGGGAAAATGAAGAAGTTTCGAAAATTCAACAGGTTTTCCTTTTAAATAATGCAAACAAATATATTTATTATATCTGATGTTTGAAAATAATAATTTATATGAAAAGTTTAGATTAGAAAATTTGAATTTAAAATTGCTTTTACTATCAAACCATTTCTTTTTTGAATACGAAAATGTAAATTCCTAAAAACCATTTTTTAATGTCGAATTTCACCACAAATAAATACAATTGCTTATTTATCTTTTTTATGTATGCTAGAAATTTATGTTATACAACTATATGGTTTTATCTGGGAAAAATGCATAATTCCAACTTGGTATTTCCATAATTTTCACCTAACATTTTCCATTTCACGGGAGCTCACTTGCGGCAGTCAAAATGTACTTTTCCACAGTTGACTAGACAATCGGTAATTCGATTTGGATGCAACAAGTTAACACGTTTTCCCCTGTGGCTTTCAGTCGTCTGGCAAACAGTTCGAAATGCGGCTACAAGTTCATTTAACGGCAGAGCCAATCATAAAAAAGGGTTCAAGCCCGTATGACCATTCCAGCTCATTTGCTTTCGACTCGGTTAATACATTTTTGTCTCCCACAGGATAAAGGAGGTGGTGTCGAGGGGCAGGGGGGAGGGGCAGAGGGGCAGGGGGGCAGAGGTAGCTGAACGACAAGTCCATAAATCTTTTCGCCACAGAGCCAGGCATAAAGTGAGGCGTTTAAACTATTTATGCATGTTGGGTAATCCATTTGAAATGGGTCAACGACTACAACAACAACACAAACAACAACAACAACAGCAACGGGAACAACGAGCACATAAAACTCCTTAAACGTTTCCAATAACCCAAGCAAACCCAACCCAGTTCGAAGTTGAAAACATATTGGCTTGTTACCTTAATGAAGTCATAAATTTTCGCTATCGCATTCGGGGCATCTCGGCCAGAAAAGAGAGTCCCCAGTTCTGAAGTCTCGATTCTCGAGAGTCGAGTTCGAGTTCGAGTCCCCGAGCTACAGGTTTCTAAGGAATTCCATTTCGGGATAGAATACTCAGCCGTATACCAAGTGTTTTGGCACACATACGCGGCCACGGTCGATAGTTAATCAGGCTTAGGCTGATATATGCTGACAGAGTCGGTCTCTGGTGTAGGCCGCCACTCTCGAAAAAGGATACGCATTTGTCCATCCACCGAATATCCATGGAATATCCATGGCTAACCCCCGCTGTTCGAGTATTCCGCGTATTTGCGAGGCGGGCTATGAAAATGAAGTTATCACGCGACAAACAATGTCTGCCCCCGAGCCCTTGAAACCAATAACTTTATATGGTTGTCATTATTAGTCGGAAATTAAATGGCAACGGCCACAGAGGACGACACTTGGATGACTACCCGACTTATTTATGTGCTACCTTAATGGAGCTTCATCTACTCGAAATTGAGACGGCGATTTGTTCAACTCCCCTTGCTTTTGTCGCTCGGCATCGTGGATCCTACTACCTATCCCTTCTCGTGTTGACTTTTTATTTCGCATTACTCTGCCATGGCCATGAATCACTCGATGGGGAAAAAGGTAGCACTGGGTTCTAGGTGCTGGTATTTTGATTTGAAGATCGCCAAGGTGAGATCGCCGGGCAGGAGGAATTCCTAAGTCAGGAGGAATGTAAACTATTTAAATTGATCTGCGTTGTGATTTATTGCATTTGAGAAAGTTTACTTACTCCAATTTAACATTTAAATACAATTAATGATAGTAACGTTTGATTGATTGATGTTCTAGCACTAAAAACATTTTAAAAATACTAAATACTCAATTAAATATTCAATGTGTACAAGATAATATTATACTCAAAATCTAAAAAACTTAGTTATTTATATTAATTCCAGAATCAGAAAGATGTAAATTGATCTTTTTATGATTTATTACATTTGAAAAAGTTTACTTACTTCAATCTAACATTTAAATACAAGTAATGATAGTAACGTTTGATTGATTGATGTTCTAAGCCGAACTAAAAAACATTTCGGAAATACTAAATTAAGAATAAAATATTTAATATATACAAGTTAACATTCTATTCGAAATCTAAAAAACCTAGTTATTAATATTAATGACATTTATTGTATATCAAGCTTTGAGATATTTATTTAGCTTTCCATTGTCTTTTGTTTGATTCGATAGAAAGTGATTGCTGCGACTGATGCAATCAATGTAGAGACCATAGCCGATTCCCAAAAATAAGTTGGAAACTTCGGCCGAGCGCAATCAATTAAAATATCGACGTCTATCAGCGTTATTATAAATCAAACGATAACATAAAATTGACACTAAAGGCGTTTCGACCATTTTTCATGCCGGCCGTCGACGAGATTAAGGCCTCGGATATATGGCATCCGAGCGCGGTGGCCAAACTTAGATGGAGTCACATTTTGGGGCACTTGAGCTTGCATCTGAACTTTGCTTCGTATTTATGCAAATTATCCGTTGCCGGACGGGAAAAACTGGTCCACAAAAACGGCGAACGCAAGGCGAAGTGCTCTCTGTAATTGATCAATTTCCGCCGAGCAGCCAGACCGGATCGAATCGAATCGAAATGGATCGGATCGGATCGTTTGGATCGCCCAGAGAAGTGAGAAGTTGGCAGACCCGCAGGTTGCCCAGATCGGATTGAATCGGATAATGTGATGGCCACTTGATCTTCGGCTGATTTATGGAGTTCGACGAGGGCTTGGCTAATGAAATGCCACTTTAGATACAATATTTTGTGCCCGTTTTGTCTTTAGCCCACCACTTCCATATGGAGAGTTATGACACCTGGTGAAGGTGCACCCACATATCGACATTGGACATTCCACTTGATTGCCTCCGACTCACTCGGATCGCCAATCAGACGCAATCAGCAAAAGTGCCAATCAAGCGCAGGACGCGTCGACAAAGGATGCGTTCGTCCCATGCCCATAATCCTGGGTGTGAATGTCGAGTAGATAGGGACAGTAGGGTGGGGCACTGGTCGTCGGAGGGCCTGAAATCGAAACCTTGTCGCTGGGGTGTCAATAACATTGTCCGTGTGACTGCCTCCGGGCATGGTTGTTGTCGTCGTTCTGCTCGTTGTTGCGGCCATCGACGATGTGAATGCGTTTTCAGCTCCATTGAACCGGCAGAAGCAGCACAGTGGAGTGCAGAATTCGGGTATCAAGTCTGCCTTTAAATACAAGTACAAAATGTAAGCTTCGTTTTAAAAAGAGTATATTTCATATTTTCATCATAAAATATCGTATTGTATGTATTTGGAGTTCCATATTTTGTAGTGGCACTCTATATTAATCTAAAGACCATATTATAGTTGGCCAATAGTCGGTTAAAGTGGAGCTCAAGTCACGAAATTGACTAAAAGTAAATATAATTTATACATATCATAGCATAAAATCACAATATTGACAGTTTTGTGGTGACTTAACCATTAATACCATATTTTAGTAAGCTAATAAATATTATACTTAACTATTCAAAACTGAACCAGAGATTTCTTGCCTATGAAGATTGCTTTTAAAGTATTCTTAAAATGCAAACATTAATGTAGTCTTTTGAAATAAAAAATGTCTTAGCAATGTTAATAAATAGAGACAATAGAGAACATTTTAAGTGCTAATGTAAGTTTTGGTTTACTTACTTCAAACTTCTTAAGCATTTGCTCCACCGTTGCCCAGAAATTCCAATTTAATTGCGTGAATCAAAGTTGTAAATCATTATGCTAAGTGCCCTTTAATGTCTCAAAATGCAGCTCATTTGCAAGTGCAGGTTCCAGGTCGTTCCCAACTCCGCCATGGAGCTGCAATATGGAGCTGCTGGCCCCGAGGGCAAATAATCATGTCTGAACGGACAAGGCAGGATGGAAAACGGGAGCGGCTTAAATTGCTACTGGCCAGGCTGTTGGCTGACATAACCAGAGGGTTGGGATGGGTTGGGTTGGGTTTGGGCTTGGAACCTGCTGCAACAAAGAAGAACTACTTTCAATTATCAATTATTAAGTTAATATCTTCTTCAGGCCGCAATTTGAATGGCAAGAGGTGTCACCACTACTAGAGTTAATGGTTCAATCAGCACTCTCTTTTATCTGGAATGGATATGAATGCAATTGCGGTTTCCATTACCGTTTCGGAAGATAATGAACGGCGCTCGTTTAATTAAAATGCCGCCTGACGGACTGAAATCAATTTATCTGTGGCCCCAAACCAAATTGCGGTGCCAAAAGCCCGTCATCATGGGGCGAGGCCATCAGCATCAACATCAGCATCGCAATCGCCAACCCATCTCATTGTGCATACGAGCATCGGTAATTGGGGACCACTTGCCATCCGATAAACACCTTAAATATGAGCCTGTTAATTACTGTAATTTGCTGCTGTCTCCAGCCCCCTGGAATCGAAATGAGCCACTAAACGCGACGACAATCGCAACATTTGCCATCGCACCCCGGAGGATTAGGTGACCCAGTTGCGGAACCAATGCGACAGCTGTCTTGGCGGGGCATGCAACATCAATTATTCAGGGCCATCAAACGGGGGGCCATGCCGACCGAAAGTGCAAACAACTAAACCCCAAAGATACACACAAGTCGCCGCATGAAATATTGACAGCAGTCAGCCCGAAAAAGTAACTACAAGAAAATAAAACTAGCGAAAGTTACACTCTCTTGAGTTGGGGCTTCAACTTTCAATGATTATCGAGTACTACCAGTACTTAATTATTAATGCATTTCTTTAATTTACTTTTTGAAACAGAATACGACAAGCTCATTAAAAATTAATAACATTTTTATTCGTTGTTTTCTAGCATTTCTTTAGAATTTTATAAAGTAAGTGTGAAACAATGTTCTGCTGGTTAAATTAGGTATTGGTCAATATTGGTACTCCAGTTTTTCTACTAGTGATATCCATTATGTTTTTATGTTCCAAATGTTTTTGTTATATATAAGCCTCAGAAAATGAGATATATTAATTCCATTGTATTATTATTTTCTAAAAATTCTATCTTGTTCTACCATTCTAGTTTTATTAAACGTTATTCTAAAAATATTTCTTTATTTTTTATTGCGGCTGTGGGAGTTGCATTAGTAATAAAGTAATTTCTGCTCCTGAATCCCACATCCCACGACTTCAATTCTTTCAATATTTCATATCTCCAGCTAAAATCCAAACCCATGGCGTTACCTACTTCTGAAACTATTTGTAACTGTCCAAGAGACGACCATGACTTTATCAGTCGGCTGTCATTGGGATGGCCACCACCTAAGGGCATGTGAGCTTCGATGATAATTTATTTTGCCAGCTGTGTGTGGGCGACCCTGCTGCATGTTGCTGTTGCATGTTGCTGCCGTGGTGTTGCATGTGTTGAAACTTTGAAGTGCGTATAATTCATTGGGTTCTGTGCTTGAGTGACCCAGCAGACGGTGACTGACTGACACAAACACAAAGTGGCTGTCTGGGTCTTTGGAACTCGGCAACCTCGGAGACCAAAAGCCTCCGAGCAAAAATTCAAGCTGCAGTCAGTCAGTCATTCAGTCAGTCATTCAGTCAGGCACTCAGAATTGGGCTGCAATTTTCCTTGGCATTTTGATAAATGGCGTTAAAATATTTCACAGGCCGGTTGTCAGTTTGATTTTCGATTCATTGAAAGCGAAACATGAAACTTGACCCATTAGCTAAGCATTTGGGGTCCTAATGATCCTTCTTCTGTTTCTCTCATTGAAACATCCAGGCCATTCCGGTGGCTCATTAAATGCTGCGGTTTGCAAATCAAACCGGTAGAGAAACAGGAATGGAAAACTATTGACTCCAAAAACCCAAACCCAAACCGAACCCGGCCAGCCAACTATTTACGAGATAAAAGCACTTACGATTTCATTAGCCAACTGTGCAGCAAAACAAAATCACTGGCAAAAGATATATCGGTAAATTAATATTTGCCTGCCATCAGGTGACAGACGGTAGTAAAACGAAACTGGTCCCTGTCGGCCTCTTGAGTTTCACTATTCCATCCATTTTTAGGCTGGGAAGCCGAAAAGGAGTTGCTGCGAAAATTGCTAACTCAAAATGCAATGCGGGAATACAATTTTCTTTGCATACAGTGATTGCCTGATTGATTGAGGAATAAAACGATTAAAAATACCAGATTTAGGTAATCATCAGCCGCATCGATTTTAGCAGATCCAAAAAAATCCAACAGATTTCGCAAAAATTGGGCAAAAAATACATTTTTTTGCTGTGAATGCCAATCGATTGGAAATTTGGTAACGAATTCAACGAGGTATTACATTCCAAGATCTGACCATTATTTGTAAGGGCTTCGATCAAAAAACCCAAAAAACGAGTTGCATTTTTCCGGGATTCGGTCATCAAAAAAATATTTTTAATAACTAATTTTGTAAGGGTTTTTGTTTTAACTTTGCCAAAATAAAAGGCACAGCGAAAAGAATGACAGTTTTGAGCAGCTGAGAACCTATACAATCAATTTAAGCTTGATTTGGTAAAATGTATTTTTGGACCGATTTTCACATTTTTCATAAGGGGTAACACTTAATATTTTGCCAAAAATCGACTAAAATTAAATTTTTTAGCTGTGAATGCCACTCGATTGGAAATTTTATAACGAATTCAGCGAGGTATGACATTCCAACATGGGACCATTATTTCTAAGGGTTTTGATCAAAAAACCGAGAAAAAAGTAGCTTTTTCCGGATCTCCGGATTTCGGTTTTTTTCACATTGTCATTTTTGGCGAAAAACCGACCAAAATGAAATTTTTTAGCTGTGAATGCTACTTGATTGGAAATTTTATGACGAATTCAACGAGGTATGGCATTCTACTATTTGGCCATTATTTCCATTGGTTTTGATCAAAAAACCGAAACTTAACTTAATATTTTCAGACTTTTTGGCATAAAACACATTTTTATAAGGGTGATTTTTCTACAGCTTCGCTAAAATACGACGTACAGCCAAAAGAATGACTGTTTCATGCAGCTGGGGACCTAAGCTATCGATTTCAGGTTGATTTGGAAAAATTTATTTTTGGACCGATTTTCACATTTTTCATAAGGGGTAACACTTAATATTTTATCAAAAATCGACTGATTTGAAATTTTTTAGCTGTGAATGCCATTCGATTGGAAATTTTATAACGAATTAAGCGAGGTATGACATTCTAAGCTTTGACCATTATTTCCCAGGGTTTTGATCAAAAAACCGAAATAAAAGTGTGTTTTTCCGGATCTCCGGATTTTGGCATTTTTCTTAAGGGGTTACATCATCTATTTTTGCGAAAAATCGACCAAGACCAGACTTGACTGATTTTCCAATTAACTCGACGCGCGTTGAGCACTGATCGTCTGAATGAACGCCTTCGACGGGCCACTGCTGCATTGATTTGTCAAATTGACAGCAATAAATCCATCATAACCAGTTACAATTGACAGTTAATCATAAGCACCGCTGACAGGTGGGTCCCAGCCCCACTTCCCTTTCCCCACTCCCCACCATCCACCCCCTGCTCCTCATCCACCTGGCTGTGGGTAATATATGCGGCTGCCAATCAGCCGATTGTCTTGATATATGCGCCCATTGACCAAGTCGGGCTTTTGGGCTCGGCCCAGTGCAAAATGTTGCACCAAATTAATTAAAACCCGTGAGCGGCTAGTCATAGTCATAGCCATGGTCATAGTTATAGCCACCCACCCAAAAACCCAACCACCAGGTGAAACCACCCGATGGCGACGTGGGACGCCTCTAATACCCAAAGCCTAACCTTGTTCGCAACTGACACTTTGCTAAATGCCCACCCCGAGGCACCGAATGAATGGAACTGAACTGAACTGAACTGAAAGATACCGACCCGATATGCTAAGTAGGGGTATCGCCACGTTTCGCCCGGCACAATTTATTCAAAAGCATTAATTTTTTTTTATAGCTTAAGTCTTCGCCGCTGTAGCCAGCCAAAATGATCTGGACTACGGGCCAACTAAGTCGAGCCATGGGAAAATGAGCCGTAGTTCGGCTCTAATGACAGTTATTTATCAATTGGCATTTGCCAGGTGACCACCGGTGGTCCGGTGATTGTCACGGGAGACCGGGTGCGAAGAAAATATGTTTCCCTCAGTGTACGACAGCCAATTGAGTTGGCAATGTGAACACAAAAAACAAAAACTTGTCATAATTACCCTAAGCTTATTAAATTAGACCTAAAAGATGAGTCTAGACTCTAGACCATATTATAAATTCCCTTAGCAAAAAGGAAACTCTTACAAATATATACCTTATACATTGTAAAAAAAATTATTAAAAATTTAAAAAGAAACCAAACAAAAATTAAATCTAATCTTAAATATACAACCCCTTTGCAACTTGTATAATATTGCTACTGTCGTTCTGCTAATGTTTTGTAAGCAAAGCTAAAAATACTCCTTCTTAAATGCAGTGGCCAAAACTGGATATTTAATTATAAAAATGTAAATGGGTGTATAACAAAATATTTATCACATAATAAATGCAGGGCATTAAATTCAAATAGGAAATATGTCTTTAACACTTAACTTTAAACACTTTTACTGTCGATTGAGTCACCAAAAACTTTTAATAAAACATCTAGTAAACCCATAAAGACATACCCAAAATAATTCCAATAAAAACGAAATAAAAAGTGGTAAATGAAAAAATGTTAAAGCCAAATCCGAAGTCATGTTTGTAAGCCGTAGTTAATGCATTGGCTGTATAATCCAGGTCTTTCATTTGCAGTTAATTAGGCACACGCCAAAGCGAAATATGCGGTGGCAAATGAATCTTGAAATCAAAGTCTTCATGTTGCCATTGACAAGTACAAATAAATGGAAATCGTTAAGACCAACCGGTTATCACTGGGTTAAACTAAGCGTTAAGCGTAAGACAAATTTAGTTGCTGATTCGGGGTATTTACTCCGATCTCGAACTCCGATCTGGGACCTGATCGTATCCATACCCATACCCGTACCCGTACTCGTGCGTAATTAGCCGCGGCATCGTCGATTTATCATCGAAATGTGGCGGTCATAAACAAATGCGCCGGCGCCACTCGCTATTTCCATGTCGTTTATTTTTCATATTCAATATTCGGCTTTTATTTGGCTCTTGGGCTTTTCATTAAATATTAGCCACAATATTGAACGACGGCCGCAGGCGACGCAGCAGGTGAAGATGTTTACCCAGTTACCCACCATTCGGATTTGGATCCGAACTGGAAGTTGCGCAAAGAGTACGCGTCCGAGTTCGAATCCGAGTCCGACAGAAATCAATAAAGTATTTGTGAGCTTGTGCAAGTTGCAGATGTCATGGGATCGGACACATATGCATAATGATGTTATTCAATTGCACAGAACAGCGGGCTTTCGATTAGTATGTGGGTGCAATCACTTGATTATTACTCGGGGAAACGCATAAATAGTGATCACAGGTAAACGTCGCTTATGCAGATAGGCTGTCTGAGTTATTGACAGGGCAAACGAGAAATAAAGAATTCGCCATCTGCTTATGCAACTGGGTAGTGTCATATATTTGATTTTATATTCTTAAATAAGTGATGTACTAAATAGTTATCAAATATAAGTATGAAGTCTAGGAGATGAAATCAATGAAAGAGATTTTGGAAAAATAGTAATACAATTTATACAACATGGTAACAATAGTATATAAAATGTTTAATATTATACAAGAAGATGAAGTTGTTACATTTTGCTTTTGTACTTTTTTTTACATTTCCTAAACATAACTATTTTGTTCTAGTTGTACAAAACTTCAGGTTTTTGAATCTATAATACATAAAATCAACTTAATTTATATTCCTTTATACTGTTACTAATTTCGTTAGAACTTTAAATGAAACTATGGATTTATGGAAATTTAACTCACTTTTTTTGCTCTTTCACTTGGCCTTTCAAATGCGATAATACTTTAGTATCACGTGCTGGTGCTGGTCGCATTTCATTTTGGGCCCCAGTTCGATGGCTCTTTATGCCATTCCATTCCAGGTCCGGCCAGGCCACGCCCCCCGGCCAGACGGCCGCCCCTTTCGGGCCGAGCGACGTGTGCATAAATCTTGCACGCATATTTAAGTTGATGATGTTAAATGGCTGTACTAAAAATACGAAATATGCATGCCGTATGCATCCTGTCGCTCTGTGTGTGGAATGTGCCACGGCACCACTGCACCACTCTGCACCACTGCACCACTCTGCACCACTGCACCACCATGTTCCAGCAACATGGCGACATTCATAAACCAAAACTGAGCCACAGAGTCTCCTCGAAAGCCAAAGGCAACTGCCTCGGAGCCCGTGGGTTTTTGGCCTGGCTTTCGGGCTGGCCGAAAGCCGAACTGCCAACAAAACGTTCTGTCCAAAAAGGAAACCGAGCTCACCAGCAAGGGGGAGATATTTTTGGCATTTACTACAACGAATGTAATATGCACTATCAAAATAAAAGCTAGATGAAGTGCTCAAGAAATGTCTTGAAAATAATGTATATTAATATTTGATTACATATAAAGTAAATTCAGGACCTTAAGAAAAAGGTTATATTTAAATTACCATTAATCTTGAGCTATAAATTATTAGAGAGTTTTTAAACAGAATAGAATATTTATCCTATTAAATAATAGGTTTCCAAAGTAAATTAATTAGATAATTTTATATTTAGTTATAATTTTATAAATAAATTGAATTTTCTTTCCCATTAATCAGTAAAAGCTCTTTAAAAAAGCCCAAGTACCTTTTGTAAGAGCAACGATTGGTTTTTCTCAGTCACCTTATAGTTTTTTTTTTCAATTTTTTTATTATTATTTCTTGGCATGTTTTCTTTTTGCTTAACGGCGGCAGATTTGAAAAGAATTTCTGCTCGCAAATGAAATTGTTTCCTGTTAAAAGCTAAAAAGAAGAAGGCAAGAAAACAAACTTCGCGGGGAGGAGGTTGGCTAAATGGCGAAGGACGGAACATGGATATGGACGGCACCTGCCGTCGCATCGATTGATGAAATTAAAAGGAATAAATAAAAATCTTTTTAATGGTCTGGGATTTGGAACTTAATTTTTTAATTAAACAAGCCACCAAGGAGGAGGCTGCCGCCGTAGAGGGAGATATATAAGAGACCCAAAGGAGGCTGGGACATTTATGCAAAGCAGTAGCCACTTGGCCACTTGTGTGGTCATTTCCACGGTCTGCTGGCCATGAAAAGGAGGAGTCCAAGTGGCGGAGGAGCAGCGACAGCAGGCTCAGCATAATAACTGTGTTTGCCTTGGGCGATGGCCAACACTTTTACTGCCCCAAGGAGTCGCCGGACCCTGGCCATAACATGTTAATCCCCCAGCACCGATGTCAAATGTCAGCACATGTGATTTGTCATCCTGGGCAGGAGGAGTCCAGGAGGAGTCTGCAGAGGACTCTGCGTCGGTGGTCGACTCCCTTACATTGTCGCCTCGGGGAACATTTGTCACCAGACCACCTAACTTGTTCCCATCTGCAATTTACAAGGCCCTCCAACATGGCCAGGAATGTGCAATTGATATTCTACGAAATCAGAGAACCGCTGCTGATGACTTTGATATATTCATCCCTTTGCACTGAGAAAAATATGGCTAAAATTGGTCCCAGTTTCTTGGCATTTAATAACTGTCCTTTACGTTTTAGTTAGTTGTTTTTTAAAGGAATCAAAGGTTTTTTTGTATCATAGTTAATCTAAAGGTTTGCAAATAAAGTATTATTTCAAGCCATTTTTTCTTCCCATCAAAAATAAGTTTTGAAGTCCAGTTTCATTTGGAATTTATATATATTTTTTATTTATACGATTTCTCTGCACACATTCGTTAACCAACAAAAAGAAACAACTGAGCATTTATTTGAAGAGTTGAAAATGAGGGAAACTTATAAGAGAAATGAAAAGTGTTAAATATTTTGTTGAGGCTTTTTATTCAATTTCTAGTGTGTTGTTACTCGTTTTAATACAAAGAAATGCAATTAAATAGTCGTTTATATATTCGTATATATAAGATAGAGATTAATAGAGTTTGGGGAGGGGAGACAGATTTGAGGGGAGAGAGAGAGAGGATGAGAGGTGTTTTACATAGACGAAAGAATCATTTTGCTTTTATACATAAATAATTACATTTAATGCTTGGCTTAGGAATAAAACATATTACAATGTACAATGGTAGAAGTGTTAACTTAGGCGTATGATTAATTAATTAATTAAACGTAATTAGTAGAAAGAAAAGTGCAAATGAATTTACAAATGACAAATGACAATCGGTCCCCGCTCCACACCAATCGACTCGATTCGATATAGGTTTAAATAAATAGTTTTCTGCTGTGGTAGATATAGTCACCGATTAATCCAAGTTCTCCCCATCGGCCGTCGATTCAACATAAGAATTTTGTTTATATTACAGCAACGCGCATACGTATAAGTACAGTAGTTCAATTCGAGTTGTGTGTGTTTCGGCTTCGTTTCGGTTTCGTTTCGGTTTCGGTATCGTTTTCGTTTTCGATTTCGGTTTTTATTTAGTTGAGTGCTGCTTCAATGCCTAGTTAAGTTAATAATTAATCGTTCAATTGTTAAATGGTTTCTTGTCTTAAGTACACACTAATTAAATTTTCACCTAAGCGTCTTGCTTTAACTTCTTTTTGTTTGGGTTTTCTTTGTTCACTTTAAATTTACATTCATACATATCTCTACATATAAACTTGACGCTTCAGTTTTCAGTTTTCTGTTTCTGTTTTTACGCATTTCCCTTCAAATTGTTTTAATTTCGCATATTTGGTTTGCTAATATGTTTGAACTATTTATTTTAAATATTAATATAAATATATGAGAAACAATTTTTGCATATCTTTTTCCATGTTCATACACATATGCCTATATGTGTCTATATATATATATATATTCGTATGTAGAAAAGCAGCAGTTGGTTTCTTTTTGCTGTTATTTTGATTCGATTTGTAGTTTTAGTTTCTTAGTTTTTGTTCAATTAATAAATATAACGTTGCTTATTCAGTGTGAATTTTGGTGTTTGGTTGCAGTACATATCTGGATACATACGTTAGTAGTTCTTTAAATTTTCCATTATTCAAAATTTGTTTCCATCCTCCCTCGAATTGAATATCGCCCACAAACTGTGTCCTAAAATCAATTTCCATGCTGACCATTTCAACAACTTTTTTTTTGTATTTGCTTAAAAAATTCGGTTTATTTTGAATGGAGTTTTTCTTTTTTTCGTTCATCTAGCCCAATTTCGTTCTCTTGTGCCTAGTAAAATTGTTTAATATTTAGTTTTAACCTTTCATTTTTGGAAGTGTTTTGCTGTGCGAATTTGTTATCGTTATCGTTATCGTTACCGACTCTTAGTTCTGCTTGCGTATGAATTTAAAAAACTTCTTCATTCGTTTCCCGTTCGTTTTGTTAAATTTGTTTGCTAATTGGTTTTTGGTTCGTTATAAAATTTTGAAAATATATGCATATATGTATATAATATATATCGATTTTTGTTTGCATTTGTATTTATTAATTCACATTGCTAATATATTTAATTGATTTAGTAAATCAAAAGTTTGCTACGCTTTTTCAGTGCATTCGAAACGTTTATTTGCTTGCACTTGAATGTCGCGCTTTCATAATTTCCATTTCAACAATTTTAGCATTTTGTTATCGATTATCGCTATCGCTTCGGTTCATCGTTAAGTTAGTTTATATAGCACATACTCGTAAATAAAAATCTTATTGTCTTTTCATTTATAACTATGTAGCAGTTCTGCGAGTTCGTTGCCTGCGGCCTCCCGAGTGCAGTTGGTGGAGTCTTCACTGTACTCGCTACTGGATGAAGTGCGGCCTGAGTTTTCGTTATCGGTTCTGCGCCACCTTCCGCTTCCACATTCCACATTCCCTTCCACTTCCGCTTCCGCTTTCCGCCATCGGTATCGGTATCGGTATCGCTTCTGTAGTGTGCTTTTAGGCGTGGTGCAAGTGCAAAGTCCTGTCTGAGTCGAGGTACTGAACAGTAAGCAACTCCTTTGTATATCGAGTTCTATATATGTTTATATATATGTATCAGTTCATTATAAATTTCAAATATTTATCCATAAATTTCTTCTCTTCACTTGGTTTTTCCTAAATTCTTTTCAAAACTGAGTACTGAGTATAGGTTTGCTTCTTTTAAACAGGCCAGTTCCGGTTTTCACTTTTAAAGAATTGCTTCTAAGATTATTAGAAGAACTTTTTTGTTAAGTATAAAATACAATTTGAGCTTAAGTTTTTTTGTTGTAATTTCTTTAAAATTTGGTTATTAAAGGAACTTTAAAAGGTCAAGTTGGCATACATTAAATCTTTAATATAGACAGATATCCTTTTTAAAAGTTAAAGTAAAGTTTATAAGAATCAGACTTAAGATATCTTGACAATAATTCCAGATAGTTTTATATAGATTGCAGATTTTTTAATAGCTTTTTTTTAAGAATTTATTATTTATTTTTAAATTTAAATGGAATTTAAATTGAGAAATCTGTGAAAGTGAAAACCGCGAAAGCCCTGTTTCTAAACATTTAATAGCCAAAGCCTGATAGTCCCTAACTACTACGCAAATCTCTGGTGAGTGAACCAGTGCAGTGTCCTATTCGGCCTGACCCTGTTCATCCCGATGCGAATCGGCTCCGTCAGATGGGAAGTGGTCGAGGTGGGCAGGAATCCGCTGAAGCCGACATCGGAGCTGTTGCCGCTGCCAGTCCCCTCCAGATCGCCATTGTATACGGCAAACACACTGATGTTGTCCAGGTTGTCGATATCGATGTCTCCGCCCGCATTTCGCACATAGGTCAGTTGGTGATAGGGCGTGGCCATCAACTTGCGGGTGAACTTGCGCACCGGTCTCTTCACTGTTGTTGCTGGCGTAACGCTGGTTGTTGCTGCTGCCGTCGGCGAAGCCTCTGTGAGCGTGTTGTTCAGGTTGCTATTGATGTTCTTGTCCACGCTGAAGAGCGAGGGAGCAACATGTTGCTGGGGAGTCGTCCCCGATGTTGCTGCCGTGCTGGATAGTTGCTGCATGGGTGTTGTCACCACAGTGGCTCGCGTGCTGTCGCGTGTTTCAGTGGGTGGTTGCAGGGTCCAGAGCAACTTGCGTGGCTGCTGAGGCTTCACTTCATTCTCGCCCTCCAGCAACATCTTCGAACTATCCGTGTTTTCCGGCGGATTTTCCCGGCTGCTGCTGCGATGCCTGCTTGGCTGTTGCGTGATCTGTATTTTTTCAGTCTGACTGGTTGCCGTTGGTGTTGCCCTCGTGCTGCTGGTGCTGCTGCTGCTGCTGCTGCCGCCGATGTTGCTGCTGTTTCTGATGTTGCTTCTGGCCAGCGGCGTCTGCTCTATCACCAACTGCGAGCCCGCTGTCGAGGTAGTTGTGGCCGCCGTTGCCGCTATTGCTGATGTTGCTTTGGTTTCATATGTTGACGTGGACTCCGTCTCCGAATCATCCACCAATTCGGCCTCGTATTGCAGCAACTCGGTGTCGTTGCCGCTCATCTCGGGCGTCATGGCCGATGCCTCGGCCTCCATTTCGGTGATGTAGGTGGCCCAGGCATCGTAGTTGCTGCTGCTGCTAATACTGTCGTCAGATGTTGCTGTTGTGCTGCTGCTGCTGCTGCTAAAGCTGTCGATCGTGGACCAAGTGGACCAGGGCTCCAAACTGGAGCTGCTGCTGCTGCTGCTACTGCTATTGTAGGTATCCGAATCCTCAAATCCCGTGCTGCTGCTGCTGCTGCTGCTGCTGCTGTACAGGGTGTCGTCGGTGTACGGCGATGTTGCTGCTGTGGCAAGCAGTTGCTGCTGTGATTTTGGCTTGCCCTTGCCCTTTCTTCGCCGTCCCTTGCGTTTGCTGCTCAATGTTGCTGTTGACAATTGTGTTGCTGTTGTTGCTGTCGAAGATGTGGTTGCAATAGTTGCCGCTGGTGTTTCTGCTGCAGGCATTCGTTTCGTTGGACTAGCTGATACTCGTTGTTGCTGTTGCTGTTGGTGTGGGTTTTGCTGTTGCTTCTGTTGCTTGCGCCGCTTCTGCTTTTTCTCGTGTTGCTGTCGTCGCAGCAGCAGCGATGGATCATTGTGATGATGTCGCACCTGATGTTGTTGCTGCTGCTGCTGTTGTTGCTGTTGCTGCTGCTTCTGCCGGTTTATCGCTAATTGCTTTTTGTTAGTGCTACTTAAACTAGTACTACTATTATTAAGAATAACGTTATTATTATTATGGCCATGATGCTCCTGTTGCTGTTGCAACTTTTGATTTTGGTTATTCGATTTGTGGCGATTGTTTTTGTTGTTGCGCGGGGGCTTCCGAATGTTGCTGCTGCCATTGTTGTTGTTGCTGCCACTATTGCCATTATTATTATGGTGATGGCGGAAAAACTGCTCGGCCTCGATCTTATTGAACATGTAGCAGGCATCGTTGACGCTCTTCTTGGGCCCCACAGGCTTACCTCGGTGCGTGAACCCGACACGTCGCTGCAGATCGACAACGGAACGGAACACGAAATAACCGTGCACGATGGTCTCGTTGAAATAGCAGGTATCTCGCAGTTCCCTCTGAAAAAACAGGAGGGATATATGGCGATTAACTTCCGTGCACTTCACATGCAATTTATGAGCGGCATTTCCGTTCATAGAGCCTAAAGGTGTTATATGCGGTAGATATTCTGATATGCGTATCGACAACGATGACAGCGACATCATCGCGCGAGGAGTGAACGTTTAGTCTGCCTTCTGTTTATTTATAAAACACTTGAAATCTCAAAACGACAACCAAATGAAACGCGGCTTATGACTTGGATGTCGGCATGCCATTGGTATCTTTATTTAAGGGGATATTAGTTGGTGGGGTATGATATTAACAAAGAAAAACATTGGAAGTTTACAAAAATAAAGATTTTTTAGCCTGTTTTAATATTTAAAATTTTTCGCATATATATTGAGCTAATTAATTATCAGTGAAGAATAATTTATTTAATTTTATTTTGTGAAAAACAAAAACAATCTTGTATAATTTACGAATTGGTCATTATTAATCATTAATATCTTTTTATTAACAATACAATAATTATCGGAATAAATTAAAGAGCCAACTGGTAAAAATTCTAGGGTATTTAAGGGTCCAATCACCTCACCCACAGCATCCCCATCCGAGTGCTTGAGCGCGTGTTGCTGCCGTGTTGGCCATTTCTGCTATCAACGGACAGATCGGATCGATCAGATCGGGGCGATTGTGGCCCAAAGTGTTGCCAACGACGCAGATGAAACATTTCCCAAGCAATTAAGACTTGTGCCATATTTAGCGACGGACTACTTGTTTGCTCTTCTCATATTTATAGCTCGTAATTGCTATTTTTGAGCAGCTTCTCACCACTGGTCAAGTGGTTGAACCAGAGTGTTTGGGGTAAATACGTTCGTTCTATTTTTGAGAAGGAATCAGATAGAGTAATCAATATGTGACTCACTTCGAGAATTGGCGACCTCGGCCCACACATATGTACTAACCTTCCCTAGAAAAGCCAGCCAAGATATCGAATGAAGTGTAAATCACGGCGAGTATTTGCACAATAATCCAGCATGGATTTTGCGGTCATAATCGAAAGCAATAGGCAACGGCACTAGAATGACAAGTATCTGACCTTAGGGGTTCTATTGTTTGCTCAGAGCTCGAGTGCGGTTTAGCTAACTAACTGTATTGCGAGTGGGAAAAGGACATTGAAATGTTTTCGCCATTACCACATAACTGGCTGTAATTAAGTGCCCCGTCATCCGTCTGATTGATTAGACATATCTAACTATCTATTATGAATTGTTTGATTTTTATGATGGCAAAACTCAGTCCTCGAGTGGCTGCACTTCAATGTGTGACATTGAAACGGGCCCCGCGAAACTGTTACAATGTCTCGAAAATTTGATTTTCAATTTCAGTTCCGAATCCCCCTGAACAGTTGCAATTCATTGCTCTATGCGATATCACGCATACGCCGCGTTAAACGTATCTCAAAATCTGTGCCACATTCGGCCGTAATTGCATATGAAATTGTTCGCATTTTTAAATTACAAATTACAAAAATATTGTAATAAATATTTTGCTCAGCCCGCTGACAGATTTGGTGCAACCTGCAACCGGTTTTCACCCATTGTGGCTGACAATTTGGCCACGTTGCCATAATACTGTTATTGTCGTCTAAGCTATCGTTTGCATAAAACCATTATGTGGAACATGTCATAAATTACAGTGTTTGTACAGTTAGTTTGCATAAAAACAAATCGAGGAGAAGCGGAAAAAAATGAGTTGTCTCTACACTTGGCGCTTTGTACTTTGTCAAGTTTGAAGTACAAATGCAATGCAATCAAAATCGCTGCACTGAGCCTTGGCTATATCAGCATCTATATAGTGTCAACACAAATACTGTCAAGCTTATAATTGTGGCTATTTCCAGCAATTTGCTTGCACAAGATGTCATAAATCTTATCTATTCATAAACAAATTATGTGATTATTCCCTTTCATCTTTGCGATGTCTTTTACATACGAAGGGGATTTACCCTTATCAAAAAGTGAATCATTTTCTTGAATGGAGAACGAAGAACTCCCAAATTTATTGTGACCTAGAGGTCACTACTACTCACCATGCCAACTAATCTCCAATTGTCGTTGAAACACAAATATCTTTGAGTTTCTTTTGCGTACAGTGCTATTTTGAATTCGTTGTTCAGATAATCCGGGAAGCCGACTATCGTTATATTTTCTGAAAAATACAAAAAAAACGAAAACAACAAATTAATTCCATTAGTTAATCAGCTAGGCGAGTGTTTTTAATTGATGTAAATATTTGGCGGGCAAAAACATTTTTAATTAAAGGCAAACATGGCTCTTTTCGTCAAAGTGATTAAGCGTGCCAAAACGGAAGGTAACGATTGGTTGGGGCAGGGGTTCATCATTATCATCGAGATAAAAGCGTGTATGTTGTTGGAACTTTGACCTTAGACGATGCACGTGTCTTGTCGGATATTACCTAATGAATGTCGACATTGATGGGTTGCTGTCAAATATTTAGATCGATGGGATATAGGTATTTGAAGCTGACGAAATAAAGAGATTAAGAGTTGGATACTAAATATTTCCAATAAGATTTATGGAAGGCCATCGGTTTTTAAATAATAAATGTTTTATAAATGAAGTAAAGTTAACTATTCAATATTTATTACTGACCATATACAATTCTAATAATAATTGTAGACATTTTGACTCAATCTGCTTATTTGTTTGCTATAATTTCCATTGAAAAACCAAAACAATTTCCCAAAATAGTCGGTAAATGCATTAAACCTCGAAAAGTCAAGTAGCCAAGGTGCGCATGCTCTCTCCGCTAATTATAAACCGACAATGTAAGTCCGCCCGCAGATGTATCTGGAGTATCTGGCGGGGCATCTGCCCCCGGCATTTCAGTCTTTCAGATACTGTATCTCTGTATCTGTATCTGGCCTCGACAGGCTATTGAACTTCATGCGGGGAGGACGTTGGGGGATGCGGCCACAAAAGTCACTAATAAGTAAAGCACTTGAAAAGCCAAAGAAAAAGGCAACACGAGGAGAAAAGCCACTCGAGTTAGATTGATAGGTGACTGGGTTCAGCCCCGGTCTCAGTCGTCTGCCTTTCTGCCAGTAATTAAATTTATGCACACAAATTCTTGGCAAGAGTCGATGGTCTTGGTCTCGGTCTTGGTCTGGGCTCTACACTCTAGGCTCTGGACTCTGAGCTCTCGACTCTGGGATCTCGGCTCTTAGCTCTCATATTTCATAAGCCGGGGCGAGCTGAGGGCTTGAGTGACTCTGTGCTTCACACCTTTGGCCGCCGGTGGCAGCCACTTGTGCCTCTTGCCCCAGGGAGCTCCCTTTGTTGTTATTCTCCTGATTCACGGCCCGGCCTGGCTAGCTTATTGATTTCATTAGTTTGGTGACACAAAACGACGAGTGGAGGAGCACCCTCTGCCAGCCAGCACTTGTGAGTGCGCACTTGGTCTTAAACTCAGAGAAAATAATGTTACTATCTAAAAGTAATTTCATCCTTTAAATACTTACCTTTATATACAAAGGAAATTTATTCTTGAAATGGAAAAATGCCTGCCAATTTTAATTTTATTACTCTGTTTTTGAGAGATTCAAAGATTCATGCCATTATTATACTACTTATAGCAATGCATTTTTATAGTTTACATTTATTACTAATAGAAAACTTAATATAGAAACAAATTGTACAACTCATAATTCATTCTCTTCAGATGGCACAACTTTTTCTTTACCTTCCTAGAACATATAACCCTTTTCCTTCAGTGCATTGCCACTTGGAGTCTCAGTTTCAGTCCCCTGTTTATTTGCGCCCTGAAAGCGATGCAAACTTCGATCCACCGCCATTGTGACATATTTGCCTACTTGAATCCGCAACCGAGCAGGAAGTGCAAGTCCATCCAGATGAGCAACGGTAACATTGTTGCGGTCTCTGGGGATTGGGATTGGTTAACCCAATAGATTACCCAAGATTTGATATCGTTGAACTCCCAATGACTTTGACATTGAAAGTGCCAGAGTTCCTAACATCTGGCTTCGGTTCGCTTGCCCCTTCTCCTCAATAATAAAAACACCAAACTAGAAAAGCCAAATGTTTATTTTTATTTTCAACGGCACAACTCACACTCTCAAAATAAAAAGCCATCAAATGCATTTTAGGCTTTGGAATTTTTATGGGCTTCGATCTTTTTGGATATTTTAGAGATCTTCGCTACGGGTTTGTTTTTCACTCAATAAAAAGCTTCGATCGGGCCGCATTTTTGCCGCAAGTTATTAAGATTTTAACAACCAAATCTTCGTCTTCTGCCGAGTTTCTAATTAAGTTATTAGTCATGGTGAGTGGAATTTCAGTCTCGTCTCGTTTTGTTTCGTTCAGTTTGGAAAGGGCGTTTGAACTGAGAAATGCATCAGCATAAATATGGCAAAATACAGGCAACGAGAAGGCGTTCTTCAGATGCTATCGATAGCTTTCAATATGGGGGCGTGATTTGTTTTTAGAAACAAACCGATGGATATAGAATTCCGAGCGGCCTGGTTGTTCTAATTTATGAGTATTTATGGCATTGAACGATTGCTGTTTGCTGGCCATAATTTAATTGTCACTAACTGAAGGCTGCGACGTCATAGTATTTGCGTCATTTAATGGAAAAAATTCATAAACAAGCGATAAGAATTTCGTACCTGTCGCCTCGATTGCGAATTTCTTAAACTTTATAATTAGTTGTATTTATAAGGCTCGTATGTCATAATTTTGGTTAATAATTTCCTGCTTTTTTATTAAAAATACCCCGGTTTATGGCATGGCCCAACCACCAGCTGTGCACAGCTTTATTTTGTGGGCAGTAAAAACACAGCTCTTGATATATAATGTCAAAAGGCCGAAAATGTAACAAATGACACACTCAGAGGAAGGCCTAAAAACAAGCGAATCAGAGTTTATGCTGAAGAGATCAGGAAAACAAAGAACCCGGCCAACAAACAAACCATAAAAAACACAAACAGAAAAAAACAACCAAAACGCTAATCAAATATGCAAGCAATGAGCTTCATCAACATAAAATTAAAAAATCATAAAATGCTAAACTGCACAGCATGAACAAAATCCAAAATCGAAAAACCGAATCAAAATAAAAACAAAAATCAGATATCTCGACAACGAGCTGGGGCGTCAAAATGCCTCGTAATTGCGGCACATGTACGGAAAACAACAGAGACGAAAATCAGAAAATGATTTTACGATCCGCAACGGTGTACATATGATTATGGTCGACACTGTCACACGGCTGTTCCATCGCCTCGATCACTTTGTCATTCCATCAGCATGATCTTCGCCTCCATCTTCGATCTGAGTTATGGGATCTGTGTGGATAGTGGATAGTAACCGACTTATTGGTGGGCGTTGCCAACTCTCATCTCCGGCTTGATGGGCATAAATCGCGGCTTATCGATCTCTATGATAATCAAAGGCCATTTCCCTGGCATATTTATCGAGTCTAAGCATATTTGATTTTACTTTCCAGATTCTACTTTCACTCTCATATGGGTTATTTATGCGGAAAAGAATTCCATGCCGGCTTATGATTAAAGGAGGTGTGGCAAAGACTTTAAGTTTAAGCAAATACAAACAAATCACCGGAAATGCAACTTAGTCTTTTATTTATTGCATTTTAAACTCAAAGAAAAAATTGGACATTAAAAAGGTTATTTTTAACACGTACTTTACTTGCTTAAGTTGTAACTTAAGATAGCTTTTATATTGTTACTTTGTTAATATTCATTGATCTATTTTATTTTCGATTTGTTTTTTTTATTTATTTTGCGATTGTGCGTAGTTATTAATTATTATTATTTAGCAGAAGTTCACTATAAAAGATCTTTCCTCTCAAAAATATTAATTGTAAACGAAAAACGTTAATATCCGGAATACATTTCCTATATAAATGACTACTTCTCTTAATTGTAGAAGAATACAAAGTCTTTGGGAGTACTTTTATTATTCAAAGAACCATGCCGACTATTTCTGAACGTAAAACCAAATGTTATCCTTGGCTTTTGAGCGTAACTTCCCCAAGAGCATTGCCCCAATGAGTCCAATAGTTCCTGGAATGTCGTCTGAGGCATTCACTTCGATGGCTGCATTCCCGGAACTTTTACGCTGACGATTGCAGTCGGGTTCACTGGGTTCTGGGTTCTGGAGTCTGGAACTTGGGGGTCTTGAGTTGGGTCCCGGGTGAAGCGTCTTAGATTACACTCGGCCCTAAGTAATTGCATTTTGCATATTGCATTTTGCATTTTGCGTTTTGCATATGCAGCAACGTCAACAAACAACTGCGATTTGTCACATGCTGCAACTAGTGGCCCTGGCCATCATCGGTATTGGTTTTTGCATTGCATCGTCATCGGAATCGTCGTAGTTGCAGCCACTATATAGTGGTATATGGTATAGGTATAGGTATAGTATACGTATACGTATACGTATAGTGGTCCGCTGTTATTGACGTTTTTGTCACGTTTCCTGGAAGAAACCGTTTTATTTGCTCGCCTGGTGCCGCGGCTGGCATTTCGGTTTGTTTTGTAAGCGGAGAGCGGCAAACAAACTGCCCTGGGCCTGGGCCAAAGGAAAAAAAACCTCAACTTGCAGCCATTTATCAGTTTCGACCTCCACTTTTCCCCTCCCCCTCCCCCTTTTCCCTGACCAACTGCACTAATGCTAATTGCATTGGCACGCCCTGAAGACCAGCTCCAGCTCCAGTTCCATTTCCATTTCCATCTACATCTCCACTGACCAGACCAGCTAGCTCCAAAGCCAACTCGAATGCCACGAAATTAGCGCCATTTAATGTGGAGCGTACTCAAGTTTTACGCACGATTCTTCCACTGACGCCACTCGAATCGGAGCCCCCGGGAATTGGTTGCAGTGCAGATGGGGCGACGGGGCGCAGAGGCCACAGTGTCAATGAGTTAATTAGCGCACGATTTGTCGCCCCCACAACAGCAGACAATGCACTGAGAAAAAGGTTGGAGAAATTCATAAAGGTTTGGAAATCACATTGAGTTGCCCAGTGATTTTAGATCCCTAGTGAAGATCCCTACAGTTTACTCTCTCAATTAAGATTTTTCATTAAAAATTCAGCATTTATTATTTCATACATTTAAAAACAATTAAATGTGAGTATTGATA